AATATACCCTCTATATCTTTATTACAGACATTAGTTTTTACACAAAAGGATTTCTTAAGGTTATAGTATCATAATAAAATCGCTTTTATAAAAATTTATTTTATAATATTAAATATATTTTATTAGTTATTATTTAATTTTACCTATCCTAATTTCTTACTATTTTTATTTCTTTTAAATATCAATATTAAAAGAATAATAATTTATAAATAATTCAAAATAAATCTACAATAAAAATTATAGAATCCTAGAAAGATTTAGATTATATAATATAAATCCAATTCCTCCTAGGATAGAATTATATCGACTTATTTTTAATCTATTTTCATACTATATTTATTAACAATAAACCCTAAGAATTTTAACTTATATTAATAGAAACTATATTTTAACAGTTTTATATATAGATTATATTCTCGAAAATATTAGAATACTTAATATAGTACTATAGTATAGTTTTTATAATTATTACTAAAGATTAAAATATTATTGAGATAATAAATATAGATTATATTAAAAAGATCTCAAAAAATATTATATATATAGCTCTAAAATATTATAAATATATTTATTAATTTAAAAAGTATAATGAAATATTTAAAATATCTATATCTAATTTAGAATACTATTTTCTATTCATTACTTTCTTAAATATAAATTTTATAATATATATCTTTTAAGTCGATTTTACTAAAGTATTTTAATCTTAATAGTCAATCTAAAATTTCTGAAATAAGGAGTAAAAAATAATAATTCTTAATCGAAACCCTATTTAATCCTCAATAGTTAATATATAATTTTAATATTCTATCTTTGTTCAGAATAAAGATAATAAATACCTTTACTAAACTTTTTAATAATTAGATTAACCTTTTATTTATACTATTAATTAGATATATCTATAATTCTTTAAATTCATTATAAAATAAAGAATATATTAGTCTATAAAGAATTTTTATTCTCTCTTTTAGGTTAATTATATAATTTATTACTCTATTCAGAGATAGTTTTTTTATCTTTTTATAATCGAAAATATTTTAAAACTCTAATAATTTAGTTAATAATTCTATATCCTATCTTAAAGTAAGATTTTTATTTTTATCTAATAACTAAATTTCTTCTAAAATTTTCAATAAAATATAAATTATAGTTTAGTTTTCATATTTTTTTATAAATCTTTAAATATTATATAGTTTAAATTATTTTATATTAAACTATTATTTATTAGTTATTAAATAAAATATAATATTATATTCGTTTAAAATTATTTATAATAATAAAATTAGACTTCTTTTAATCTATAAATTATAATTAATTTTTATATAGGTATATTTAAAGGTTTTAGTTATATTTTAGGTATCTATAATAATTATAGAAATCTAAAAAACTCTATAAGATTCTAATTTTTAAAAAGATATACCTTCTAGAAAAAGAATAAAATAAAAAGTAATAATAAAATTTATTTTTTTAGTAAAATCTCTATTTATAATATCAACCTTTATATAAATATCTAAATTTATATATATTTTAACTTTATTATATAAAATTAGAATATATAGATAAATTATTATACTAATAATAAAATAATAAAATAAAATAATATTAGCTTCTACTTTATCTTTAATTCTTTTTTTAGATTTAAAGTAGTAGTTTTCTGAATTTTTATAAATTTTTTATATAATACCTAATAATCTTTTTACTAATAATCTAATTTACTATAATAGAAATAAATATTTTTTATTAATATTTCACTATTAATTTACTTAGATTTTCTTTTCTTATCCTAATTAGATTTTTTATTAAAATAGCTTTTATTAGATTTTAAAGAATTCTCTTTCCTTTTTATATAAGATTTCCTACTCAATCATTTATTAAACTATTTCTTTATAAACTTTACTTTAATTAAATTAGTTACTTTATCAGAATTATTTTTATTATTATTATTTAATTTTCACTTTACTAAAATCTTAATCTAATTAAATTTAATCTATTATACTTTTTAGTTTTCCTTAATTTTATGAAAATAGTATTCATAAATAATACTAATAATCTTTATAATCTTATTTCTTCCTTTTAGTATGTTATAATATAATTTAATAATTTTATTCTTAAATAGTTTCTATAACTAATTTTAAAGATTAAATCCTTAATCCTTATCAGACTATTATTCTAAATATTATTTAATTTTTATTAATTGAGCTTTAAAAGCTATAGAATTTTTATAAAGCTTCTATTATATATTAAAGAATTTTTAGTATATCTAGACTATAATATTATATATATTATTAAAAAGTATTACTATCTATTCTCTAAAATAACTCTACTTTCCTAATTTATTAAACTTATCCTTAATATTATCTTTTTTAATCCTCTATTTATCTAAATAGACTATATATAAATAATCTATATTTTTAAAAATCTTTTTATTATTATTAGAGTAAATTATCAATCCTCTTTAGAACTTAGCTTCTAGATTATTAAGCTATCTTTTTTAATCCTAGATACTGAAATCTTATTAAAAAATCTTAACTTTTCTTTTAATACTTTTCTTTTAACGAAAAGATTTTAGTTTTTTAATATCCTATTTGAAAAAATTTTATATTATTCTCTAAATTTATAATTTAAAAATCTTCTTCTCTAAATATTTATTCTTTCTCTTAAAATCCACAATAATTTTTATTCTTATAAAATCCTTAAAATCTCTATTTAATATACTCAAATCCTACCTCTTAGAGCTTAAATTATTACTTTAATCTTCTAGAGCTAAATCTTTTACTCTTCATAAACAATTCTCTACTAAATCTTAAACTATAAAACCCAGATTTTTTATTTAAACTAAGGGATTAAAGCTTTCTACTAAAGGATTTATTATATCTAACGGCTTAGTAAATAATTATTATACTAAATTATCTATAAGTATATCTTTTCTATTATTATATTTTAGAAATTACTCCTAGATATTAAATTTGAGTCTTAATTCTTATTAGATTTAAGCACCAGATCTCTTATTTAGATCTTATTATTTTCCCTAGATCCTTATAAAATAGCTATTTATTAGAAATTCTTCTCTTTTAATTTTTTAGAGGATTAAAGAGGAAGAATCAGAAATTATAAAAAGTATATAAATTTAGATATATAGCTTATTAACCTAATAAGATATTAAAAAAAAGTAGTTTCGGTTCGTTATAGAATTGTTAACGAATTAATACTAGTTTTAAGATTAATAGTTTTATAAATTATTTCAAAACTAATTCTTATAGAAATAAGAAAGTTCTAGAAGACTTTCCTATCTTATAGCATTTCTGTAAGATAATCGGATAATAACCCGTCAACTAATCTATATCTTTATATACATAACTTATAATATAGTAATATCGTATGACCTCTGCCTTTATTCTTATAGAGGATAGAATCTTCTAGGACCTTCCATATTGTATCTATGTCCTTAGTTCAAACCTCCTGCTTCTGCGGAGTTAGGGATTTATATGCAAATCACTGGTGTATCGCTAACGCTTCATTCTGATATTGTATAAAGTCAGGACTTTTTATATCTCTTTAGATAACTAAAGAAGAAGAATTAGAATTATAAAGGTTATATATTTATAGGTATATTATTTTATTAGTTAGGTAAGGATATAATAATTCGGAGAGAAAGGAAGAAGATAATATCTAGGAAGCACTATAGAATCAAGGTCTATTTAAGGATGGTTCAAGACTGATTCTTGGAGAATCAGTTGGAGTGGGGAAACCCTTTTTTATACGGAAGCCTTAGGTAGGGTTATCTAACCTCCCTATAACCGATTTTTAAACAATGGGACTTGTATAGTTCTGTTAACTACTGAGTCCCCAGGTTATCCTTTACAAATTTTAAGATAGAAATCTTATAGATTAGTTTTAAAACTAATTCTTATAGAAATAAAAAAATCTTAAGAGACTTTCCTATTTTATAGTATTTCTATAAAATAACCGGATAATAACCTATTAACTAATCTATATCTTTATATATACAACTTATAATATAGTAATATTATATAACTACTATCTCTATTTCTATAGAGAATCGAATCTTCTAGAACCTTCTATATTACATCTATATCCTTAGTTCCAACCTCCTACTTCTACAGAGTTAGGGATTTATACACGAATCACTGGCGTATCACTAACGCTTCGTTCTGATATCATATGAAGTCAGGACTTCTTACACTTTCCTATTATTAGATCTATCTAAAATAGAGTTGTTTTCGAATAAAATCCCTTGAGATTAATATTTTGATTTAAGCGTTAATTTATAAGTCTATTAATCTTCAACAGTTATTGAATAGTTGATTTTAATAGGGATTCGGAGATCTAGATAGTAAGTTATCTATAGCTCTATATAGAATATCTATAGATATAAATCCAAAGTAAATAGATAGATTAGTCGCTTAATAATTAGGGGTGACTGTTACGGGGATGGCTCTTGAAACTGTTTTATTCTTCGAAGTGTTTAATTGTGTTGTAGATGGTTTTCCGATTATATTTAAAATCATATGCTAATTTCTTCTTAGTAATATCATATGTATGACTATAGATAATAGCTGACCTTTAGGTAGGGGTTAATTCTGCCCCTGCTGCTCTTTCTGAAAAAAGATCTATGAAAAATGAGCATTGTTTAGGGGAGAAAAATTGGTTTAAAAATGGGGTGTTGGTTGACCGGGTGATTTGGAAAGTGAAGTGGGGACAGACTTTTGGACGCCTATGTATGTCTAATGTACCTTATTATATATGTCTGAACCAGATGCCTGAAGGAGTTAAGATGAACTGAGGATCAAGTGAGAAAGCACGGGACTGGAAGGATGGATTAAGTCGCTGGAGGTTTCTCTTTCTCCTTCTTCCCCTTCTCATACTTGATATTTTCGGCAAATGCACTTCTTGTTTTCAGGAACCCGGTAGATGTCACAAGTTAGAGATGAGGTATGGTGGGTATATGTAGTGCATACACGCTGGAGATTTTCTTCACATCATGTTATTACATTGTTTGATTCGCGGGTGGATTCCTTTGCTGCCATGACTTCGAGAAGAAGGGAATCATTTTGCAAGACCTCCTTGGCAGCCTCGTCGCCTGCAGCTGCTTTGTTTAGACCTTGGCCAGACCCAAGAAGCCTTTTATTCCAACCCCACCCAGTTAGATAAACAGCGATGAAGAATGTCTGAGTTCCGCCCTTGTGCTGAATCGATGGACGGACCTCAATGTAGTCTAACTTGACATTCTTACCCATGATCTTCTTGGCCAATGCCTCCTTGGCGCGCAGCTCTCCGGTCTGTGGACCCAGTCCGTTGATGATCGGCATCCACAACCCAGTCAGCCAACTTTCAGCGGACTGATACCCAGTGACAGGATCGGAGAGTACGACGGCAGCAACGTAAGCCTCGAACACGTCACCCTTAGTCTTGGTCCATCGCTTCGATGGGGTATTATAATCCGGTGGAACAGAAACCTTGGAGTCGAATCCAAAGCGTCCAGCAAAGCCCGCAAGCGTTTCATTCTTTACAAGAGTCTCTCGAATTTGAGACATCCTACCCGCTGGTAGCTTTGGAAATCTCTCCCAGATGATCTTGGTTGCGATAAGCTCAATATATGCGTCACCGAGGAGTTCGAACCGGTCGTATGTCATAGTGATGTTATTGCTCATTGCCGGGTGGGTGAAGACAGCGCATTCAAGCGTTTTGTCCAATATGGAGGGTGGTGAAGATGCATGAGATGCACTGATTCCGAGTTCGTTTGCATGAGTTTTATGGATGTCTCTATCGGCCGTAGGATTCATGATCCGGCGCAATGCCTTGTCTAGCCGTGAGACCGCGCGCACGACCTCTGTGTCAGCATCGGCGAGGTCGTCGCCATTAGAAATCTCCCGCACCAGCCTTTGTAGCTGAAGGAGTCGAAAGCTGCTTTTCGTCTCTTCCGTTAGCTTTGCATCGCTCGGATATCTCGAGTCAGAAGTAGGGATCGAATGGACAAGCTTTCCACAATGTCAGTGAAATTCAAGCATGCTGTGGGAGTTGGGGGCAATGTACCTTCGGCCTCTTTGGTAAATCATTGGTGTTATTGGCCACGGAGGCTTGTCGTTTCAGATCTTGCCTCCGTGTTGACCCATCGGAGTCCTTTCTAGCCGTTGAATCCATTTGAACCCGTCCGAGTGGTGTCGTTTGATCTGGTCCACGGAGACCGGGCAGGTGTAGAATCTAGATTGAGGAAACCCAACATTCGACTTTCTTTGGGAAGGCGGTAGCCCCACCACGTGACCAGCACAAACTTCGCTCACTATCGTCGATAAGATCCGTCGAGCTGTTGTCACCGGCTGCCTCATTTTTGCCCCCTTTGCATATGGTTCGCTCAATCATCTGAGAAACAATGGCACAAAGTCGGATTTGGGACCTCGTCAAGGTCAGCAAACCCACAATCATATGTGACCACACTGGCTAACAGCAACATCCTCTATAGACCCAATGCCGCATCTTCTCTCTCAACTACAATCCGGACCGCCTGCGATTGGGAAACAAGATTTTAAGACAGCGCCTACGTGGTCCTACCCTCGCATCATGGTATCCCAAGCAGACGGTGTCCTTCCGCCAGTTGCAAAATAGCTATAAACAGTTCGGATTGACCACCTTTGATGAAGCTGAAGACGACAGAGAAGAAGCCATTCAAGTGTACGTGTACAATTATCCCTTGGCTCAACTTTTAACTAAACATCACGCGTAGTGCCAAGATGAGAGGAAAGGGTCGACCGAAGAAGAAGCGAACTGCCGCAGGTAAGTCCAGCCAGATCTGCTTTAGATCTGCTTCAGGGAAACAACTAACCTATGAGCAGAATCGAGATCTGCCAAGAAGAAGAAATGATCCATTGCTACATGGTTTGCCAGGCAATGCCAATTGAATGGGCAGTGGCATCTATTAACCACGCAGTCTCCTGCCCAGGTGTGCTTGGCTTGTATAGTACGCACAACTTGTTCCCTTGGGTTGTCGTAGCTTTCTTGATTCGTGTTTCTGCTCTTCCGCCCTGCCCTTTTGCTGGCCATTGAAACCCAGTCTGTTTGATTTTGTACAATACGATTTATCCAGCTATACGCCACCTGACCTATGCTCACCAGCACCAGTCCATTTTTCGTACATTCTTTGACACCGGAAGAATGTTTGGTGGCCCGTTTGTATAGTATTTTGCCAATGGAAAGATAGAAAAGAATACGGAGTGCCTCATAACTCTGCCTGACCTGCACTCCCAAGGCCTTTTGTGACGGACATAAGAGAGAGGCGGTGTATCACGTGACAAAGCCCTGCAGATTGTCCAGGTTCATTGTAAAGTAGTGATCCTCGCGGATTTCCATTCGTCAATTTGGGCAAAATCTCACCGGACTTCACAACTGCCACTTGATTTTCACACTTACCTTGTGGCCGCGATCAATCATCTCATCTCATCTGTCAGGCCGTCACGCCTACAGCGTGACCGCCAGTCCTTGAAGCCATCATGAACCCCAGCAAGAGCAAGAACCAGCTCAGACGCGCTAAGAAGAAAGCCCAGAAGGCTGAGGTAGGACTCAAACCTGATTATTTAGTAGCACCCTGCTCCCGATGTGGATCTGACATGCGCAAAGGCTTCTTTACCTGTTGAAAAACAGGATTCCCCCAAGCAGCTCCCATCGGCTTCTACCTACGAGGCTCATCCAGTCGAGCCCAGCAATGATCTTTTGCTTGACCCAAGTGACTCTCTATGGGAGATTTACAAGGATGTTGCTGGCAGATTCGACGAAACGACTCCCGATAGCCTTTCAAAAGAATCCGAGAAACCTGAGGTTTTCTTCGACGACGGCGATGACATCCCCGATGAAGACTTCGAAACCGAGCCGAAGATCTCCAAAAAGAAGCGCAAGGAAATGAACAAGCTTTCCGTTGCCGAGTTGAAGGCGATGGTCCGCAAACCCGAAATCGTTGAATGGACAGATACATCTGGAACCGACCCTCGGCTTCTGATCCATATCAAAGCTCATCGCAACGTAGTCCCAGTCCCTTCACACTGGTCGCTTAAACGAGAGTATCTGTCTTCCAAACGTGGAGTGGAGAAAGCGCCATTCGCATTGCCGAAATTCATACAAGAAACAGGAATCTCTGAGATGCGTGACGCTGCGTTGGAGAAACAGGAACAATCCTCTTTGAAGCAGAAGCAGCGCGAAAGAGTCCAACCGAAAATGGGCAAGTTGGATATCGACTACCACAAGCTTTACGAGGCGTTCTTCCGACATCAGACCAAACCGGCCCTGACTCGCCACGGAGAGATTTATTACGAAGGAAAAGAATACGAAACAAACCTCAAGCATCTTCGTCCCGGTGAATATAGCGATGAATTGAGGGAGGCTCTGGGTATGGCTCTTGGAGGCCCCCCTCCATGGCTTGTGAATCAGCAACGACTAGGCCCTCCGCCGTCTTATCCTGCTCTGAAAGTCCCGGGCCTGAACGCGCCTCCTCCAGCTGGGGCAGTGTGGGGATACCACCCTGGAGGGTACGGTAAGCCACCCGTGGATGAACACAATCGTCCATTGTATGGTGGGGACATATTCGGTGTCCTCCAACCCCAACAACAGGCCCAGCAAGGAGAACCCGTCGAAAAAGATCTGTGGGGCGAATTGCAAGAATCAGAGGAGTCCGAAGCAGAGAGTGAAGCGGAAGAGGATGAGGATGAGGAGGAAGATGACGAAGCGGATGAAGACCTTCGTTCTCCCGGGGGCTTGGCAACCCCAAGTGCGATGGACTCAGTGCCACCATCTGAGTTCATCGGAACTGAGAATGTCTCGGGTGAATTTGATGTTCGCAAGCACCATCGCGGAACTGAGACGGAAGAACATGGATATCCTCGTGCTGCGTACCAAGTGATACCAGAGCGACAAACCAATGTAGAGGGATTCTTCGGCGGGGACCGGGCATACGACTTAAGTGGCTCGACGGGCAAACCCCCAGTCCTTGGAGCGGAAGAACAGAACCGGAAGCGAAAGAAGCCCGGTGATGTTGAGGTTTCGGTTGATCTGGATGCTGTTCAATCCGGCGACGGAATCAGCAAGGAGAGCCTTAACAACATGTACGAGACACAGAGGCAGCAGCAGAACCAGCCAAGCTGGGGCTTCCAGGAGGATCTCAGTGATATGATCGCACAGGAGAGTCGCAAGAGACTCCGCAAGGAAGAAGAAAGACGCACCAAGTCTTGATCAATGATTCTTTTCATGGGTATGGGCGTTGACATGATTTCTTTCGATCTGACTATGGTCTCTGTATGGTGTAATGTACTATAGCTTGCAACTCGGTGAAGATAAGGCTGTGGTACTGTAATTATTAGGCGCCATGTGCATCCAGAGGTCGATCTCCCAGTAATCCCCCTAATGTACCTACCTAGGTAGGTATACGCGCCCCAAGCTCCCCAGCGCCGTTGACCTCCCGAGGTCTTCTAGCCCGGGAGGCACCTGGGCACCTGGGCAATCAATTGTTATCAGCTTACGTGATCTAACCACTGGCCCGGGCGCCCCCCGGGGCTTGGCTTTCCGAAAAGGGCTTAGTGGGACATTCAACTCCGCCTTCAATCTCCTTGCGAAAGTCTTCTGAGACGACCCTTCGATTCTAATCTGTTCACTTGGTCTCTTTGAATCTCTTTGTTTTTTTCTTGGCATCCGAGGGCATCTTTTAATCTTCATTACCCGGTTTGCTTTTGTCTTTGGCGATCATGGACTGGGATCGCAGAAGGTATGTCGCGAACGAAACATTCGCATACTACGGTCCTTCTGACCTTTTTTCTTCCGGAACTATAGATTCGAGGATCGGAGAGGGGGAGAAAGTTACCGTCCAGCTGAGAGGACTGGCCGCTCCCCTTCTCGTGCATATGACATTCGTCGACGCTCGCCACCACGCACCCGTTCTCCTCGACCACGAAGTCGCTCCCGGCCACAGGCTGATACATGGGTTCCGCCATCTGGCAGGAGTTATGGACGCCCGCGGAGTCGCTCCCCGCCACCATATCGGCGCCGCTCACGCACTCCACCGGCGAGAGGCTTTGGTCCCACTCCTTACGAAAGAAGAAGATCTCCACCAAGAAGATTTTCGCCCAGAAGAGATGACAGAATCAGGTCTCCGCCACAATCCTGGCGTTCAAAATCGCCATTTAGTGATGGCAGATCACGCGATGCATCCTGTGCGCGCACCAGTCCAAGACGGCCCCACGATATAACTCCAGGGAGCCAGGTCCCCCGACCCGCCAGACGAGACGTCCCCACAGCTCTGGTTTCCGATAACTTCCAGAAACCCACCTCCCCACGAGCCCAAGCAGATAGTTCCATACCGCGGAGTCCATCTCAAAGTGCTCACCTAGATCCTCCGTCGGATGGGGGGACCCACAACAGGATTACGACACACTCGAGACCAACTTCGCCTCCACCAATTCCGCCCTCACGCCCGGGGTCAGCACCACGCCACTCATCTCCTGCTGTAGAGAAAGCTGTATTCTCGTCCCAGGGATGTCGGAGCCGCTCGCCAATACATTCAGCACCCTCACAGCGCTTCTCGAAACCCCCAGGCCGAACCTCTTATCGAGACTCACAAATCGACACTGAACCTTCCACTTTCCCAAAGCGACCAGAGTACGAGGATCGAGTTACTGATGTGCTTACTCTACCTGTTCAACCCTTTGAAAAAGTGCATCAAGGCCTGCCTCAACTGGACGGTCCTAGAACCACCGGAAACATCCCCACACAGCCGAAGAACCACGGCGCTAGCCCACTATTGCAACACCCATCCGGACCTTACCAAGGCTCAAGACCGCCTCACCAGCATCGAGGATCCCAGAACGTCTCCCTACTTTCGGCGCCAACGCGCCCTCGCCGAGGAGCTGGGTCGCGTGACCCTTGGGTAGGAACACCACCAACACGACGTGGATCGGCGGCTCCATCCAATGGGCCACCCGCAGGACCCCGGGCATCTTTCTCGTCGCCCACATCTAGCGGGGGAGGGTTCCGACAGTCCACTTCTCGGCCATCCAACACTTCTACGACCCAACCATTGGTACACAAAGGCCCGAACCACTTGGCCGGGATTGGAGCTCTCATCCCAGAAGGGAAGTGTTTCCCGTCTTCCCTTGACCCGGCTGCCGAAAAGCGGTTGTTCCAACTTGAGGCGGACAAGGAAAAGCTTCTTGAACAAATTGCAGAAATACAACGAACCAAACGAGCAGAGCTTCGTGATTGGGACCGACTAGATCGCGAGAGCGCGATATGTGCTCTCAAAAGTGAGTTGGCTGAAGGACATCTCCAACGAATGGCCGATGAGAGCATCGGAGGCGGAATCTTGTTCTAAACCCCTGTTTCAGGACCTTGTTCTAGTATTACGACCTGATGAACATATTAATCCCAAAATTTCATGTCGCCCATCTGGACCGTAGAGTATCATAATCGCCGGGTATGTGAGATCAACTATGCCCAGGTGGAGAACTCGGAGTACCTATGTAGGTACGAAATACAGCAGTGTACCTCAGATCAGGTACCCTTTCTTATCATCTGGGGCGCCCGGGTACCTGGATCGAATGTATCTATTCGTACTAGGGGTAAATACATGTCGCGTACCTGAGATCTGCGAGTAATTTAACCCTTCCGCTTTCTGCCTCCGTGTCAACAACTCCAACTTCATACTTCGAACTTGCCCTCTCTGGCTTCATTCCCCTCCACCACACATCATGAACCTCTTTCGACTCTTGGGTATGACGAGAACCATCGCCTCACAGCTATATGCTAATTCATCTTAGCCGATTTCTCCCACCTGGCGTCGATCTTCATGCTGCTCCAGAAGATGAAGACGTCAAGCGTATGTCCCTCTCCAGCCTATTGTCGCACACTACTAACGAAATGCGCAGAGCTGCTCCGGGTTGTCTTTCAAGTCCCAGGTCCTTTATCTCCTCGTTTTTGTCACTCGTTATCTTGGTAGGTTCACAATGGCCCATTTGTCCTTCCCTCGCTGACCCTCTCAGACCTCTTCTGGACCTTCACCGAGTCACTGTACCTCACCACCTTCAAGCTTCTCTTCATTGGCTCCTCTGCCTATGTCATCTATCTGATGCTTAACGATTACAAACCAACCCACGACCCCAACATCGATACTTTCAAGGTCCAGTACCTCCTGGGAATCAGCGCGGTGCTTGCGATTCTCTTCCCCCACGATTATCGTATTTCCGAGGTAGATGCACTCGCGACCGCTTCGCGCCAATGCGCGCTAACGTCATTTAGATCCTCTGGACATTCTCAATCTGGCTGGAGTCGGTTGCCATTTTGCCTCAGCTGTTCATGCTCCAGCGGACCGGAGAGGCGGATACGATCACCACGCACTACCTGTTTGCTTTGGGTCTCTACCGGGCCCTCTACATTCCCAATTGGATGTTCCGATACTTCACCGAGGCTTCGTTTCAGCGTTCTTTCCAGCCTGTTCCCATCCTGGCAGGAATCATCCAAACCCTGCTTTATTCGGACTTTTTCTACATCTATTACAACAAGTAAGCGTCCGCGGATGGAAGCATCGCGTGCAAGCACTGACCTGGACATAGGGTATTGAAAGGCAAGAAGTTCTCGCTTCCTGTCTAAGTACTTTCTCCCCGGAGAAAGCAAAAGAAAGCAAAAACCAGAACCAAAGAAACCAGACCTCTAAGATTCACGAGACATTGTTGCCCATACCCAGCATGGGTATTTGGCTTTACATATGACGATGGCTCACTGAATTTGCTATATTCGCTTGGTCCTCCCGGGCCACATGAACTACCAAGTACGACTAGGCGACTTGAGCCACCTCACATCACTCAAGGCCAATGCTGGCAGTGTGGTACATAGACATGTTTTTTGATGTCCTGAGCCTAGAATAGCCTTGCAACCGGTAGCCAACCCGCAAATTGCGAGTTGGCACCGGCCGCATACTTGGAAACTCGTCGGACGGCTTGTGTTTTATGTCCCTATGCGCTCGGTTGTATGTGTCCAAGTCTAGATATGATGAATCAAATTGACTTTCCAAAACCCTTGTTCACGTATCATGTCAAACAAAGTAAAAAGCAACAGTACTTGAACCCGGGCGTTACACGAGTCTGTAAATGCAATTTTAGAGTTTTAGATATGTGTATCTTCCGACAGTTCTCTCGAAAAAAGGTGCCCCCGCCCCTTCTTTCTCTTCTCTTTTTCTTCACTATGTCCAGGGCGCCATATACCCGCATGTGCGTTGACAGGACCTGCAATAACCCCCAAGACACTTTTCCGGAGCACAGAGTGTACCCCGATGAGCATAGCACCAGGCAATCAGAAGTCTCTCTGGGATGGGGTATGAGCAGGAACATAGCCTGTGTAGCTCAACTGCGATGGAGGAATGGAAAGATCAGTAGAAAAAGGATCCAATGTGCTGGCGATCGAGTGTGAAAGGTTGCTCATCGAGCCCTGGTAAGATCGAACTCCATTGCCGAGCGTTGACCGACCCTGGACTCCTAGATGACTGTCCAACCAGCCATTATGGCCATGTATATGGCCGAAGAAGTCCGATGTCCGATCCAGCGGCAGCTGGCCGTTGAAGTTAGACTCTTGCCGCGAAATTGGGGGCGACGGGAGCTTGGGAGACCGAGGGACCATGTCAAGTCTGGGGGAGCTTCTTCGTGAGTTGGGCGGCGTCAAACGCGAGCCTCCACGTCGTACCTGGCAGGTTGGACAGATCTTGACAAACCGAGAGATCAGCTCTTTCGGAACCCTACGCCGTGTCAATGAGGGACTTCTTGAAGACGAGGCTCTCCATACCATGAGTAAATCCGTCGGACCTGGGCGGAAGTCTTGTCTCGACCACCATGTTGACATTGCTGATGGGCTTTGGTAAGAATCTTGAACAGTTTTTCACGAATCGCCACTGGTTTGCCCTCATGGCAGATCATTTTTCGGTTCTATGCCAGGGATCAGCATTGGATGAACGCCCCCCTGTCGGAGAGCACCTACATCTGATGCGCCAATGCCCACCGCTTGTAACTTGAACATCTTCTTTACCCAGAACCTAAGTGATTTAGCAAACGCAGGCGATTCTATTGGGGAACCTCATACCGAAATTGAGCCGACTCGACCGCCGTATCCTTGGGGTCTATCAGCACAGTCCGGATATTGCGGGCTCTTTTCGCATAGATCAAGGCTTTGTCTTGCTTTTTAACAGAGAGATCCTCAACATAGCTAAAGCACGGGAATTCATTAGAATGGTGGATGGGAGGGGGCCCGGGGTGTCCTCACTTCTGCATGAGTTGATCAAACTCCTTCACATCTGGGAAGCCACTGAGAGGGGGCACTACCGCTTCGGACAGCAAAGTCGCCTCGTTGCGGGATTCTTGGCTTTCAATCTCCGTGTCCCCCAGTGGATCCCGTGGGAGATACCTGGATGCTTGGAGGTATCGCGATTGGGTCATATACTGCGGCGAATGATGTAGTCGAGGATCTTCGGGAGTGGCCATGGACGGAATTGAATGCTCGGAAGTGTACTGGAGATGTTGTAACCCAGGGGAGAGGCTTGAGTGTGAACCATACGGCTGGCCAAATTGAGAGCCGTAGGGGTTGAAGGACTGTAGAGGAAAGTGGTATGCGGCGGATCCATGTGCATTGAAGTCGTGGCTCTCTTGCTTGAAGTCATGGCCATCCTGGCCATAGGATCCTGGGACTGCCATTTGGTGACCCATGAGATATGCATCATTCCCTTCGTTGCGTCTGGCAAAGCTACTCATCATGCGCGGTAAACGATCAAACACCCCAGGTCAATCCAGCTTGTTTCGGGTTGCTGCGAGTTGGGGAAGAAGCCCAGAGGAAAGCAGGCTGAAACAACAGTGGGAGTGACGACGAGCTCGATTATATGAGGCGGATGTAGAAGAATTGGCCTGGAAGAGATAATACCCACGATATCCTGACACAAGAGACGTTAAGTCCCCAACCACAGCTTAACGAGGTCAAGTGAAGGAAAGTAGAGAAGGAAGTCACTGAAGACCCATCTGGAAATGGGATAGTAATTCTATTAAAAAGACCGGACCAATGTTGCAGGACTGACATGGCTGATGCCCAAGTGCACGAGACCATGTCGAAACCGAGATAGTGGACAGAAACAACAGAGGGCATCCCTGGAAGACGAACAGCAAATATTCCACAGAGAAAAAAGAAATGGAGCCCAGCGAGTCGAGCAAAGCACTGTAAGGTACGGAAGCAAGTGTATTACCAAAGCTTGCAGGGGAGAGAATGACCAGGGTCCTGGAGGGGGTGGGGGAAAAAAGAAAAAAAAAAAAAAAGAAAGAAAGAAGGGAAAAAAAAGATGAAGGACAAGGCAGCAGAAGCGCGCGCGCGAGAGAGCGAGAGAAAGTGAGCGAGAGGAAGAGAGAACAAATGGACTAGGATTCGTGGTCCATTCTTTCCGACCCGCCGAGGGCAAAGGGAGTAGACTGATACGACAGCACACAGGTGATACGGAATCCTGCCTCGATGCCCTGGAGCCATTTGCCTCAAAGCCCTGGAGATGGGAGTGGATAGCCTACTCGAGGCACCCTATCGGAGACTGAGATGACCGGGGTGGTAAAACATTCGACCTGGTTTGATCGAAAGTACGGGGGGCGAAAGTTGACTCTCCCCGACTTCGCCTTCGATGGAATCTGGAATCTCTTTGTCTCTGCACGTTTGCCTGTCAAACAAAGTAGAAACAAAAGAGAGGAACCTGCACGTAGCCGTGCCAATTCGTAAGGAACATGGATCTGGAGGTGGCGTTCCACCTGGGAGTCGTGAGGATGAGAAACTGTAGCCAAAATAGATAAATCAAAAGGCCATTAAACTGGAATCACAACGGAAATGACCAAAGGAAATTGCAGACCGAAAAAGAAAAAGAAAAAGAAGAATAACAATAATAATAGACAATCCCTGTCGCATGCATGTTGTACTGTGGATGTTGTCCCACAGCTTCACTGTTCCAGATACCAGTGAGCTTCCGTTGGCGTGTTTCGGGATTTTGACGTGGCCAAAAGGCGAGTGGCATGCCAAGGGCCATCGAGGGGAATGGTTGGATGGATGGACTTGACAGGCGCATAAAGGGGGGGCAATCAATGCATATCGGGACGGCAGGATTGCATGCGTTTGGTCCGAAAGGTGAGACACTCAACTCCATCGGACATTGAACACTTCTCAAGGTTCGGGGCCTCGCAGGACAAAAGCAATCGTAATCCGGTCCAGTCAAGAACTAGAAAGGGGAATAGTGTACAATCTCGCAGCCGGTGTCACTCTGCTGCTTCCCGTTGATCGTCTCCATGTTCCCGGAAATGGTCTGCATAGGTTCCGAGTCCGAGGTGTTTCGCGCATCGATCGGCGTCATGGATGTTCCTTGATTTGGAAATGAGAAGGGACATCACAGAAGGGGGGAGAGAAGAGCGGGAAGAGGGAAGAGGGAAGAGGAAAGGGGGAAGAGGAAAGGGGGAAGAAAGAAGAGAGGAAGACAAAACGAGAGAAAAGAACACGGGGAGTCCCCTCAACATTAAACGGTATGTACTCAAAACAAAAAAAAGTATAGTTACAAACGAAGCATCCAAATGCTTCAATGCCAGAAATCCGTAAATTCATGATGGCCATATCATCAAGGCCAATCAGAGGTCTCTTCATGTCGTAAGTTCGTGTCAGCTCTGAAGCTTTTCCTCCTCAGCTCTCATGTATTGCTAAAGCCCACTAGATCACGGATGATCCATCTCCAATGGTTCGCTTGATCATCTCGATCAAAGCCAACCCACCGGTCAACTTTGCGGCGCCATTTTTCTTCCTCCGCCCGTTGTCGGCGGATGAACTCGGGGCCAACGTCAAATTCCTCGGTCATGGGTCCTTCGTCCGAGGAATCCCCGCCACTGGCATCCTCCGTAATTTGGCTGGGGCCCTCGAAGGTCCCAGACTTGCGCCCGTGGATGGTACTGTTGGTGACTCGGTCTTCCAGATCGTCAAGCCCAGCAAAGACATCAACTTCATCTTCAGCCTCGACGCTTGCAGCCTTGAGCCAACACATACGATGCGGGTCAAAGACCATTCCCCCCACGGTTTGAACGTTTTGCATCGTCCCGACATTGGTGATGAGGGCTGGTGCTGGTTTGGGTGATCTTGGAGCGCAAGTCTCGAAATCAGGGATCTGATTTTCGTTTCCCTCCCATCGGAAGTTGTTAGGGTTGTAACGCATACCGCCCACAGCTGGAAAAGAAAACAAAACGTGAGCAGTGAGCATTGGGAGGTGGGCCCGAGTGGAGATGGCTGAACTTACATTTAGCATCCTGAACACCAGACCCTAAGGGCTTGATAAGGTGTGGCTTGGTCGTCGGCCTGATATTGGATTTGCCTTTCCGACTTCGAATGGGTGCAGAGGCCGGGGGAATTCTTGATATCGGTTGGGATTTCCAATTCGAGCTCAAACCTGTTAGAGAATTGGTTTCACGGGCTTTCGAGCTCAGGGCCATGGAGGCAATACGCTGCTCTCTTGCATTTCGAGAGGCGTTGGTATCTTGGGCAAATCTCGGCGTTGGGCTGCGCAACTTCGAAGTTGATGGGGATGTCGATGGCCCAGGAGGTGATTCACCGTGAGGACCAGCCCGGCCTTGGCCAAGCTTGTTTCTCACAGTTCTCGGGGCGCCTCGGCCAGTGGGAGTTTTGACGAATTTGCTTTCGGCCAGAGCCGAGGTAGATAAGTCATCGAAGGAGGCCAATTCTGATCCATCGCCGAAATTGCGTCTCTTGGTGGGTCGTGTGATAGTGCGTTTAGAGGAGTGGCCCGTAGAATGTGTGCCTACATCGCCAAGCCCGCCCCGAAGGGGCTCATTCTGGGTAGACCGAGTGAGCCGAGAAAATGTGTTTTGTGGACTGAGAAGTCCACCAGAGCTATCAGAATTTGTACGGCGTGACGAACGATATCCCTTGACTGTGGCATGGTGCGATTGGGACTCTGAAACACCAGCCGGCATGAAAGGAGCCTGGGTTCTACGACTGAGTGATCGTCCATCATGAATAACACGATCAACCGGTGTCTTGGGTCTCGTGGTAGGCAGACGGACAGGGCGATCGACCGGCGGTCGTTGAGATGTCTGTGTCGAGGAACTCGACCCCATGCCACGTATTGACGGCAAGGAACGCTTGGGTTTCAAGCGTCTAGCTGCGGTGTTGATCTCGCCCGATAAGGGGGAGTCTCGAGGAGTTCGTGTCCCTAGAATACGTCGAGTAGAGCTTGAAGGTGTTGGGGGGGTTGCGCTGGTGCTAGATACTGGAAGACTTGAAGTTGAGGACTGCGAGGAATGCCCGATGCGCGATTGTGACGCCCTAAATTTGAAGAGAGGCGCACCGCTTTCTGACACCGTTTCAAGATGAGTCGAATGTGTGCGCTCATGGGTCATTAATTGTGGGATACGAGTTCGTGGGGATCCTGTTGTACTGGTAAATGTCAAAGACGTGGCAGACCGACGAGTTGGACTGGGTGGCTGTTCTGTTTTGTGCTTGATGTTGGGATTTAGATCAGGTTTCCCAAATGAAAATGCCTTCTCATTGTCGACCTCAATCCCAGAAAAGAAGTCATCAAGGTCAGGGTACCCATGGAGTTTCTTCCTCTCTTCCGCGTCGGTGTTTTCATGCTGCGCTGTTTGCCGTTTTTGCAGAGAGGCACTGAAGTCTAGGGGACCTTCGGGAATGACAATGCCTTCGAGTCCCTCGTCCCCACTATCCGCCGTCAAGCAACTTGAAACGCTGGGACTAGCGATCGACATGGAAGAACTAGGGAGCGATCGGCCATCTCTCGCAGTACCCCCGACTCGGACGCCAATGCTTCCCTCGGACCATTCGAGGTCAAAATCCTCTAGGGTGGGAGTCGAAGCGCCGTGTGTGTCCTTTCGGTGAGACAGTTCCAAAGGCTGGTAATTGTCAGGAAGTTCAAAGTCTTGGTTGAAATCGTCGTCTGTCTCCCGGGGAACTTCAACGGGAATGATCTTTTGGGGAGATCGAGGAGTGGTGGCTTTCAGAGTCGGTACGTCCGGAAAAACAAGGCCATCGGTCTCTCCTTGAAAATAATCGAACGAACCCAGGGCAGATTGAAGGCGTGTCGTGATCTCGGGATCCCATGACGGAGAAGCAGTGGATTTCACCGGACTCGTCCCAGTGGAACTTAGCAGTCCAATAGAGTCTGGGAACACTGTCCCATGTGTTTGCAATTTCAAGACGGTCTCCGGGCCAGGAAGCTCAACATCCTCTGACCAGTCGTCCACAAAAGTTTTCCTGGTTTTTCGGCTCGACAAGCGCTTGATTGTACCTCCAATCAGCGCGGATTTCGGGATATTAGGGGGAATGGGAATGCCAGCGGTGTTGGCGGACGCAATGGCATCTTCCTTGGCAAACTCATCATTGTCGTACAGCGGAACCTGCCAGTCCTCGTCACCGACGTTGGACTCGATATCAGAGCGGGCCGAGCGTCTTGAGGATATCGAGTCTCGGTGACCAGAGGGTCGAAATGACGAGTTCGTAATGGAACCGGCACTAGACGCAGTGCGAAACTGTATCTCCTCGTTAAATTGCAAGTCGTCGTCGTCGTCCCAGCATTCAATCGATTCATCGGCGTCTGGTCGTGATTGTTTGTGGAATATGTCCATCATGATATAGATAGACGTGTGGCAGAGGCGTGACTGCGGCGAGCTCGAAATAGTTTCAAATGTGCCCGGGTAGCCCTGCTTCAGGAAGAGGACTCAAGGCTTTGCGACGCTGATAGATATCCAGGGGGCGCGAACATTAACGTCATTCCGGGGCGGTTGTGGATTGGGTGGGAAGGGGTAGAGAGGCGTGACGGTTGACGGTAGCAGACGTGATTTGCAGGATTCTCAGGAGAATGGGTGCTCAGTCAGTGTTATGTCTGGACAGTTTGCGAGCTGAGAGCACAGGTAGGCCAATATGATCGAATCCAGGTGCCCCCAGCAACATCGAACAATTCAGCATCGAGAAGGTGTAGTGTAAGAGCCTGGTACTTCTCCCCCTGATCCTCAGTGAGCCGGACTGGTGGTTTGGTCGTCAACAGTGAGTGCTGTTGAGTCCAGAGAAAAGGGTAGTGGCTGGCTCGTGGAGAGGGAGGAACGTGACGAGTATTGGTATTGGTAATATATCTGGTATTCGCGATACACGGACAACTGCATTCCTCAGTCTTTGATCCGACTATGTATGGCTTCTCCAGTAGTCCCACTACCTACTCTATCTATGCTAGTCTCCTGTGCTGTGTATTATATGCAGCAAGAGTATAGGCGTTGAGTCACATAGCACTATGAACTTGACATGCAATGGCTAGTTAGTTATCGACTAGTTCACTAGTTCTGCAAGGCACCCTATAAGTCAATACTACGGACTCGCTATATATCGTATTCTATTAATACACGCTATTGGGCTGGTAATACTTCACAGTATACGGGGTACTCCGCTGGACTTCGCTGAAGACCTTAATGTACTGACCGGTACGGAGTACTGGTATATGTAAGTTTGGCTTCTGTTGCCTAATCAGTCTTCGCATCGAACCAGTCACTTTCTCCTTTTTCAAGCTTCGTCACTATGCCGACTCCAAGAGTGTTGCGGTTCGAAAGAGCCGATGACCCGGGGGCCTTTGTCTTAGTACAAGTCTCACACGATGGCCCTGCGCCACTAGATCTAACCCTCACGGCGACCGAGGGGGAGTCGCCCTATGTGAGCGTGGGTGGGTCTTCACTTCCGGTGTACATGGATGGATCGCATAGGCTCATGTCGCGCAGTGAAACAAGTCCGTCTGAAAGATCTCCGGGCGAAAAATTACCAGGGCTCGGAAGATGAGTGGCTCCAAATATTGGCCTTTTTCTTGGGCCAGTCTGAATCGACAGAGAGTCCGGAGTGTGCCACGGGGCTGGAAGCCTCGGCAACCATATCGGGCTCTGATCAAGAACAACAGCTTGTCATCACCATACGCAAGCGCGTGCATACCATCACAGTTCGTGTTCCATAGGAGGGAAGTTGAATCGCACTGAAACTGACCTCAAACAGCAACGGATTGGCGCACTGAGCTTACAACAGGACGATGAACAAGCCATTGAACTGTTGGATTGGGCTGGCATTTCCACAGCTAGAGCTGATGACCTAGAATACCAAGTGTCCAGCCTGACGAGTCGATACAGTCTCGCGGAGAACACCATTCAAAAATTGAGCCAACAGCTGGAAGAGCTTATGCGCGCAAAGGCCCAGCATGAGAACCAACTGGTAGCCAATTTTGTACAAATTCTCAATGAGAAAAAGTTGAAGGTGCGCAGCCAACAACGTTTGCTGGCAGCGGCAACAGTGAACCCGATGACAAGTAGGTGCTATATACCACCAGCCCATACAATACCAGGTTGACCGACCCCCGCAGTGTCCGAGATACAAGCTGGCATCCCTGCGGAACCACCTGCAACGGGAAACCCCCACCCAGGAAAGAGGAGCGCCAGAAGCATAAGCGACACAGACGTCTCGTCGGATGATTTCGAGCGGGTGGATATCGATCGATCGAGGTCTCATCGAAGGTTTGTCAGCGGTCAGGGGTCTGATGATGCAGGACACTTGACACAGTCCCCAGAAGAACAGGTCACAAGCTCCGATGACGATCGCTCGCAAGATCAACCTACACAGCAGTCTCCGCCAGTGGCCTCAGAAAGCGATGCTGCTCCGCCTCCGCGAGTGTTACCGTTCACCAGGAGGACGGGGGGCATTGTTCAGGGCACTGCCGCGACTCAGGCCAGGGACGATCCGGAGGCCACAGGGGGAGAAACAGATGACGATGAGCTCTAGGTCAACCAGAGATCTGGGACACCAACAATGACTGTCGGTCACAAATCGGTTTACGATAAGCAGCAATTCTCCAACATCCTCAACGCCCATGGATTCAAAGTTTTTGGAGGTTCAGTCTTTTTATGTACAAGTCAACCACTGCCAGTTGAATCCAGACGCCAAAAGGCAGCGAAGAGGTCAACAGGAATCGGGAAGGCGTTCAAGACGACAGGGGGGGAAAACATGGAAGACGGAAAAAAGGAAGACAGTACATCAATAGGGAAATTTAAGATGTAGTACAAAAGAAACGCCAGCAACCATTAAAGAAACACAGAATGTGATCAAGATGAATCACGATCTTAACCGTACAGGGCCTGCGGAGACATTTCTCCAGCAGCCATGAAGTTTGTCTCGGGGTTTCCAGTGGCCTTGGCAGCAGAGGCGCGGGCCATGGTAGGTGAGCTAAGAAAACAGTTAACGAATGCCAAGTAGCGAACCGGGGAGAAAGCGAAAGTGAAAAACTGACCTTCGGGAGATAGAGTCGGTAAAGAAAAAGTCTTCGATGACCTTCTTGAAAGGTGCGCCAGTAGTCGCGGACCCCTTGTTCTGGTCTACAAGCTGGACCTTGCTCAATGAACTAACGGAAACAGGCTCGACGACGTCGTAGCGACGCATGACAGGGCTGATTTCCTCCATACGGTCGCGGAGAGCCTCAATGTCATCATAGGGCAGAGGAGCGTTAAGGAACTCACTGGTGGCACGGATGATCTTCCAGTCATCGCGAGCTGCCCCAGGGAGAGAGGTAGCAGCCCGGGTGACCTGCACTCGACCTTCGGTGTTGATGTACGTGCCAGACTTCTCAGTGTACGCAGCACCGGGAAGAACGACGTCGGCAAGTTGTGCGCCGCGGTCACCGTGGTGTCCCTGGTAGATGACGAATGCATCCTTTGGAATTTCGCTCTGAGCAATCTCATCCGCGCCCAGAAGCCAGACCATCTTGGGGGTGGTCTGTGAAACCTCTGTAGACGGCGCGGTGAAACCGACTTCATAGGCGCCGGCACGAGAGGCAGCGCGCTGAAGGACATTGTACCCTTGCCACTCAGAGGTGGTGAAGTTGCTGGCGTGCTTCTCCACAAAGCTACCGACAGTCTCGAAGATTGCCTTGGCATCAGCGTGTTCCGCAGCGGCGCTACCGACAATGATCATGGGTCGCTGTGCAGCGGCAAGCTTCTTGCCAAACTCTCCAGACAACGCACTCTTCAAGGAAGAGACGTCAGCACCAAGGTGGTCGAAGTCAAAGGTACTCTCAAACTCCTCGCCAACAAGACCAATCTCAAGGTCAGATCTGATATATTGCTTGCGGATGCGGGCGTTGAGAACGGCAGCCTCGTGACGAGGGTTTGTCGCAACCAGGAGAATGGCGTCGGCCTCCTCGATTCCATAGATCTTGGAGTTGAAGAGGTAATTAGAGCGAACATCAACGCCGTGAGCAATGGGAGCACTGCCACCAGGCTGATCGAGGGCAAGGTTATCAGAGCCAAGCTTGTTTGCTAGGTCCTTCATGGCGACGAGCGACTCAGCATCAACCAAGTGTCCAGCGACAGCCTTGAATTCATTGGCCTGGGGCTGGAGCTTCTCGTGGGCGGCCGAAATCTCCAAGAGAGCTTGTTCCCAAGTAGCGGGAACGAACTTGCCCTCCCGACGAATGAGTGGGGTGGTGAGACGTTGAGTCTTTAGCCCATCGCAGGCGAAACGCGACTTGTCGTTGATCCATTCTTCGTTAACGTCATCATTCAATCGTGGAACGACGCGCATGACCTCGAGTCCTCTGCTGTCAATGCGGATATTGGAGCCAAGTGCATCGAGCACGTCGATCGATTCGGTGTGCTTCAGCTCCCAAGGACGCGCGCGGAATGCGTAGGGCTTAGAGGTCAGCGCACCAACAGGACAAAGGTCAATGACGTTTCCTGAAAGTTCTGAGTTGAGGTTCTGCTCGAGGTAGGTGCCAATCTGCATGTCGTTTCCGCGACCGGCGGTTCCCAATTCCGGGGCGCCAGCGACGTCGTTCATGAATCGAACACAGCGAGTGCAGTGAATGCAGCGGTTCATCGAGGTCTTGACCAAGGGGCCAATGTTCTTGTCCTCCACGGCACGCTTGCCGCCTTCTTCGTGGAAACGACCCCGGTCAGCACCGTAACGCATCGATTGATCCTGAAGATCACACTCTCCTCCTTGGTCACAAACAGGGCAATCGAGGGGGTGGTTGGCGAGAAGGAATTCCATGACACCCTCCCGAGCCTTGTGGACCAGCGGCGAGTTGGTTTTCACCACCATACCGGGTTGGACCGGCCAAGCACAGGAGGCGACCGGCTTAGGAGCACGTTCAACTTCGACGAGACACATTCGACCTGTGTTTGCCATTAGCAGGTGTGCCTAGGGGGAGTCACTGAGTAGCGGATATGTTGCCTTACAGTTTCCTGCGACCAGAAGTTTTCTTGAGCGGCTAGTTAGTACATCACATCAAGCATCTCTCAATCTGGGGTACGTACTCGTGGTAGCAGTATCTGTGAGGGGTCAGTTACCAATACCAAAGGGTCATTGAGAGGGCATTCGTCATACCTGGGGACTGTGGCGCCTGCTTGTTCACAGGCTTGGATGAGAGCCGAGCCGGCTAGGGAATGATGTGAGAAGAATCCCAGTTGAACTTCTGGTGATGATATTTACCTTCGACTGAAACTTTCTTGCCATCTGGAGGATCACAGGGTCAGCTATCAATCAGACTGGATGGAGATGATCAATCGAAGGCATACCAATGGTGAGTTCCACCTCGGCCGCGCGAGGAACTGTCGTCGCGAAGGTCCTGGGGATGACCTTGGGAGCCCGGAGTGACCGAGCGGCCGCACGGAACAGCTGCGGCCGCATCATTGCAAAGAGGCAGGTTAAGAGGGGTGGGAGATAGGGTGGAGGAGGACGAGGGGGGTGGAAACTTGACACTTGGGAGTTCAGAGAGCACTTTGCACCGGAATCTGCGGTTACATAATGGGGCTGCTGACCATCCCTAAATATGACTAAGCCAAAACGGAAATGGCCTCACGCGGATTGGCTCGGTTATGCCCCTCACCGCCGCCATATAAACGCAGCAGAATCCGCAGTGGGCGGTCAGGTGAATCCCCTTAAAATCCAGACGGCGGCAGACCCCTTCATGCTTCTTTTCTTACTAATTAAATTGTTTCACGGGCATCATTATTGTAGGAAATAGGCTTCTGTTGTTCCTCTTTCCTCTACAGCATGTCCCAAGAGCAGAATTGCGCCGTAGCTGGAGCTGTCAAGGGTTCGCCTGATTATGACTTTGTTCCTTACCGACGGTAGCTACATCCCTTTTCGTATGTATCACTCTGGCAGGGCAAGCGTCTCCCGCACTTCGATAGATATCCATATTGAAAAGAAATCTCGCAACTATAAGATCTCCTGCCCATGGCGCGTAGCACTGCAATGTCGGCCGAATAACATTTCGACTGTTCTTTAGGAATCCCACTGGTTGGGAATAAACCAAAGCTACCATGAGTGAAGGCAGCCTTGAGACGAGTATTTCGAAATTGTTCGTAAACGCACAGAGTAGTATTAACGTAAAGCTTGTGTCAGCACCATACATAGCGCCATGATATCATACATTGAGAGCTAAGAGCAAATAGAGGCTAGCCCGTCGTTTGAGAGTCATTGGCCTGCCATGTGGATTCTTGTTTCGTTCCAGGTAGCCAGGTGCGAGAAACGCTGGCACCTCTAGGCCGAACATGGCCAGGCAGATCATCTTCTTTTTTGGAGCTCTTCGCTGCAAGATGGGACCCGTGGCTGGCACCATCCACGTTCCTGCCCCCAGGAAATGCATAACCGTTGGAATCCCACGGTCTGCTTGTATGCCGGACGTTCATTGGGAGAATGGACTTTTGGGCTCGGAAATGGTCCGCATTAGCTCTTTGGTCGGCTGCGTCGTCGTGGCTGTTGCGATCGTAGAGGTAAAGACCAACGAACGTGAGCGCAATGCCAACTGCCTGGATTGATGTGGTGGAGCTACCAAACCAGACAATTGCCACCACGATCACGAACACACGCTTGACCAATGATGCAACTGAGTACGACACAGGAGAGATCATTGATAAGAGAACAAATGCCAGGATGTTTTGGGCAAAGTGAGAAATTCCGTTGAACACAAACTCCATCAAAAGGGCACCATGGTCCAATGACCCTTTTTTGCCAGAAAGTGAGATTACCCCGTCGTTGACGAAGTCAGCGACCATCGGGTATCCTTCAGTCACAAACCAGAGAGGCAGGGTAAGGAAAAAGGCTAGCCCGGAGCAATAGCACAGCAGGTTGAGTTTGTCCAACTTCCGTCGTCCTGGGCTTTGCATTTCGGATTCAGCTCGGTCTGCCTCGTTGAATAACTTCTTAGAAAAGATGTTCTGAGAGACGAACACCAGGGCCGCCCCGAATGCGCAAAAAATTCCGAAGAAGTTGGTCGACACATCAGTCGAGCATGCAAGCATCACCCCCAGAGTCAGTGGGATGAGGGATAGATAGGTTGCCTTGGCATATCGAATGCGGAATAGGACCCGATATGCTAGAACAGTGAAGAGGGGTGAAAGCCCTTTGATGGTATGAACCAAAGACACGGGGATCTGAGCGGTTGCCATAGAGCTGAGGACGTGACCAGCCAACTGAAACACCGCCAAGGGCAAGGCCGTCGAAATCACATCCCGGGATGGATAGCGAATCCCATGCTGAAGAATAGGTACACTTTGATGCAACTGAGGAAATATTGTGGAAAGGTACACCAATAGCAAACACCAGAATGAAACGAATGCAAATTGAATCATCGTTAGTGTGATAGGCATCGGAAGGGCGTTCAGGATCGATTTCGAGGAGGTGTTGGTGACGGCCGATGTCAGATACCAAACGACACAGAGGGCCTTTGCGAGGGGTTAGCAAGTAGGCTCGGGCAGTCGTGCACATCGATGTCTCCTTGAGGGCCGGGATGAACGTACTGTGAGTCGGTAGGAAACCGGCGCACGGAGTGCTTCGGCCAATTCATGGGCGTTGGCACTCATGCTGCCATTGCGGGTCCGAATCGTTGAAATAGCTTCGCTGATGCTCTTCCGTGGACGATGTTTGTGGTTCCTCAAGATTCCATTCGCAGGATCGCGCGAGTAGAAGCTCGCTTTCCGGGGTTCCCACAGCTCATTTGCGCCGTACTTTACGGACGCACTCCGCGTGGGACGGGTTGAACCAATGATGTCGCTTGTATCTTCGTACGCAGGGAATTTGTCTATTGGGCTGCTCATCGGTTGAGGATCTGAGGGTTTGTTTGGGATTTGCAATTCTGTTTGGCGCATGGAGGAGCGTCGCCCGTGGCCGGTCACGGTGGTTGTTGCCATATCCCCGGAACTAATAGGACAAGTCAGCTTGCTGTCCCTACCTAGGTAATTCCCTCGGCTCGCCCTAGTTCACTCACCCGAGAAGATGACTGACAGGAAGTGTTTCGAGGAAGACGTGTCTGCTGAAATGAGCCGGGACGGATTAGCGATGACGAATCTCCGTGGGCGAATGAGCGTCGAGTATGGCGGACGCACGTTTTCGGTGCAAACTTCAGAAGCGCCGTGCTCGTCTCAGTTCAAGAAATGCGAGGACAATGTTCAGGCACATAGAGAGAGAGAGAGAGAAGTCGGAGGGATCGGCGCCATTTCCGCCACCTGTTACATTACAGGGTACCGCTCCGATGCTGCGGCGCCGCCCGATCTATGAGTACCTAGGTAGGTGAATGTCCACACATTCCAAGGTTGGTCCTTACTATACTATCAACACACGGGTTATATATTTCGCGACTGGTATACTCCGTACACAGTGTTGGATCATTACTTTTTAGACACAAGCATGAGGTACCTAGGTACGCGTTGCTCTCACGATCTATAGTTACTCGACGCAGGAACACAAGCACTTCTGGAATGTCACACTCACACCTATAGATGCGGAATATACCAGATATACCAGAGAATCAAAATACCCACAAGAACGAACTATATGTTCTGTCCGCAGTGGTACGGAAGCATACAGAGTGCAGGATCAATCCAGCCCATTGCCTAATCGGGATCACGGCTGAGGCTCCTTCCTGAACCTGTGTCCTTTCCCTCACTTCCTACTCTAAGGCTGCCTCTCTACTTGCCCTTCTCGCAGACCTCTCGTTTCCTTCAATGGCTTCATGTTTACCATCTCGTTAGAATCTGCTCGGAATCCTTTCGGTTGCATGTAAACTTACTTGGTTTCCAAGCCCGTTCACACTCATCTTTCGAATCCATCACTGTGCCTTCTTCTTGTCTGTCTCGGTCTTTGTTTGAATCTTTACCAGTTGAAAACATGTCTACCCTAAGCGGGCCTTCAACAGTTGGTCGCATGGGAAAAGCTGCACGGTTTGTCCCCAATGATGGCATGGATGTACGAAATCTATCTTTTGGACAGGAGTCGTCGGTATGTTCTGACCATGATGATCATTGCGTTCTAGTGGGCTAACGACCATGGCGGTGGCAGGGTCTTCCAAGCTCGACGACCCATTATCACCTCTCGGAGACGGAAGCTTCTCACCAAGGAGGCATGCAAACCTTGTCTAGCGAGGGTTCGGAGCATTCATCAAGCAAGGTGTGCACTTCCGTGAATACTCATTTACGTGGGTCTGCCATCTCACAATCCCAGAAGCAGAAGCTAGATCATATCAAAGTTGAGCCTGCCTCAAATCTCGAGAAAATATTGGCGAAACTTGCCCCCCAGTCAATCTCTCTCCGGTCCGAAACCGATCGGTCTACTGTCTCATCGCAGATCACGTCGGCCAATCCAGTTCCGTCATCAGAGCTCCCCCAAAGCACCCAGTCTTACTCCCATGAGGACAAAGCGGGAGAGTTGCTGCGACTCAGACAAGAACTTCTTGCTGCAAACTCTAGGATTGCCCTACAAGAGCAAGAGCTTGCCCAGACCCGTGTCATCAAACACACCCTGGACCAAGCCCTAGGTACTCCGTTGGAAGGGGACATCGGAAATCGTGAATTCACAGAACAGACCATCAGCCACTTGCAAAATGCCTTCAGTGCCTCAAGCTCCGCCTTCAGTCATTTTCCAGACACCTGGGGTGGTCATGATGATTCGCGATCCGATAGCTCAGATCCATTGCCCTTGGGGGTCTCCAGCAAGTCTCGAGGGCTCTGGGTACCCCACGAGCCACCTATGGACCGAGAATATGGAGGTTCGCCAGCTGGAGCCAGCGGGTCTGCGGCCCTCGATCCTCATCGATACTGGGGGCTTTCTAATTCGAACCAGCCTTTGGCCGGACAACACTCCTTGCAGCCCCGCGTACTTTCGGGGACATCAACTAGTCCATGTGGTTTCTACCCGCGTTCTGTTGGTGAACAAATGCAATATGCTCTCGGCTCAATTCATGGAGCTCGCCGTCCTATCAGTCAGAGTCACCGAGCTGGCTCCCTTGTCTCGATTCAGTCTGCGCCTTGGGGTGAACTGGGATCATCTAGCGAGCAAACCCTCAACCCGCCTGTATCCCCAATTAAAAGGACGCCCGGTGTCTTCCAGCAGACTGGTGCATACCCAGTCCCACCTTACCTACCTCGGCCAATTGGCAGTCCGCTTTCACCGACCGCCACCGAGTTCACGGGCCCAAACACAAACGAGGGCGCATGGAATTCCTCGGTGGGTATCATGCCATACAGTTTTCCCACGTTTGCTGTCAATCTAACCCCAGTTTCTTTCTAGATCGGCTCCTCCCAGACTTATGTTTCCACACTTGAGCCGATGAACTATCGGCGACTGCTTGACAAGAATATGTCATGCGATTGGAAGTACATCGTGGACAAAATTGTTTGCAACAATGATCAACAAGCCTCAATTTTCCTGCAACAAAAGCTCAAGGTGGGAACATCTGAGCAAAAGTACGACATAATCGAAGCAATTGTGCATCAAGCATATTCACTCATGGTCAATCGATTCGGAAACTTCCTTGTGCAGCGTTGCTTTGAACATGGAACGCCGGACCAAGTCATTGCCATAGCAAATGCCATCAGAGGCAACACGCTAAACCTGAGTATGGATCCGTTTGGTTGCCATGTGATCCAAAAGGCATTCGACTGTGTTCCAGAGGAGCACAAGGCTATCATGGTTCACGAGCTTCTCCGCCGAATTCCAGAGACAGTAGTTCACCGTTACGCATGCCACGTTTGGCAGAAACTCTTTGAGCTTCGCTGGAGCGGGGACCCGCCCCAGATCATGACACAAGTGAACGAGGCGCTCCACGGGATGTGGGATGAGGTCGCTCTAGGGGAGACGGGAAGCTTGGTAGTTCAAAATATCTTTGAAAACTGCGTTGAAGAGGAAAAGGTGAGACTTCCTTTTCTGGCGAGTGTGAGCTTGGTTTCCGTGTCTGGCCTTTGCTCGGGTGGGACATACTTTGAGCAATACTAACAAGTATCACAAGCGACCGGCTATTGAAGAGGTGATCGCGAAAATCGACGTGCTTGCTCACGGTCAATTCGGAAATTGGTGTATTCAGCACATCTGCGAGCACGGTGCACCCCATGATAAGAATCGTGCTGTGGAGCATGTAATTCACCGGGCGGTTGACTACAGTATAGATCAGTTTGCCTCTAAAATTGTGGAAAAGTGCCTCAAGATTGGCGGTGCGAACTTCATGGACCGATATCTTGATCGTGTCTGTACTGGCCGCTCTGACCGACCCCGAATGCCATTGATCGATGGTAAGTTGTCTTGTTTCCTTCGCCTCTCTCCCAAAATCCTATACTCACCTCTCTTCTCAAGTTGCGGGAGATCAGTATGGGAATTACCTCATCCAATGGATTCTGATGAATGCTGAGACGCACCAACGAGACCTCGTGGCCGGCCACATTCGGTATGTTTCACGTTGCTTCAAGGTGACCATCGGAACTTACCTTCTCTCTATCAGGAAACACATGGTCTCTCTTCGCGGTTCCAAATTTGGATCGCGAGTGGCCATGCTTTGCTGCAACCCTTCGCATGCTACCCGCCCTGGTCCCGGTGCTGGGATGCAAATTGGACGATTCAACAACTTCAACGACGATAAATTCTCTGCTGCAAGCTCGTCCGGCGGTCGATTTAGCCGTGGAGGTGCATGGACACCCGGCTATGGACCGCCCCGTTGAACGTGGATAGCTGATACTCGTGATATCATTACCCCGTCGCGTCCAAGAAATCACCCCAAAGTACCCCCCTCCCACACAGGATTATCATCTATGGAGTGTGGTGGTCGTCTCTCTTTCGTTGCTGGGCATTGACTAACTCCTTTGAGCACTGAGCCGGTTGCTTTTCCATATCTATTCCTATTCCCTCATCCACCCCCAGGGTCATTTCTTTTTTGCAATCTGCTAATCATCACTGCTTGCCGATTTATTCGTTTGGCTTGCTATCCTAACTGCACCTGAATTCGCTGTAGCCATCAACTCCGAAGTCCTCGGTGTTTATCAAGAAGACAACGATATTGTATCATTCCAATCCTATCACATTCATCAAAGAGCTATACAAGCGTAGACTGTATATTACGGGACAGCACTTGTAGTCTCCACTGGATGATCGGTCAAATCCTCTTTCTCCCACGGTTTCCGTCGCCGGGGCTTCTCGCTGGCGAGATCATGACCTGTCAACACTGTGTCGGGGATTTCCTGGATACCGGGGATTGGTTGTCCAGTGGTGATGAGCTCCACGATGTGCGCAAAGGAAGACGGGTAGGCTGGCTCGGCACCTTCGTCGGCGCCTGTTGACTTCAGTGACCCGGCTGATGTTTGCTGTGTGGTTCCTGTAGCTTGCTCCTCTAACCAAGACTTAAAAGCGGCGAAATCAACGGTTGGAGAGAGCTTTTCTTTTCTACCCATGGGTCAGTTAGTCGATGGAGTGCCGACATTCCCAGCATACCGCGAGAAAAAAAAGCACTTGGCTTGCCACACGAGGTCGTCATCCTTGTTCATCTCCGCCACGGAGGCCGGGGTTTCGGGATGCCCTAGAATAATGGAGAGGCCATTGGCGAATTCCGGATCTGTGTCGAATGGATAGGACAGTAGTCTTTCAAAAAGCTGTGTGTCCAGGGCCGCCATGTTGGGTGCGGTATGAAGATATATTCTTGGGGTTTGGGGATGCGGAGAGTACGTGGGGCCAAGACTAGCCGAGGCTCTTGATTGACAACTACCACACATGGATATGTATGAGCATTCTTATTTGTGATTTATAACTCCCTGCCCTCCCCGTTGGCACATGGACATAATTTCAGGGATATCGTACGCCAAACCGATGCAATGTGGATATGTGTTCGCCCGAGAGCCAAGGCTACTCGGCGCCTTTGCTCTGGCAACCTGGACAGTTGTGTACCACCTCATGGGCAAAGAGATCACAGTCGATGCAGAAGTGGCTATGACAAGCGGTACACTCATAGCGACTGCTCACACTCATTCCCTTGGTTTGACTTTCGGTGACTAGCCATTGATCCTCCGGAGGAACGGACGGGAATGATATCCCACAGGCAAAACAAGCAGAGCTTTTAGAAGCTCGACGCCAGGGAACCTCGATCCAATTGATCAATGGGAATAGGTGATGATACGATCTCGCCAAATGAGTGGATAGGATCAGCGTGAGGCCACACGATGGACACTCAGCGGGCAAATTACACACTTTACTATTGCACCGCGAGCAAAGATAGCCCCCCCGCGAAGGTTTCGAGTGGCAAGCGCAGAGGGAGGGAGCAGTCTCCACGGTACGAGATGGAAATCCCATCATCAGCAGCGAGCTCGCGGATTCTTTCTGTGAATAGGCAGCTGGGGGGGTGGTCACATCCATCATTAGCTCCCTGAAGTGCTGCTCGTTCAGCGCAACCCCGTAGGCCGTTTCATCGCCGCCATTTGTCTTGGTGCAAAGTTCCCGACAGATGGCAACCTGCGCGGCAAGTCCCACCACGCCCACCCGGACTTTGTCGCTGATCAAAGTACCTATCGTTTGGTGGATATCTCCGGGGTCGGAGGAAAGCAGGGATCCAAATATTATGAGTACTTCCCGGGTACCATGACTGGGGGTATGGCTATATCCATCGGTGAGTTTTCAGAGGTCCGAGCTGGGCAAGATGTCAACACCTACAAAAGAGCACCACGCGCCATCTCCAATCCGTTTTGAAGACTAGGAAGGCCCTTCGGATCTTGTGTTTTGAGGGCTTGGATGGCCGTGAGATGCTCTGTTGGGTTTCCACTCATATCACTGACCCGCAGCGCAAGACCATCTCTCAAGCCTAGGACCCCGAGCTGGGAGATTGGATTTTGCTCAAAAAATTCCCTCACAAATTCCTGCGCATATCGAAGGGTCAATAAATATCTTGTTGGGCGTAAGTCTTTCTCGGACATGGATTGTGAAAGGTCGATGATTAGGATGAGATGTCGAATGATCCCGCGCTGTAGTGGTGTCGTATCCTTCAAGAGCCTAAGATCGAAACGATGAGTTCGCCGCCCAGTGGGAACTTTGGGATCATATCACGTACCTTTTACGCTTATTGGCCTCGAGCAGCCCTTCGACTGTTGAACTGATGGTGCCATCGGCTCCTTCAACAAGTGTCTCCCAGGTTCTGGAAAGCTCCCACTCTGCGCCTCCTCGCTGCTTTCGTTTCTTGGCTCGAGGATTGTCTCCTCGAGTGACCTGAAGTTCATCCTCATCCTCCGTCACATCACCCACATATTCTTCGTCAGAATCCGCCATGGTTGTTGAGGGAGAAAAAGAAGAGAAGGGGGTCTAGGGCGGAAAATGGTCCAAGCTTCCGACGGAGCTCCGGGGATCTGCCCTTGTTCTCTCTGGTCTTTTCCTACTTTCTCTCCAGGTGCGATGAGCTCCCTCGAATTGTAGGGAAAGGAAACCAAGCTAAGCAATCCTCCTCCGACGGTAGCCGTAGACCGCAGCTCGATGTGGGGAAGAAGATCCATTGCGAGAGCTGGCGTAGCATTTCAGGCCCGTCCACTCACCGTCCGCCCTGCCCCTCTTCGCACTATACACTTGGTCTCGCGCACTCTGCCAACTCGACCTCGTCTACGTTTTCCTGCTTTGAAAACCTTCACGCCCGCCAGACATTGCTCCGCTGAAGTCCGCATGATGGCCTCGCAAGAAAGAGAGACCCTGCCTGATGTGTGAGTCCTGTTTCGCTGCTCTTTAGCTGGGGTGATCTTGCTTACAGTCGCAGGGCCAAACCCATCAACTACCACGTCTCTCTCTTCGATTTACAGCTCGGTGGCTCGTGGGGATATAAGGGTACTTTGAAGATCGATCTCCAAGTCACCCGCGCTACAACCGAAATTGTGCTCAACTCAAAGGAAATCAACGTGCAAAATGCCGAGATCCTGGACAAGGATGGTACGTGAGGGCATATAAATCCAAGGGAAACATGAGACTGATGCTCCTCTTCAGGAAGCCAATTGGCCAAAGCATCTGGAATCACCTATGATAAAAAGTCGGAACGAGTCGCTTTGGCGTTCTCGCAGGAAGTTGCGCCAGCAGACGTTGTTCTGTCAATCAACTTCACCGGTACCATGAACAATGCCATGTCCGGTTTCTATCGCTCGAAGTACAAGCCTACTGGAGAGGTATCGGCCGACACCCCCAAGGAAGATGACTTCCATTATATGCTGAGTACTCAATTTGAATCTTGCGATGCACGACGAGCCTTCCCTTGCTTTGATGAGCCAAACCTGAAGTCCACTTTCGATTTCGAAATCGAGGTCCCCAAGGGACAGACGGCTCTCAGCAACATGCCTGTGCTTTCCGAAAGAGAAGGTAGCACACCGGGACTGAAGTTTGTGACTTTCGAAAAGACACCAGTGATGAGCACTTATGTAAGTCGAACGGGAATCCATGGATGCTCCATGTTAGTTTTACCGTGGCTAATCTGGGGTTCTTAATAGCTTCTGGCTTGGGCGGTTGGTGACTTCGAATACGTTGAGGCTATGACTGAGCGCAAGTATAAGGGCAAGAGCATTCCCGTCCGGGTCTACACTACTCGTGGTCTTCAGAACCAGGCTCGGTTTGCGCTTGAATGCGCTCACCGCACGGTGGATTATTTCTCAGAGGTCTTTGAGATCGAGTATCCGCTTCCGAAGGCTGATTTGCTCGCCGTTCACGAATTTGTAAGTGGATCTGCCCATACCCGACGGCCTGCCCATGTTGATCAGATCTAGGCCATGGGCGCCATGGAAAACTGGGGACTCGTGACCTACCGGACGACTGCCGTTCTTTTCGACGAGGGAAAGTCGGACAACCGCTATAAGAACCGAATTGCTTATGTTGTGGCCCACGGTAGGCCCCCTCCCCCAAAATGCCCGTCGGGCTTAGGATTCCACGAACGATCACTAAAGTAACTCGGCAGAGCTGGCTCACCAATGGTTTGGTAACCTTGTCACCATGGACTGGTGGAACGAGCTGTGGCTCAACGAAGGCTTCGCAACCTGGGTCGGCTGGCTTGCCGTCGACCATTTCTACCCAGGTAATCTCAAATTTCACAGGACTTCCACTCATCGGTTCTAATATGCAAGCAGAATGGAATGTCTGGTCTCAGTTTGTCGTACGCAGTTCCCGAGGTATCATGCCCGTCCAGCAAAACTAAGGTTGACGTTATCACAGGCTGAAGGTGTGCAACAAGCTTTCCATCTCGACTCGCTGCGCGCTTCCCACCCTATCGAAGTCCCCGTCAAGAATGCCCTCGAGGTTGATCAAATCTTCGACCATATCAGCTACCTGAAGGGAAGCTCGGTCATCCGTATGCTCAGTGTTCACCTTGGCAGAGAGACTTTCCTGCGGGGAGTTGCAGACTATCTCAAATCGCACGCCTATGGTAAGATATCGAGTAGCCCGGATGGAGGTATCAATTAACACCGGCTTCAGGAAATGCGACTACTAACGATCTGTGGTCTGCTCTGAGCAAAGCCTCCGGCCAAGATGTGCATTCCTTCATGGTAAGCCCCAAACGATGACGATGACGATGACAATGATCATCAAGTTTTGGCCGAGCAATGTAGTCTGATCCAACATAGGACCCTTGGATTCGCAAGATCGGTTTCCCTGTCGTCACTGTGGCAGAGGAGCCCGGCCAGATCACCGTGAAACAAAACCGCTTCCTGTCCACCGGCGATGCGAAGCCGGAGGAAGATGAGACCAAGTGGTGGATTCCTCTTGGCATTAAGTCGGGACCTCAACTAGCCACCGTTGATACCCGTGCTCTTACTCTCAAATCCGACACTGTCCCTGGAATTGGCGAAGATTCTTTCTACAAGATTAACAAAGACTTGTCAGGCTTCTACCGGACCAATTATCCTCCTCCACATCTGGCCAAGCTGGGTCAATCGCTTGATCTCCTCAGCACCGAGGACAAGATCGGTCTCTTAGGAGATGCTTCTGCTCTCGCAGTCTCCGGAGAAGGCACCACACCTGCCCTGTTGACACTTTTGGAGGGATTCAAGAATGAGCAAAATTATCTGTGAGGCCTCAAGTTTCTAGTCTTTTTCTTTCTTTGTTTCCCTTCTGCCTCAGTTCTAACACCAACCACCACAGTGTCTGGTCCCAGGTCTCTGCTTCTTTGGCGAACCTTCGATCGGTATTCTCACAGAATGAGAAGGTCGCCGAGGGTTTGAAACAATTCACTCTCCGCTTAGCCACCCCTGCGGCGGAACGCATCGGATGGGAATTCCAGCCTGGTGAAGACTACCTAGTTGTGCAACTGCGCAAGCTCTTGATCTCCATGGCCTGTAATGCGGGCCATGAAGGGTAAGTTTGTGTTACTCTGGTCTGATGAGGCACTCGCTCACGTCGTCATTATTTGCAGATTTGTCGCGGAAGCCAAGCGTCGCTTTGATCTCTGGGCTGACGGTAAGGATGTGAACGCCATCCACACTAACTTGCGATCGGTAATCTTCGGTGTCAATGTGTCGGAGGGTAGCCGTAAGGCGTACGACGCTGTGAAGGCCGAGTATCTCCGTACGGACTCTGTGGATGGCAAGGAAATCTGCTTATCGGCTCTTGGACGCACCAAGGACGCTGCTTTAGTGAAGGACTACCTGGACTTTGTGTTTTCCGACAAGGTGGCTGTTCAGGATCTCCACAGCGGTGCCGTCTCTTTGGCTGGCAACTCGAAGGTCCGTCATCTGCTTTGGGGGTACATCAAGGAGAACTGGGATGCAGTCTCCAACCGACTGTCCTTTAACAACGTTGTTTTCGAGCGCTTCGTCCGCATGGGGCTGTCCAAGTTTGCCGATCACCAGATCAGCGAGGACATTGCGGCCTTTTTCCAGGACAAGGACACGGTTGCCTACGACCGCGCGCTCGTGATTGTTGCCGATAACATTCGGACAAACGCGTCCTACAAGGAGCGCGACGTGGCGTTGGTTCTCGAGTGGCTGCAAGCTCATGGCTACGCTTAAGCCGGGATATATCTGACCGCGGCTCTTTAATCAATTTCATTCTTGCGTTAAAAACAGCTTTCCTCGGTCAACGCTGGGCTTCATGAATAACGTGCCTAGTGCACGGGACTTGACCGACTCAGCTGATCTTGCAGTGAGATCATCCGGTGTCAAGTGTAGTCAAGTACGAATTATTCCAGAGTGATGCTCGATTTCCAGGATTTCTGGTGACATAGTCTTTCGATCCAGGACAGGTGGCTCGATATTGATCCCCTTGCATAGTAGTGATGTATCTTTACCACATCGAACATTTCGGTGGGATCTGTTTAACCCGATATGCTATGCTCCAAGGATAGTACAAAGGATCTGTCTCGCATATCGATATATTCCGCAGGGAACGCCGTAGTCAAGGCCAAGATCGAGACGCAATCAAACTAAGGAGTCGAAGAGCGGTGACGTGAAACAAACTTGCACATCAGGTGCGTCTGGCCACCTGAACCTCCTATCATTTCAGGCGACTATTCCATCGTCCCCTCCCCCGACTTCCAGACTCTCCCATCACCTTCTCTTTGTATCTTTTTCGGAACCTGTGTGGCATTCGTTGACTTCACTGTTCCTCATCATGAACCCCGAGTGGTAAGCCGATCCCAAATTCTACCTCTCCAAACCCCTCAACTCTCATGCGCTTTTGGCGCTACATCATCTCCTTGTGGCTTCTTTGGCTGATCTGTGTTGCTGCTTAGAGTATTTGCGTATCGGAATCCGTGTCTCTTTCGACTACACCCCTTCCTACTTGGCCGAAATCCGGTTGCCTAACCATCCTAGATACGATTATCTTTTCAAGCTTCTCCTCATCGGTGACTCCGGTGTTGGAAAGTCTTGCTTGTTGCTTCGTTTCGCCGATGATACCTACACCGAAAGCTACATCTCCACAATCGGTGTGGATTTCGTATGTCGTGGATCCTGCGGGGCATTTGGTCCGCAACTGAAAGGTGGTGCTGACATCGCGGCCTTGACAGAAAATCCGCACAATCGAACTCGATGGCAAGACCGTGAAGCTCCAAATTGTACGGGTATCTCGAATTTCTGCCTCGCGTGAAAAGGCTAACGACCCTCCTAGTGGGATACTGCCGGTCAGGAACGTTTCCGCACCATCACCTCTTCTTACTACCGCGGCGCTCACGGTATCTGTGTGGTTTACGATGTTACCGACATGGATTCCTTCAACAACGTGAAGCAGTGGCTCCAGGAGATTGACCGATACGCCACTGAGGGTGTCAACAAGTTGCTTGTTGGTAACAAGAGCGATATGGAGGACAAGAAGGTTGTGGAGTACACCGTTGCCAAGGTAGGTCCAGGGACAAGGCGGGGAGCTTGCACAATGCGACGAAACCCTAATCTGTGCTGCACAGGAATTCGCCGATAGTCTCGGAATCCCCTTCCTCGAGACCTCCGCCAAGAACGCGTCCAATGTCGAGCAGGCATTCTTGACTATGGCACGACAGATCAAGGAGCGCATGGGTACGGCCACTGTGAACAACAAGCCTACCGTGCAGGTGGGCCAGGGTCAGGGCGTCCAGTCCGGATCTGCAAGTGGCTGCTGCTAAACGACATGTTCTCTGCGGGTGCTTCCATTTGGCGCAATGTTACATCATGAATGAGGGTTCCCCAACGGGGGTGGTATCTAATCGGCAGGCTTGCCCGGCCCTTGGGACACTCGGCATCGTCCTGGGCCTGAGGATACTATCTCACGAAGCTGGCAATCGTTGCGATAGTGCCGGGTCTGCCTTTCTTCTGCTTTAGACGGCCTGCGTTTCATCCTCATCTCTGCGTTTGCTTCTGCAATGACTGCCGGTTTCTGCGTTCTCATGATCTTCCCCTCTGCCCTATTTCCTTGGCCCATCGTGCTTTGTTTCTCATTTTCTATTTTCGCTCTTGTAGGCTGGACTTCTTCTTTTTTTTTTCTCTTTGAAATGGATTAATGGCGAGAAATATGCGGATTCTCGAAGCGCAGCAACCCTCCGTAGGTTTGTAACGTCTGGAATTCCATGTGAAGACATACATATATATATCACATGCCAAAATCACGACCTTACACAGTCAGAAACCGGTGGACACACATGTCAAGTAATTACGGAGTACCTAGGTCCCGCGTACTAAGTGTAGTCGACGCAGGTACACAGCCTAGGCAAAAAAGTCCGGGGCGGAAGTGGAGGAGCCGAGGCAATCACATTCGGCACGTCATGAAGTCGCTTCTCCTGACTTTTGAACCCATCTCGTTCTGATACTTCCGATACTTCTGATACTTCTGATACTTCTGATACTTCCGATACTTCTGATACTTCCGATACGTTTGATACTTTCGATACTCCTGATCCCTTTGCTTCTTTTACATCTGACTCATTTGATTGAGATACTGAGAGATCACATTCCGACTCTGTACATCCCATCGCATCGCATCGCCTCATCCCCACCATGTCTCAACCCGACCAAACAAAGATCGCTTCTGCCACAGTTCAGCAGAGTGACAACATAGCACACGCTCTGGCTGGGGCGGGCGGGGGAGTTCTTTCGATGGTCTTGACGTGTGTTTCCCCGCCTTTCCGGGGATCGTGCTAACATCCGCCAGATACCCTCTGATCACATTGTCCACAAGGGCTCAGGTCGAGTCGAAGAGGGCACACTCAACCGCTCTTGATGCCGTGCGCCGGATCGTGCAGCGCGAGGGTATCTCGGGACTATATTCGGGGCTGGAGTCTGCACTGTTTGGAATCAGTGTCACCAACTTCGTATACTACTATTGGTATGAGTTTACTCGCTCGGCCTTTGAAAAGGCGGCTACCCAGGGAGGTAGGGCCTCCAAGAAACTCACCACTGTCGAGTCTATGATCGCCGGCGCCATTGCAGGGAGTGCCACCGTGCTGATCACAAACCCCATCTGGGTCATCAATACCCGCATGACTGCCCGCAATTCCGAGGAGGCGGAGTCTCTGCCCGGGGTTTCCAAGGCCAAGGCCTCGACATTTAGCACCCTCATGGATCTGCTGAAGCAAGAGGGCCCCAAGGCCTTGTTCGCAGGTGTCCTGCCAGCACTGGTCCTGGTGATCAATCCAATTCTGCAGTACACCATCTTCGAACAATTGAAGAATGTGGTAGAGCGCCGCCGGCGCATGACACCAAAGGATGCGTTCTATCTGGGAGCGCTAGGTAAGATCCTGGCCACCAGTATCACCTACCCCTACATCACCATTAAGAGCCGCATGCATGTTGCCAGTAAGGACGGCCCTAAGGAGAGTTTGAATGGAAGCCTGAAGCGGATCATCCAGGAGGAAGGTTGGAAGGGGCTTTACAAAGGTAGGCGTTCCCATATCCAGTTCTGGCCAGCTGCTGATCCCTTGTAGGCATTGGACCCAAGGTCACCCAGAGCGCCATCACCGCTGCCTTCCTATTTGCATTTAAGGATGTGCTATACGACACCATGGTGGCTGCCCGTCGCCGGCACATCGCTAAATAAACCAGTGCCGTCATTGTATGATCCGTTCACCGTGAAATGCGGGCGACATCAATGCAAGTAGAGTCGACCAGTTTCTCGCTCTCCAGTGATACCCCGCCAATATGTTGTTTACTATAAATGGCCGTTGGATTTGACAAGTAATTTGAAATATTGACTACGGAGTACTACTACTACCTACTTAGGTACCTATGTATGTTCTTGTACACCTGTATTTGACCGCCTTGGGTTGACCGCCCACAATCACCGCGTTGTTCGCGCGACGCGACCCTCATTCTGCTAGATTACTTCATGAGACCAAAAAGTCCTCCCTCCTTACTCGCTTGCCTTGACCGGTGTTATGTCTTGTTTTACTCATCACTGTCTGCCACCGGATGTGAAGCTAGTTTACAGACACAGTTCTCCGGTCTCGCTAGTCTTAAGTGACCTGTCACCTTGGGAGGATGTCGCACAGTATACCAGCGAGTCAGGACATGCTCCCCAATTTTGGTCTTTTGGCGCAATCAATACCGACAAATCCAGATACAGTGGAGCAGACCAGACGGCTGCTGCTGCAATTTCGAGCGAGACCTTCAGTGGTCATTACCTCTAGATGTGAACAGAGAAGGGACATCCGTCGGAGTGAGCTTCCCGAACCCTCGAGTCCGGCTCCAACATACATCTCGCCCCGCCGTGGTATCTCACAATCGGAGCGACCTCCTTCAAATCCAATCCAATCGCCGTCTCCGCCTGATCGAGATGAGCCACCCCAGATCCCACGTCGACCGGAAACCAGTTCCCCACACCATTTCACACTTTCACCGTCGGCTCCCCGAACGGAGCGCACCGTGCGTACCCGGTCCTCTTCTCCAGCTGGGCGGGGCTCTCGTCAACGCACTCTGAGGGGTAGTGTGGTTACGACAAACGCCAACAGAAGCGACGAGACAACGAAATGGGTTCCTTACAAAGGACCAGGACCATCATCATCACGGTCGATGTCGCCCTTGGAATCCAACGTCCCGCGTCGGTCAATTCGCTCAAGAGCCCAACCAGTGAATTACTATGCCCCGGTTGTCCTTGATTACGATGAGCCAGAAGTGAGTACACAAGCAGCGCCTGTCTATGAACCCTGTCCCCGAGTGAAGATACAAGAGCCGAGCCGCTTGAGAACACGCAAAAAGACAATGGATTTCCTGCACTCTCGGGAACTTGGCGGAAAGCCTTTCGACAGAGATATCACATCAGACCTCAAACCATGGAAGTCATGGAGAGGGGCCTCAGGTGACATATTCGTTGTGATCTGGTCCCCCGACGGTACTCGACTTGCGGCAGGTGCTGGAGCCAATAACGACGAGTACAACAAGTCGAACAATTTTGTCTTGGGAAATCTTCAAACTAGTTGCTTGAAGGAGATTCCTGATCATCGAATTCCACGCCCCAATGCATCGAGCCTCCAGGACCCGTACCTCTATATGAGTGTGACTGATATGCAGTGGGCCGGCGACCGTTTGTACACGGCTAGTTATGACAAGACTGTGAAGATTTGGGACACTTCGATGTCGAATGATATTTCATGTTTGGCGTCCCTGGAGCACGATTCGGGCGTGGAACTGACGGCCGTGTCTTCGTTTGATTGCAACATCTTGGCGACGGGTAGCGATGTTGGCAGTGATGTGGTTAGAGTCTGGGACACTCGGGACCTAAAAGTCCCAACGTTCACAGCCCTTCCGATTGATCGGCCGAGTACTACACTCAAAGCCGGAGCATTAGCCTGGGGTATCTCGCCCGCATCAAAGGAGTTCCTCGCTGGAGGCATGTCTGACGCAGAAGTTGATTCGAAATACAAAGGTTATCTGGGAATGTGGCGCGCTCGCGAGGACGGCTTTCAGGCCATCAAGGTTTCCCGAAACTCGCAAACCGTGCATGATCTGAAGTGGCATTCTTCGTTGCCACAATTCGCAACCGCTAGCCCGGTAGATCCCCATTATGCGCGCATGAGGGGGATTGGGGCGACGAAGTCTATAGTGAGGGTCTTTAGTGTCGAGCAGGATATGCGCGTCCCCTCCATCATGGAGTTCTCCTGCCCGGCCGAGGACGTGAACGAGGTTACGTTCTCACCCACTAATGGCAGATATGTGACTGCCAGTTGCACGAATGGTGTGACCTATGTTTGGGATGATCGCAAAGGCGACACTATCCTCCACGAATTCCGCCACGGGGATCCAATCAACCCGATAGCGCATGATTCTAACCGTGAGAGCGAAGATGTCGGGGTGAAAGTCGCCCTCTGGGGTCTGTCTACAGATCAGTTCTTCACCGGTGCTTCAGATGGCGTTTTAAAACGCTGGGACGTCCGCCGATCGTCAGAAGATGCCCTTCTTCAAAATATCACTACTCTTGAACATGGATTGTTTAGCGCCTCGTTCAGTCCAGATCAAGCGCATCTGCTCATTGGCGACTCTGGTGGAGGTGTTCATGTTTTGTCTTCGGGGCCTTGCGCAGACCCCGAGATCACCGATTTCAGATTCGAATATGCCCCCGAACCACCTACCGACGACAGGAACCAGTCCCATGAAGGTGCGCCTGCCGAGATTACAGGAGAACCCATGGGTTTCGGCGTGAGTGGGATTCCACCTCAGGAAACAGGGCCGATCGGCCTGCCCGTGTGTCCCTTACCTTCGCGGTCAGAAAAGAAAAGAAGAAGAGAGGAGAGACACAATGCCAAATCTGGACTTCTTGTGGACAGACAGTCTAGTACCAATGGTGTCCACCAGCACGCAGAAGTCAAGAGAATCAATGAAGAGACTGAAGGTAACGAACACAACCTGGTCATGGACGAGAAGCATGCGGAATCCGAAGCAACTCCATATGGGACCATCGAGCAACTGGTTCGGGATTCCCAGATGGATCGCAAGCGCATTCGTCGGCGCAAAAAGAAACAACTTCTGAAAATGCAGCACATTATCCGCAACACCGAGAGCATCGACCTGACCTTGGACTCGGATACAGACACATCTGGTCGCTACAACGTGGAGCATTTACTAGAGGCTCTCGAGGAAGACCACTGGTTTCCAGAAAGTGGCAGCATCGACCCGAACATTACCGCTGAAACTCTGTGATTGGCGGCCTCTTGAGCTCTTTTTCTTTTCTGTCTTCTCCCCTTCACTGGCATAGCATGGGCGTGAATTTTTAATGTACTATCGCGTTTGAGCGAGTTATGAAAGCATCTTGAGGCGCGAAGACGACCACTTCTGACTTGAAACTGGGTCAACGTAGTCTAAATCGAGTACATGTATATGTGCAGTCCGGAGGGAGTATATAGGGCATGCACATGTGGGTGGTATGTATACAATTACGTCATCTCGCACCGCCACCGAGGCGCAGTGGATTCTCCGCTTATCCGCCAAGTATATATGACTTCTAGGTTCTCTGACTTCTGCCTCCTCTCTCCATCGTTCACCTCTCACGTCTAGTATACCTGTTCCCTTCACTTTACATCATGTCATTTGCTCCACCTCCAGGGCCCCCGCCTCCTTCGGTCCCCGAAGGATGGAAAGCACAGTATGACGAGAGATATCAAGCATGGTAAGTAGTACCGTTCAGCGGGTCACATCGGACATACTAACAAACCAGGTTCTTTATTGACCTCGCGACGGGAAAATCGCAATGGGAGGCGCCTGAAGGCCCCCCGCAGCACAACAACGGCGATCCGTCAGTGCACTCACCCCCACCCTCATACAATATGGGATCGAGTGACCCGGCGGCCCTCGCTGCAGTCGGGGACAAAAAGCAAATGGGATCCAACAACCCATATAACCAGAACAATGCGCACCAGGCTAGCCCCAACACAATAGACGAAGATGCACGCCTTGCCGCCAAGCTCCAAGCCGAGGAAGACGCCCGTGGCCAGCGGGGAACCCCATCTGCCGCAGACCGTGGCGCATCAGACGACTATTACAATAATGCGCAATCGTCGGGACTAAACTACGCCGCAGGTCCATCCCAGAGTCCAATGCCAGAACAAGAACAGAAGCGCAGCAAGGGTGGCTTCCTCAGCAAGCTCATGGGCAAGAGCTCATCCCGACCCCGCCCTCAGCAGCAATATGCGTCGTATTCGCAGCAGGGTCCCCCACCCGGGGCTCAGTACGGTGGCTACCCACCGAGACCTGGCCCGCAGCCTGGATACGGATACCCCGGCCCTGGGTATGGAGGCGGCTATGGAGGATATCCGCAACAGGGCGGATACTACCAACAGCCACCTCGCAAGCAAGGCGGTGGCATGGGCACAGCGGGAGCTGCGGCTCTCGGTGTTGGAGGTGGTTTGGTTGGCGGGATGCTCCTTGCCGATGCCATTGAAGACCATCACGATGATGACTATGGCAATGATTACGGCGGTGGCGATGATTATGGTGGTGGTGATGACTTCGGAGGCGATTTCTAAGCGTGGTCGTTGGTTTTATCTTTTCCCTTCTTTCTTTCTTTCTTTGTTTTTGTTTGCTTTGTCCAGTGGGACGGAACTGGATCAATCATGAGGGTTTAGGCGTTTTGTTTCTGGCTGGGAAGGCTGCTTTGCCTGAACAGATTTACGTGTTCGGCTCCAACTTCATGAGCTATGAGCCCCCGATAGATAGCTATGTATCATACAATCCGTGAGACAAATCTTCCCAAACGAGGAGCCCGTAGGTAGAACCAACCCAAAAGGGTCATCTATCCTCGCCTCCGAGCAGGACCGCTGGTGTCTCTGCCGCTTGAACCACCTTGGGTCGCCTCACTGGCTGCAGGATTTGAAGCACCGGCCATCCAGCCGGCCAGATCGAAACCACCACCACCCATGGCACTGCTTGTGGCACCGGTGATAGGCGAGGAGCGAGAGTGCTGTTCAAACTCCGCGCGCATTTCAGGATCCACTAGATAGCATTTAGCATCAAACCAATAATCGGAGAGGGACAACATACTGTTTTCCATGAGCTTGGGCATGACGAACATAAGACCCAATGCAACCACTGCGAGCAAGACCATAGGGTTCTTGACAAGACTCAGGGGAGAGACTACTTTCTGTTAGTAAGTGTCCCATTATTCTCAAGATAGACCAAAGCTCACATTTAGCACGCTCTTCGTAGAAAGCCTTGCGGCCAACGAGCTTAGCCTCCACGACTACATCATCCACCCTCTTGCCGGCAACATCAACCACATACTTCTCCGCACCCCGGTTGTCCCATGGGTTTCCCCGGAACGTCTCCCAGATACCCAGGACCGACCCGTCCGCCGCAACATCGACACGGTAGGGGGCGAAGACGTACCCACCGGCGGAGCGGATATCGAGAAGATAAGACTCCGCCGTAGGGGAAGTGGGAAGTTCGAAGACGAAAGTGGCGGCGCGGGTCAGCGAGGCAGATAGAATGTGGTCTTTCGCAGACGAGGGGAGCGTGGTGAGGGTGGCATGGCTGGTTGCGGGGAGGACGTGCGGGTTAGGCAGAGGGCCAGACGAAGGAATGGTGATTGTCAGGGAGCCCGAAACCAAGCTGCTAAGCCCGAGGAGGACGATGGCAGAGAGTGAGAATTGCATGGTGAATGTGCTGAATGGAGAGAGATCAGTCGACTCGGCGATGCAGCTATGATCCCCATCACGTGACACGCTCCATGTCCTCGGTGGAACCTCCGCAGTTGCGACTTCACCGCGAACAATGCCTGTCTACCTTATTTCCCGGTAGGGCCCTGTTGTACTTTGCGTTACGGGGCATGCTAACCACTACCATCTAGGATCGCGGATCCCGCCTTCGCCCTGGCGATGGGCGTCTCGGCTGCCTTTTCTCGCATCCAACGCGACCAGCGCGAGAAGTTCCCCGAGCGTGCTCCGGAGATCACATACGGAAGCATCGTCCAAACGAGCAGCCGGCGCTTGCAGAGATGGTGGAATGGCGATTTTCAAAGCGTTTGAATGACTCGACCGACCATGTTTGGAGTTCGGCTTGAGGCTCTTTTGAAGCGTCATTGAGATCTGAAAGATGATATTGTACGAATATGCGAATGGAAACAAGAACCCGTCAATCAAAAGTTGAGCAGCCGCTGTGCATTGCATTGTATACATGAGATGTATAGTATAATCGAGTAGTGATCAGAGCGGCGAAGCATGCAAGGCCAAAAACACAGGCGATGTGATGATCACTCTCGATGAGAATTTACAAGCGTCAATGTTATCACCTACGGAGAATACAATTGAAGACAAGTATTGAATTAAAAATGAAATTTTGATCCGCTAGGAGAATTTTGACCCAGCAAGAGATAGCGATGTATCTATGCAATCATACGCAAAAAGAAACCTTGATATCCCATAAGTTCGTAAAACAAGACGTGAAAGGAAACATGTGCCAGGAGGCAGAAGAATCAAGTGCGAGGCATTTAGTCAAGCTCCTCGGGGTTCTCCTCGACCTCATCGGCAGGGCGGGCACCACCCTCAGGGGCGGCACCAGGGGGAGCCTGGCCACCGTAGGCAGCGGAGATGATGGGGTTGGCAACAGCCTCAAGCTCCTTCTGCTGGGACTCGTACTCGTCCTTCTCGGCGGTCTGGTTGCTGTCCAACCAAGTGATGGTCTCGGAGATCTTGTCCTCGACCTTCTTCTTGTCCTCCTCGGAGATCTGGAGCTTGCCCTCACCGAGAGTGTTCTTGAGAGAGTAGGCGTAGGACTCGAGGCCGTTCTTGGCCTGGATGCGACCAGCCTCAGCCTCATCCTCCTCCTTGTACTTCTCGGCCTCAGCCAGCATGCGCTCGATTTCCTCCTTGGAGAGACGGCCCTTGTCGTTGGTGATCGTGATCTTGTTGGACTTTCCGGTGCCCTTCTCGACGGCGGAGACGTTCATGATACCGTTGGCATCAACGTCAAAGGTGACCTCAATCTGGGGGACACCACGGGGGGCAGGGGGGATGCCAGTGAGCTCGAACTTGCCGAGCAGGTTGTTGTCCTTGGTGCGAGCACGCTCACCCTCGAAGACCTGGATCAGGACACCAGGCTGGTTGTCAGAGTAGGTGGAGAAGGTCTCAGACTTCTTGGTGGGGATAGTGGTGTTGCGCTTGATCAGAGGAGTCATGACACCACCGGCGGTCTCAATACCGAGAGACAGAGGGGCGACATCGAGCAGCAGGATCTCGTTGGTGGACTTGGAAGACTGGTCACCGGACAGGATGGCGGCCTGGACGGCAGCACCGTAGGCAACGGCCTCATCGGGGTTGATGGACTTGTTAGCATCCTTGTTGAAGAAGTCGGAAACGAGCTTCTGGATCTTGGGGATACGGGTAGATCCACCGACGAGGACGATCTCGTGGACGGAAGACTTATCAATCTTAGCGTCACGGAGAACACGCTCAACAGGCTCCATAGTACCGCGGAAGAGATCCTGGCAGAGCTCCTCGAAACGGGCACGAGTGATAGAGGTGTAGAAGTCGATACCCTCGAAGAGAGAGTCGATCTCAATAGAGGTCTGAGCAGCAGAAGACAGAGTACGCTTAGCACGCTCGCAAGCAGTGCGGAGACGGCGGAGAGCACGAGCGTTGGTGGTAAGGTCCTTCTTGTGCTTGCGCTTGAACTCGTTGACGAAGTGGTTGACCAGACGGTTGTCGAAGTCCTCACCACCCAGGTGAGTGTCACCAGCGGTGGACTTGACCTCGAAGATACCCTCCTCGATGGTCAGAAGAGACACATCGAAGGTACCACCACCAAGATCGAAGATAAGAACGTTACGCTCACCCTCGACCTTCTTGTCGAGACCGTAAGCAATGGCAGCCGCGGTGGGCTCGTTGATGATACGGAGGACATTGAGGCCGGCGATGAGACCGGCGTCCTTGGTAGCCTGACGCTGGGAGTCGTTGAAGTAGGCGGGGACAGTGATGACAGCGTTGTTGACGGTGCCACCGAGATAGGCCTCAGCGGTCTCACGCATCTTGACCAGGATCATTGCAGAGATCTCCTCGGGGGTGAACTGCTTGGTCTCACCCTTGAACTCAACCTCGATGACGGGCTTGGTGGCCTTCTCGGTGATCTTGAAGGGGAAGTGCTTCATATCAGCCTGGACCTCGGCGTCGTTAAAACGGCGACCAATGAGACGCTTGGCATCGAAGACAGTGTGGTGGGGGTTCATGGCGACTTGGTTCTTGGCGGCATCACCGATGAGACGCTCGGTGTCGGTGAAACCGACGAAAGAGGGGGTAGTGCGGTTACCCTGATCGTTGGCGATGATCTCAATGCGGTCATCACGGAAGACACCCACACAGGAGTAGGTGGTTCCCAGATCGATACCGACGGCGGGGGCCATGGTGTGTGTGTTTGTATTCGTTAAAAGGGTATGTAAAAAGAAAATTCGTGAAGGAAGAAGAGTCAAGGTAGTGTACAGAGTAGAGGGGTATCTGAAAGTGAAGAAGAAAAGAAAGAGAGCGAGGGCGAAAACCTGCTATATAGTGAGCGGTGTATTGCTCAGAAGCTTCTAGACGGGGAGCTTCCACCGGGATCCATGGGGTTCCATGCCCTTCGATGCCCCAGCAACCTCCATTTCCTTCTGTTCCCGGTCTCTCTAGGGCCTTCTCTGGTCCCTGGAGACATCTAGCCTAATCTTCCAGCCCAATTGTGCCCCTAGCCAACAGTTCGCACCCTTTCCCGCTGCACCGAGTCACTGATCTTGACGCAACTCATTTTTTTTTTTGGCGGGGCTACGATGATGTAATAGTGGGATGACCCATCGGTCATGATACCGTACGTATCGCCCGGGTATTGTGGTTGCCCCGGCTCCTCAGGCCTAGGAGCACCTCTGCTACTGTATGGTATGGTCATAGTGGGAACCGCCGTCATGATGAATTCATGATGAATTCAGGACGTGAGAGGCGGTGAGTTGGATGGCAGTAAAAATCTGAAACACAGTGAGAGCCTGTATTCTCAGGTGTCTAGATGCCTGAGGCGTATAAGTAGTCGCTTCTGCCTCAGGCTACAAGGCAGACGTCCAACTCTATTTCGTCGATTTCCGATCTCAGACATCGCCCTCACACTAGGTGCCTACATGTAGGTACGAGTCTCTCCCGCATATGTCCACCAATCGACCGACATACCGAATACTAGCGCACATGGAAAAGCTCTCTTATCTCGGAGGTCTACGGAGTGCCGCAGGGCAATCTCATGTCTGGGAATCTATCGGAGAAATGCCGGCGTTTCTCAGCGTCGATAACGCCATCCACGCTAAGCATTCGAAACTGTCCATTGTGCTCAATCTGGTGCTTGGCCCCGATGCTTATATGCGGTTCGGGTTCCAGTGGGAGATGCAGAACAATGTAACGCCGCGTTGCCCACCGTCTTAGTCCAATGAGATCTCTTCATCGCATGCGGATGCACAGGTTTGCACCCTGGGAAGAGATTCCATTAGGTACTTGATTGCGAGATTATGATCTAGTCTTGCTTTTTTTCCTGTCGTTTTTTTCTTGGGCGTGACTTATATACCCCCCTTGATAGAATACATGTGTGTTTTCCACTCTCTATAGTCCTGGGGTTCCATCCTTGATTTCATCCCTTCCAATGGCTGGATGGTCCATCAACTGGCGCAGGGCGCAGCAGCCCATCGAGTCCGAGCAATTGGAACCGGACCGCGAGGCGAAGAAAGTAGAGATCGCAGAGGCCGCGGTGGATGAGAACCTGCATCTCAAGGGGGATACCGTCGCCATCGAACAGGAGACCCAAGAGAATCCGGAAATTGCGGCGCTGCCTCATACAGTGCGCCAGCTGATCAACCTGACCGATGACCCGACCCTGCCGACCATCACCTTTCGTTACTTCGTTCTCTCCGCCATCTTCGTGATTCCCGGTGCGTTTCTGTCGCAGATGAGCTATTTCCGCACCACCAAGGCTCCGTATTCCGTCTTTTTCGTGCAGATCGCGTGCCATTATGCCGGTCACTTCATGGCCCGAGTCGTCCCCGCGTGGAATGTCGGCATCCCGGGCACGCGCTTCCAGTTCAGCCTGAATCCCGCCCCTTGGAGCATCAAGGAGCACGTGTTGGTGACCCTGACCGCAGCCTCCGGAGCGACCTACAACATGGGATATGCCCCCATCGTGCTGGCCGAGCTGTGGTACGGGACCCGGATCAATCCCGGGGTGGCCATCTTCTTCATGCTGTCCATCGTCTGGATCGGGTACTCCTTCGCCGCCCTGGCCCGGCAGATCTTGTTGCCAGACCCCGAGTATATTTGGCCGCAGGCCCTCATGCAGACGACATTGTTTGAAACGTTTCGCAAAACCGACAATTCCTCGCCCGTCGCCCGGCGGCAGATGAAGGTGTTCTTCCTCGCATTGCTCGGGATGACCCTGTGGCAATTCATCCCGGAATATGTCTTTCCATTCACCTCGTCCCTGGCATTCCTCTGCTGGGTGGCGCCCCGCAATCCCGTGGCCAACTTTATCGGCTCGGGGATCGGTGGGATGGGCTTCCTGAATCTCTCTTTAGACTGGTCCAACGTCAACTGGAATGGGTCCTCGATTATGACCACTCCGTTCTGGACCCAGGTCATTCTCTTCCTGGCCTTTGCATTCAACTGCTGGGTCCTCCTCCCTGCAGCGAAGTGGGGAAACCTCGGCTCCTACAAACATGGCCTCATGTCCAACACCCTGTTCATGGCGAATGGCACGGCCTATCCCACCCTGGAGGTGCTGACCCCCAGCTTTCATCTCAACACGACTGCATTTGAGCACTACGGCCCCATGTATATGGGCCTGCAGAATGTGTGGGCAACATTCTTTGACTACGCCAAGCTTCCGGCCGCCGTCACCTGGATTCTGACCTTTGGATACGCCCAGGTGTCGGGGAACATCCGTCGCATTTTGGAATCCCGTAAGACAGAGAAGGACAAGACGGCGCGAAGTATTCACCACCAGTATCACGACCGCCTCAACGTGATTCAGAGGCAGTACAAAGAGATCCCATGGTGGTGGTATGCCACCCTATTTATGGTGGCCTTTGTCATCTTGATCGTCTTTCTCGCCCTCGGACACCTGTTCATCCCAATTTGGACTCTGTTCGTAGCGCTTGCTAGCGCTGCGATTTTGGTCATCCCCTTCGCCTGGCTCTACGCTATCTCCAATTACCAATTGGAGACCGGATCCTTCAACGAGCTCATGTACGGCTATATGGTCCACACTAAGGCTGGTGAGAATCACCAGCACCCATGTGGCCCTTCGGTCTATGGATCGATCGCCGGCGACGCCTGGTATCGTGCTCAGTATATGCTTCAAGACCAAAAGATTGGTCACTACATGCACATCCCGCCTCGAGCTGTCTTCTTTTCCCAAATCTTCGGTACTTGCATGGGGGTTCCCATCAATTATGCTGTCATGCGTTGGATCATGAGCACCAAAGGCGATTTCTTGACCGGCAAGAAGACCGACCCCCTCAACCAATGGACCGGGCAATCGCTGCGTAACTCCAACACAATGGGCATTCAGTACGCTGTGTTGGGACCGAAAAAGCTCTTTGCTGAGTCGGAGATGTCTATCCTCCCTTGGTCATTCTTGATCGGGGCGGTGATCCCACCCATTCTCTACGTTGCCCATCGGTTTTTCCCGCGGCTTCGAATTGAGCTGTGGAACGTGAGTATCTTCTTTGGCGGCTTGGCCATGTTCTACGGTAACATCAGCACCGGATATACCTCTGCCATCATCGGTGGCTACATTGTCATGTACTGGGCTTATCGGAATCACTTCGAGACCTGGAAGCGATACAATTACCTCCTCGCGGCTGCCTTTGATGCTGGATTTAACCTTTGCATGCTGCTCATCTTCTTCTTCTTCGGGGCTGGTAAGCAGATCAAAATGCCCGAGTGGTGGGGAAACAACAGCACTTCGGTCGAAAGATGCTTTGCTCTGGATAGTTGAAAGCCTCTATTATAATATTACACGATTTACGAAGGCCCTTGCATTCACTCGTCGAGTATTCCGTACGGAGTAGAGTATGTAGAGTAGAGTATTGTAGTGTTACTACATAGGTAGTGTAGGAGATCTAAAGGAACATTGGAATCAGGGCACGATTTGTCAGGGGCGGATTGCTCCGCCAATCAAACTTCAATAGCCCGCCCTTACTGTTTTGCTTCACCTTACTTGACCGTCTTTTAATAACTCTTTCTGATCCCCCCTCTCCCTTTCACCAATCCATCCCTTCTCTCACTTGACACACTTCCACCATGGGTGACCACGCTACCATCTCCAACGAGGACGCCTTCGCCAAGGGCAAGGGCAAGGCTGACCCCACCAATGAAGTGAGCATGGACGAGGATAGCTCCTCCGAGGATGAGCCTGAACTGGTGAGTTTACAATCCCCATGTCCCATCTCATACTAACCTCAATGCGCTTCTAGCCCGACAACGGTACATGACCCCCCCCCCTACCGCACGCCATGCTTGTGTCCATGCGCCTCCCCGATTGCTTGACTAACCTGCAACAGATGATGAAGAGGAGGGCCAGGCCCACGGTGACCCCATTGACGAGAGCAATATCATTCAGGGTGGTCGCCGCACCCGTGGCAAGGTCATCGACTACTCCAAGGTTGCCGCCGACGATATGGAGGATGACGACGAGGACGACGAGGAGTACGAGAGCCGCGAGGACAAGGCAGACGATGACGACCAGATGCGCGACTAAGCGATTCAATGAATATACAATGTTCTGGGTGGCATGGGATGGGATTTGCTTTACACAACAGGCGCCACGGATCGAGGACTTTTCCATTCCCCCACGCGTACCCGCGTACCCTGTCTTGCCCTACGGTGATGACTATGAATCAATGAATACTTCTATCTGATTCCTTTCCCTTTGGTGGTCACTGTCCTTCGGAGTTGTAACATCGAATCGGCTATGATGTAATGTGTAGATATTTCTGGATTGATGTAGGTCTCAGGAACATGAGATCATCCTGTATGCAATGCATCTACATATCAGCATCGAATAGGTTCAGCATCCGAATCTCAATTTCAAGATGCATACCGAAACGCCCTGCTCCAGCCCTGGCTGCTGTCGCTATCACGTGCACGCTATGGCCACTTGGGTGTTTTTATCTCCGGATGCGACTGCGGACTCGACAATAATTTGATCATCAACTTCTAATACACCTTCATGGCTTCACGGTATGCTTGGAGCACCGTGTTCCCTGGGCAGATAGCTAACAGTCACAGATTCCCACGCCAGCGCGATCCCCGCGCCTCTTCATCGCTCTTCGATCAATATGGCGGCGACTCCCGCCAAGCGAGCAGATCGCCCGCCCAGCAGAGCTACGGATATGGAGGATACTCGAGTCCCGCACCCAATGGATATGCCGACAAGCCTGGGTACCAGAGTGCAGCACCGAACAAGAAGTAGGCAGCTCCCAACCGTCTCTCTCACTAGCCTAATCGGACCAGGGGCCACTACTCGGACGCAGTACTCTCATCGCTAGAGTCGCAAAATGATGCGGAGGTTGAAGGAATCAGCGCCAAGGTCAAGATGCTGAAAGACGTGCGGACAATGCCAACCCCGAAGCCTGAGACTTGCTGACCGCTATAGATCACTCTCGCCATTGGAGACGAGATCCGCGATACGACACACATGACCGAGCTTAATGATTCATTCGACAACACGCGAGTGCGACTACGAGGGACTATGAACCGTATGCTTCGCATGGCTGATAGCACCGGGGTCGGCTGGCGGGTCTGGCTTGGCTTCTTTGTGGCCGTTTTCCTGCTGTTCTTCTACGTGTGGATATTCTAACCGATTGCTACCGGTCTGGTAGCATGCGAGGCGTCTATATTACGTCTGATTAGTCAACATGGACGTGTGGGAATGCATTTGTTGGATAGCTTTACATCTTTTAGCATGGGACTTTGCTTTGGCGGGCGTTTGGTGTGACTTCAGCTATGTATATGGGCTTGCAATGAGTGTCTCTTTGGGTGGCAGTGGACTTGCCCAAATGCAGTCTGGGATCGCTCAAGAATATAGATAATGGGGTTCCAGTTTTATCTGGCCCCAAGAAGCATACAATATCTTATGGACCAGGCGGTGCTTTGTAGATGGTGCTGAAAACCATAGTGTAATGTCATGGGTATCGCCAATTGCCTTAATACGACTTATTTTGTGATCGACACATCGCCTTAAAGAGATGCATACAGACTGTTTGTCTAATTCAAACTGTCACGAGGCCCACTGAGATGTCTCGGCAAGCGTCCAAATCCACTGCGTCGACTACTCTGACTGGTAATCGAAGCGCGTAGATCTCCATCGCTGTACAAAATGCTGCTCGAGTCAAAGGCATCCCCTCCACCACTCCAACGATTGATAAAGCGACTCTGGGCTTCAGTTTCTCGTTCGCGGCGCAAAGGCGGAGGCAATCCGCCCCGACTATTTGGCGTGCTAGTCCGGAAGTTCTCTGTGAACCTAGGCTGAGCGGTTCCTGATTCCACCAGGCTTGACTCGTCCTCGTCACTCAGTTCCTCCTCGCTATCCGTGTGCTGCCATTCCTCCGGGGAACCATCTGCGTCGGGGATATCATCATCCAAGTCCCGTTCGCTCTCTTCGGGGATGTCCGCATCCAAATCAGGTTGATTGTCAAAGTCCTCATCATCGTCATCATCATAAAGGCCTGAGCCCTCATACTCGTCATCGACAAAGCCTTCGGGAATATCGTCATCCAAATCCCGTTCCATGTACTCTCCTTCCTCCTCGAGCCCTTCCTCTCCTTCTTCAATGAGGCCCGAAGGCTCTTCCTCGGCGTTGGGGATTTCCTCGTCTAGATCCCGTTCCATCCCCTCCTCTTCCGGGTGTGTGGTATCATCCATCATGCCTCCTTCAGCGGCCTCCATCTCCGCCGCGGCCGCCTGCATGGCCTCTTCGCGCTCCGCCTCCTCTTCCTTCATCCCGAGCATTGTTTTCGGACATCCTGCCGGTCTGATCCAGGAGTATCCGAAGGAGGCTATATTCAGTTTTCTCGAGCGAAGCCTGCGTTCTTCCGCGGCGAGGGCGGCGAGCGTGTTGCTCGGGGAGCGCGATGGGAGAAAAGCGCGGTGACTTGATGGGCCTGCACTGCGGCGCGCGAAGGGGTTGGCCGGATCTGTTTGTTCAGAGTGCGACCGGGGAGTGCCAAACCAGAGTTCGTGGGACTAGGGATGTTAGGCGAGGACGGGTGGAGCTTGGAGAACACTTACGTCGCGTGGGGCGAGAGATGGGAGAGAGAGCATGGTTGCGTCTTTGTATGGTATATGAGAGTATCTCCAGATGCGATAGCTCTAGAGTGCTCTGGTAGCGTACAAGCTGTCTCTGGGGTCGAAGTTCGCGATAAGATCAGAAAAAGTGAAGTTCCACGGTTGTTCCGGGTCCGATCTACGCGTCTCCACTTTGAGTATAAGGACCGTTGACATCGACGTTCAATTAATTGTACATCCACGTTAAAACTGCTAGTCCACGATGGCAACTTAGGCCAGGGGGTGAAAAGCTGCCTCTGTTCTATACCTAGGTACCACTGGGTATCCGATAACACTGCCAGATGGGCAGTTTCCAAGTTTGTCTATAGTTAATATCGATCCATGCATAGTTATACGATATATCTCTATATCCATATATCTACCGCATACTCACAGCCTGTTACTCCAGACAGGTTAGTCGGAGACTTCCCGGGTTTCGAACCTTGGATACCTAGGTATTAGTCGGCTTCTGGTCAGTCGAAACGGATCATTGGGTCAATCCTGAAAGGTTGGACCCCAATGCAGATAATATATCCATAGATAGTGAATAGAATGGTGCCCCCGGGAAGCACCAATGAAGCCGCTCCAAGCTTGTCATGTATGGAGCAGTAGACAGCAAAGATAATAGACATATTCCAATGCAGTAGTGTTCAACCGTTTGAAGAGTCAACTACATACCCGGAGAGAGTCAGCAGTTATGCCTTCAAGGGATGAGGTTGCTCTTAGAGCGGTATGACCTGCCTCTGATCTATTTGGATTTCAACTTCTCTCTTCTTTCCAACTTCTCCAGTCTCGTCAGTGACTACCGTATCTGCGGCCTACTTCCAGACCCCATGGGAGTTCGAACCAATGACCCGACATTTGAAACCATCGAAAGGCTTGGAATTGTCGCGTCCCCCCGGGTGGAAGTAGCCTAGGAGAGAGAGAGGCCCGCATTCGAATCCGCCAGACATCGGACCTGAACGCCAATGATTCATGTCTAAAATCACCGCGGCTTCGCAGCTGCGGTTTTGAGTGGCTGCGTTCTGAACATATCGCAATTCACCCGACGTAGGGACATATTTCCATTCCTTCCCAGGATTGTTCCAACCCCATGTGACCGTGGGTCTTTTGAAGTGGATAGAGAAGGGTTGCTCCCGGCTGAGAGATGATCTCCCTTTCCCAGGTTCTCCCGCTATGAGTACGTCGTCCTTTCTGAGTTTCCCTTGTCGTGTTTGCGAGGACAATCTGGAATGAGCTCTTGGAGTGTCAATGGTCTGACTTGCCCCTGAAGGCTCTGTGTCAAGTACCACTAGTATGTGTGAGGTCCCAGTGGGGCGAGGAATTCGGGAGTACCACGTGATCCGAAACCGGGGAAGATCCACCCAGTGTCCCCCGGGGCCGTTTTCGTTATCTCGTGATGGGTCCGAGGCAATGCCCACCTGGGCAGGGCAATTGAGTGGCTCTCGACCTGTTGGCGGGACACTGGATGGCCTTGCTGGATTTGTCGCACATGCAACGATATCGGACAAAAAATACGAGACCAAAATTACGGTCCTGACGTAGCGAGTCATCATATGGGTAAAACATGTGCGCTGATTGGCCAGATGCTTATCTATGAGATTCCCGCCAAGGTTGCATCGGGTCACATCCGCGGATCACTCCACAGTACTGTACGGAGTACATACTGTGAGTACGCAGGACTCCGTTTCCGGGGGTATCTGGTATGTTATCCGCGTACAGATAGATGCTGTACCTAGGTAGTACGTATCGTATGCAATGGGTATTGCTAACCCTTACCTGATCTTCCCTTTTCCCTTTTGAGTACACTCCCATCCGGACCTACTATCCCGCCGCGATCGCTCAACTTTTTTCTTTGCCCCTCTCCTCACTTTCCCTCTTGCTCTCTCTTCCCATTGTCTCGTGCTCTGCTCATTGCCTGGCTATCAACACCAACGCGCAGGCTGATCTCCTCCATTGCACGCCGTGACGACATCACCAACCCCCATCCGGCGGGGATCTCCTGAAACAACCCCTCGGCAGGCAATCCATTCTCTGTCGGCCCGCGGCGGAAGAATGGGTCTTCACCTGGAAGAGCTCTATGGCAAAGATCTAAGTGAGGAACCTCCACAGGAGTACTCTGAATATCAACCCAAGCACGGTTATGGCTGGGCCAATACGCTACCGGAACGGCAGGGTCTCTACGACCCGGAATACGAAAAAGATGCCTGTGGTGTAGGCTTCGCAGCGTAAGTGCACCCCAGAGGGCACAATGGCTTCGATATACTGGGCTGACCCTCAGCATCTAGTCACATCAAGGGGAAAGCAAGCCACAAGATTGTGAGCGATGGTGAGTCCCCCCACCCAAATGGCCTGCACCGACTCCGTGGAGCACCAAGAAATAGAGTCTGACCTGAAAATCGAACAGCTCGCAATCTCCTGTGTAACATGACTCATCGTGGAGCTGTGGGCTCTGACGCACGAGACGGCGATGGTGCTGGTGTGATGACTAGCATCCCCCACAAGTTCTTCGTGAAGAATTTCGCTCGTGAGGTCGGAGTGGAACTCCCGCCATTGGGACAGTATGCAGTCGGCAATCTGTTCTTCAAACCCGACCAAGAAGCCCTCAAACAGTCCATACAGAGCTTTGAGGAACTGGCTACATCTCTCGGTCTGCGCACTCTCGGGTGGCGTGAAGTACCCCGAGATTCAACTATCTTGGGCCCGGCCGCTCTCTCACGAGAGCCCATCATCATGCAGCCGTTTGTCGTCTTGCAATCGGCATATGGCGACGGAAGCAAACCCGAGATCACTGACACTGATCAGTTTGATGAACGAACCTTTGAGCTCCAGCTCTACGTGCTCCGGAAGCGCGCCACTCACGTTATTGGCCTCGGGAACTGGTTTTACCTGTGCTCACTGAGCAACCGAAACATCATCTATAAGGGCCAACTCTCCCCGGTCCAAGTGTACACATACTACCATGATCTAGTCAACGTGGATTACGAGGGCCACTTTGCCCTGGTGCATTCGCGATTCTCCACCAACACTTTCCCCTCCTGGGACCGTGCCCAGCCGCTGCGGTGGGCTGCCCATAACGGTGAGATCAACACCTTGCGCGGGAACAAAAACTGGATGCGTGCACGAGAGGGCGTTCTCCGATCAGAAGTTTTCGGGGATGAACTTGACCAACTTTACCCCATCATTGAGGATGGCGGCTCGGACTCGGCCGCATTCGATAATGTGTTGGAACTACTCATGATCAACGGCGTTTTATCTCTCCCAGAAGCCGTCATGATCATGATTCCAGAGGCCTGGCAAGATAATCCAGCCATGGATCCCGCCAAGTCGGCGTTCTACGAGTGGGCTGCCTGTCAGATGGAACCCTGGGATGGCCCAGCACTCTTCACTTTCTCCGACGGACGCTACTGCGGTGCTAACCTCGACCGCAATGGACTGCGTCCTTGTCGTTTCTACGTTATGGACGACGATCGTATCGTGTGTGCCTCGGAAGTTGGTGCCATCGATATTGACCCGGAGAGAGTTGTGCAGAAGGGTCGCCTACAGCCCGGAAAGATGCTGCTGGTTGATACTGTAGCTGGACGTATCATTGACGATGCCGAGCTCAAACAAACCGTTAGTCGCCGTCAGGACTTCGCTGGCTGGCTGGACAAAGAACTTCTCAAACTCCCCGCTATCAACAAGATGCTTCTTGGCTCTAATGTCGATCTTTCGTTCGCCTTGGATAACAATACGATCCAAAACGATCCTCGCCTGAGGGCGTTTGGATATTCTTTCGAGCAAGTTAGTTTGATTCTCGGCCCAATGGCTGCAGACTCAAAGGAAGCTCTCGGCTCCATGGGCAACGACGCACCCTTGGCTTGTATTTCTCCACAGCCCCGTCTGCTATACGAGTACTTCCGCCAGCTCTTTGCTCAAGTCACCAACCCGCCCATTGACCCAATCCGAGAGGCCGTGGTCATGTCGCTCGAATGCTACGTCGGTCCTCAGGGCAATCTACTGGAAATGGAGTCTTCGCAATGCCACCGTCTACTTCTACCCTCTCCTATCCTGACCATCTCGGAGTTCAATGCTTTGAAGAATGTCAACATGGCTCACAGAGATTGGACCGTGTGTACCATCGACATCACGTTTGAAAGGAGCAAGGGCACTGCCGGTTATATCGACGCATTGGACAGTATCTGTGATGCTGCCACAGGGGCCATTCAGAACGGTGACAAAGTCATCATTCTATCTGATCGTGCGACATCTGCAGGTCGTGTTCCCGTATCTGCCTTGTTGGCCACGGGTCTGGTTCACCACCACCTCGTTCGCAACAAGTGGAGATCACTTGCCGCCTTAGCGGTGGAAACCGCCGAAGCTCGTGAGGTTCACCATCACTGTGTTCTGCTGGGATACGGAGCCGATGCTATTAATCCTTATCTTGCACTGGAATGTATTCTCAAGATGAACCGCGAGAACTTGATCCGCAAGGACACACCTGACGAGAAGGTCATTCAGAATTACAAATCGTCTTGCGACGGTGGTATTCTTAAGGTCATGAGTAAGATGGGTATCTCTACTCTCCAATCCTACAAGGGCGCTCAGATCTTCGAGGCCCTCGGTATTGATGACAGCGTCATTGACCGCTGCTTTACTGGCACTGCTAGTCGTATCCGTGGTATCACATTTGATCTGATTGCCCAGGATGCTTTCGCATTCCACGAGCGCGGATTCCCCTCCCGCCCAATCGTTGAGGTCCCTGGTCTCCCGGAATCTGGTGAATATCACTGGCGTGATGGGGGTGAAGCCCACATCAACGACCCCACAAGCATTGCCAACGTCCAGGATGCCGTTCGCACCAAGAATGACAAGTCATATGAAGCCTACGCCAAGTCTGCACACGAGCAGATCAAGAATTGCACCTTGCGTGGTATGCTCGACTTCGACTTTGAGCAGCGAACGCCTATTCCCATCGACCAGGTGGAGCCCTGGACCGAGATTGTCCGCCGTTTCGTAACTGGAGCCATGTCTTACGGGTCTATCTCTATGGAATCTCACTCTACACTGGCTATCGCCATGAACCGCCTTGGAGGAAAGTCCAACACGGGTGAGGGTGGCGAGGATGCCGAGCGCAGTAAGATGATGGAGAATGGCGACACAATGCGTTCCTCCATCAAGCAGATTGCCTCTGGCCGCTTTGGTGTCACATCAAACTACCTTGCTGACGCGGATGAGCTCCAAATCAAAATGGCCCAGGGTGCAAAGCCTGGTGAGGGCGGTGAGCTCCCCGGACACAAGGTTGTTGGTCCCATTGCTCGCACTCGATTCTCTACCCCGGGTGTCGGACTCATCTCCCCACCTCCCCATCACGACATTTACTCGATTGAAGACCTTAAACAACTTATCTACGACTTGAAATGCTCCAATCCCCGCGCCCGCGTCTCTGTCAAGCTTGTCTCGGAGGTAGGCGTTGGAATTGTTGCTTCTGGTGTAGCCAAGGCAAAAGCTGATCATATCTTGATCTCTGGCCATGATGGTGGTACCGGTGCCTCGCGATGGACTGGCATCAAATACGCCGGTCTTCCATGGGAGCTAGGTCTTGCTGAAACTCACCAGACTCTTGTTCTGAACGATTTGCGTGGCCGAGTTGTCGTTCAGACTGATGGCCAAATCCGCACCGGTCGTGACTTAGCCATTGCTTGCCTCCTTGGTGCTGAGGAATACGGCTTTGCAACCACTCCTTTGATCGCATTGGGCTGTATTATGATGCGTAAAGTAAGCGCTTTTCCAATATGAATGATGCTAAGGCTCATTGCTGATCACAAACAGTGCCATTTGAACACTTGTCCGGTCGGTATTGCAACTCAGGACCCGGAGTTGAGGAAGAAGTTCCAGGGCACGCCAGAGCACGTGATCAACTTTTTCTATTACGTCGCCAACGAGATGCGGGCAATCATGGCAAAGCTGGGTGTTCGTTCGGTCAATGAGATGGTTGGTCGTGCCGAGCTGCTCAAGGTTCGGGATGACCTTCGGACTGAGAAGCAGGAGCGCATTGACTTGTCACTGATTCTGACTCCTGCTCATTCACTTCGTCCTGGAGTCGCTACCTACAACGTTCGCAAGCAAGACCACCGCCTCCACGTCCGCCTAGACAACAAATTAATTGCTGAATCGGAGCTTGCGCTGGAGAAGGGGCTGCCCTGCCGAATCGAATGCGATGTGGTCAACACTGACCGCGCCATGGGTGCAACTCTCTCTTACCAGATCAGCAGACGTTACGGTGAAGCTGGCTTGCCACAGGACACCGTTCACGCCAATATTAAGGGATCTGCTGGTCAGTCATTTGGTGCCTACCTTGCCCCCGGTGTGACTCTCGAGTTGGAGGGTGATGCCAACGATTACGTCGGCAAGGGTCTCTCGGGTGGTCGTCTCATCGTGTACCCCCCACGGGGAGCCGCTTTCAAGGCCGAAGAGAATGTCATTGTTGGTAACACCTGTCTCTACGGCGCCACGCGTGGAGCTTGCTACTTCCGGGGTATGGCTGCTGAGCGTTTTGCCGTCCGTAACTCCGGTGCCACGGTTGTCGTCGAGGGTGTTGGCGACCACGGATGTGAGTACATGACCGGTGGTCGTGTCCTTGTTCTGGGTCCAACTGGCCGAAACTTTGCTGCGGGTATGTCTGGTGGTATTGCCTATATCCTCGACAAGAACCAAGACTTCCATTCCAAGGTCAACCTGGAGATGGTCGAGGTGTCTGGCATTGAAGACCCATCTGAAATTGCCTTTGTTCGTGGCCTGATCGAGGATCATCATCATTACACCGGCTCTGAACTAGCAGCTCGCATTTTGCTTGATTTCACTCGTGCTCTCCCTCACTTTGTCAAGGTCTTACCTATTGACTACAAGCGTGTGATGGAAGAGGAGGCCGCTAAGGCCCAAGCTGCCAAGAAGGCCGAGTTCTCTTTGCCTCATCTTCCTAGCACCCCCGTGAAGACCGAGAAGCCGAAGGTCGATGATTCCCAGAAAGCCGACTTACTCGACATCGAAGACAGTATCAGCGACTCCAAGACTGAGAAGAAGCGATCAGCACTGATCCTGGATAAGACCAGAGGCTTTATGAAATACAACCGCCGCAACGAAAAGTACCGCAATGCCACTACCCGTACTCGTGATTGGGGTGAGATTTCCAACCGTTTGAGCGAGGATGAGCTTAAGTATCAATCTGCCCGCTGTATGGACTGCGGTGTGCCATTCTGTCAATCTGACACTGGCTGCCCTATCTCCAACATCATTCCTAAGTGGAACGAGTTGGTCTTTAGGTGAGTGCTAACTATCTTGAACGTGATTTGCAAACCTAACTTTTCTCTAGGGACCAGTGGCAGGATGCTCTCAACCGCCTTCTCATGACCAACAATTTCCCAGAGTTCACTGGCCGTGTCTGCCCTGCTCCTTGCGAAGGAGCTTGTGTTTTGGGAATTAATGAGGACCCAGTAGGCATCAAGTCTATCGAGTGTGCGATAATTGATCGTGGATTCGAGATGGGCTGGATGACTCCTAAGCCTCCCCAGACCCGCTCTGGAAAGACCATTGCTGTCATCGGATCCGGTCCTGCTGGGATGGCTGCCGCTGATCAGCTCAACCGCGCTGGTCATAGCGTCACCATTTACGAGCGTGCTGATCGTATTGGTGGTCTTCTTATGTATGGCATTCCCAACATGAAGCTTGACAAGAAGATTGTACAGCGCCGTGTTGACCTCATGGCCGCCGAGGGAATCAATTTTGTCACCGGGACAGCCGTTGGTCCTGACTCCGAGGTGACCCTTCAATCACTTCGTTCGACAAATGACACTGTCATCATCGCCACCGGTGCTACTGTCGCTCGAGACCTTAAGGTCACTGGTCGTGAGCTGGATGGAGTGCACTTTGCCATGCAGTTCCTGCACAAGAACACGAAGTCTCTTCTAGACTCTGGTCTCTCGGATGGTGAATACATCTCTGCAAAGGGCAAGCACGTCGTAGTAATTGGTGGCGGTGATACTGGAAACGACTGCATTGGTACCTCCGTTCGCCATGGGGCTAAATCAGTGACCAACTTCGAGCTGCTTCCCCAGCCACCCCCTGAGCGTGCTGGAGACAACCCATGGCCCCAGTGGCCCCGCGTTTACCGCATCGACTACGGTCACACTGAAGTGAAGACTCACATGGGCAAAGACCCACGTGAGTACTGCGTCATGTCAACCGAGTTTGTTGACGATGGAAGCGGTCGCGTGAAAGGCATCAATACCGTGCGCGTTGAGTGGACTAAGAGTGCCACCGGTGGTTGGGATATGAAGACTGTCGATGGCAGCGAGCAATTCTTCCCCGCAGACCTTGTTCTCCTCTCCATGGGCTTCCTGGGTCCAGAGGACCGTCTTCTGGGTGAAGAAATCGAGCGTGATCCCCGCAAGAATGTGAAGACTCCTCCAGGTCACTACTCGACCAACATTCCCGGGGTCTACGCAGCAGGTGACTGTCGCCGTGGACAATCATTGATCGTCTGGTGAGTATTTCTCTAAAGCTCTATTTCTCCCCAATAAGGCCATACTAATCTCCACCACAGGGGTATCAACGAGGGACGCCAGTGCGCCCGCGAGGTCGATGCCTTCCTCAGCGGCACCAGCTCCCAGCTCCCAGTCACTGGCGGTATCGTCCGTCGTCCCGCCATTGACGCTGTGCCCCGGCCTACGGAGGTTACTGCTTAAGAATGGAGCGCAATAAATTACGATTAACGGCCATAAAATACTGGGGGGAATAAATCTATGGCTTAGACAGGGGCACTTGGGTTTCTACAAAAAACATCCGGGCTTGCTGGTCTTTTTTCTATTTCGCTTCAGCGAATGTTTAGGAGCCTTTGTCGTTTCCAAGGCAATCTCTCTATGCTGTACATAGAATGATACTGTTATTCCATTCATTGTTTTATCCACTATCTTCTGGGGCTCTGCAAGTGATGAAAGCCCGCTGTGATTCCAATTGTACGTACAGCGATTGTATCAAACATACTTGTGCGGACTATAAAGGGTATCCCCCTGGCCCAGTTAATAGATCAACGTATCAAGTTGGCATGGCCAAAAGTGATCAGACGGATAAGCCCAACGGGTTCACTACTGAGAGAATGGTCGATGGCGAGCGTCGATGTGTTCGTCACTATAACGACGGGCGAGTCTCATCAAGAGACCACTCTCGAATGTCATCTAGTGCAAGTGTCACTAGATGTAAGGTTATCCCAGGAGCTCCACTTCAGTCTACTTCTCGGCCTACGTCCCAGTCCTCGAAATTGAGCAATGCGGGAACCGTTGATTCCCCAGCAGATGCCGAGGAAGTTGAAATCCCCAAAGATCTGCCAGTGGAAAAGTATCACAACACATCAGATGTCAAACCGGCATTCAGGGAACAGGCCTCACAGACAGTCCGGTCAACATCACAACCAGCTTCGAATTCGAATACAGGCGACCGCAGCTGTGTTCTTGAGCGTGTAGCAAATATCGAGACCCAGCTTGATAGGCTTGAAAAGCGTCGCCTCGTTCGGACACCCGAAGAAAGAAAATCAGGGAATCTCTGAGCTTTTCAGGTACGGTGGAAGAATGTATACGTTGTGTTGTTGCAGGTCTGGCAGATTCGGCCTATCCAAGCTCATTGATGAGACCCGGTAGATCCAAAAAGCCTGCACATGGCTTTGGTGCAAGTTCATGTCGCTCATACCACCGCTTGATCTGGAATAGAGAACAGAGCATATGATTTGCGATTCCTAACGCCTGGAACAAGTCCTGAGGAATGAATTGTAAGTCTCCGGAAGATGAACCGAAACAGCCAGACACGCCACTGTTATATTGAGCAAGGGGCTCGAACGCGGGAAAATGGAGATGATCGTATTATACATGAATGAACAAAAGGGTGTATATCTACATTTGTATCAAAGACAGGCAAAGGGTATCATGCAGCCGCCTTCTGTTTCGCTGCTTCATCTTCAGCCTTCATCTCCTTCTCCAAAGCAGCAAAGTCACCCTTGAAGGATTCTGTGGCGGGCTCCAACCGTACGTCCCACACATCCTCGCTACTGGGGCCGGTTTTATATTTGATCGCCTTCTTTCGGTTGTGGTCCCGGATTGCCCGCTTGCGCAAGTCCTCTGGCCACGTGCGAGTCTTCATGCACAGCCAAAGATTATCCCAATGATCGCTGCAGGACCGAAGTTCGCCATATCGGTAGACATTGACGAATTGACCACCGAAGGATTGGCAGAAAAAGGCGTAGTCGAAGGCATTGCGGCAGGACATGGTATCTTGATATAGAGACTCCGGGGCAATGGCTGATTGGGGTGCGCCGGATTCGACATGGCTTTCTGGTGTAAGGCCTTGTTTTGAAAGCGATTTATCTTCTGATCTGAGGTCGGCCAGGATTTGGTTGAATTCCAAGTCGGCCTGTTCATCGGGGGTCAAGGTCTTGGGTACATTTTGCTGGGATGTCTCCGGAGTGGTAGAGGGAATGGGTTGAGTAGTATCCTTGGGGGTGTCCTTGGGACTTGATCCCCATAGCCAGCCCATTGTGTTCAGCGATAAAATAGAATGGTATATTTGTTGCGATGCCGCGACACCGCGAGGTTCCCGCGGTCTTTTTCGCGGTTTATCAAAGATAGCACGTGACCCCTGGACTCTGCGATAAGCGCCCGTGATTGCGAACGCGACGTCATTGATCGATTCAAACAAGCTGATCGCTCTCGATCTCAGCTTGTGAACCATCTCGCCTCAATATGCTGAAATGGCTGCAATAAAAATGGGGAATTTCTCTCGTGGTCTACTGGCCGCACGGTCGTCGGCAGACCCTCGCACCAATACTCTGGGGTGGAGACCTCCGCTTCAGACACTGTCCGCCATACGGTGTAGCTCCTCGATCAAGTCAGGGCATATCCCAGTGGGAGAAGGAGAGGGACTCATATACGTCAACAGTGAGTATATGGAGTCTGCAAACCAAGAACCTCAAACACTAATAGTCAAGCTAGACATATTCCCACATCGGTTACAATGGTTGCTTCGCGGGCCCCTCAGCCATATCCAACCCCTGGAGGGGATTCTGAGGCGAATCAACAAGCCTGGATTGGCGGCTGCTGAACCTCTCCGCATCGTTGAGCGGGCTCTCCCCAAGGAACTGGACCTCGAAATCAAAGAGGTTGTTACGAGATACAAAGAAGGCGGTGCATTCGTGAAGTATGGGCTGAAGTCAGACTTGACCGACGAGAGTATCCAGCAATCGATTCAGGAAAACTTGCGCAAAAAGCCCATCAACCCTTGGTTCAACCCGTTTCAAAACGTCGACGCGGATCTTGTACGTGGAACACCGTGGATCGAAGATCTTTACCGAATTCCAAGCCAGACCCTCAAGGTTGAATTTTTGTCCAATTCACCGGACACCTCAGCAGCAGAGCTAACGCAAGAGGCACTATACTCACTTTTCCGTCCTTATGGCAAGATTCTGGATATTCAAGCACAGCCCTCGGACTCGAAAGTTGAGCCGCGATATGCAACCTTGCGGTTTGAGAGACCGCGGTACGCTGTCATGGCCAGGAACTGCATGCACGGATTCATAGTGTCTGAAGAAGCCGGAGGTGGAAAATCTGGCACAAGGTTCAAGATCAATTACGAGCGCAAGATAAAGCTCTTTATGATCAAAGACTGGATTCTCAATCACCCGAGACTTGTTATCCCCGCTATCGCAGCTCTGGTTGCTACGATCACGGTGATTGTCTTTGATCCGATTCGCACATTTTTCATCACACTCAAGATCAAATCATCGTTCCAAGCCGAAGAGAATCCGGTCCTTCAATGGATTCGCAAACAGGTCAGCAGAGCCAATATGTTCTCTTTTGGAAAACAGAAGTCCGACCCTCGTGGATTGGCTGCCATCTGGGAAGACCGACAAAAGGACATTGAGCAGCTGCGAGCCTGGCTGACCGAGACTGCTGAAACATTCATTGTCATCCACGGTCCCCGGGGCTCGGGAAAACGTGAATTGGTCCTGGGGCAAGCCCTAAAAGAGCACAAATACAAGGTTGTCATTGACTGCAAGCAAATTCAGGATGCCCGTGGTGACACGGCCAAGATCTCTCGAGCAGCCGCCCAGGTCGGTTACCGACCGATCTTCTCTTGGATGAACAGCATCAGCAGCTTCATCGATCTTGCTGCGCAGGGCATGATTGGCACCAAAGCCGGCTTTTCTGAAACTCTCGATGCGCAGCTGAGCAAGATTTGGCAGAACACTGCCGTTGCCATGAAGCGGGTGGCTTTGGAAGGCAGAAGCATGGAGGACAAGGATTCCAACATGTCCGAAGATGAATATTTGGAGGCCCACCCTGAAAAGCGACCGGTTGTGGTAGTTGATAACTTCCTGTATGACGCAGAAGACAGCGTTGTTCTGGACAAGCTCACCGAGTGGGCGGCTGGGCTGACTTCGGCGAACATTGCCCATGTCGTCTTCTTGACCACGGACTCCTCTTTCTCGAAGCCATTGAGCAAAGCTATGCCCAATCAAGTGTTCCGTACAATCGGACTGGGCGACTGCTCGCTCGAAGTAGGTCGGCGTTTCGTGTTGAGCCATTTGGACTCTGAGGCTGGCGCCGATAATGAAGCAAACGCGCGGCGCAGGGAAACGTTGCACGGCTTGGACTCTTGTATCAGAGTCTTAGGCGGCCGAGTTACCGACTTGGAATTCATGGCTCATCGCATTGAGGCTGGTGAGACTCCAGAGGGTACGTGAAACACCGATTTGACCTGGAAAGAAAATAGGCGCTAACATCCGACACAGCTGCGGTCAGCCGAATCATTGAGCAATCGGCATCAGAAATCCTGAAAATTTTCATCCTTGGGACAGACTCTGCGCCGTCTCAATACACCCGTGAACAGGCATGGGATTTAATCAAATCTCTCGCGCAATCCAAGGACGGCAGTCTACTATACAATAAGGTACTACTGGGAGATCTCTTCAAAGACAACGGGGAGGCCACCCTACGAGCCTTGGAACAAGCAGAGCTCATTTCTGTTGCAACTGACAAGGGATTCCCCCGATATGTCAAGCCCGGGAAGCCCGTTTACCGCGCTGCATTCCAACGTCTGGTTGAAAACAAGACCCTTCAAGGCCGGCTCGATCTTTTGATCCTGGCTCAGCTGATCGGGAATGAGAACTCTAGCATTAAGAAGTATGAGGAGGAGCTGCAGGTTCTGGGTTCATTGCCTAAATACCCTTGGGAACTCACTTCACGGATTGAATGGCTGTTGCGTAAAGTTCATGGAGCGCAAGCGAAGGTTCTGAAGTATGAGAGTGACAGCGCTGCTTTATCCAAGATTCTGCAGAAGGAGAACTAAGACTTTTATCTCATCTCAATATCAGATCATTTTCGAGGCTATCGTTCATAGTTCGTACTCCGTAGTTCATCGGGACCTGGATGCTGAGTCAGCACGTCCGAGCTCCAGATGTCGCGGGCGTGTTCTTTTCGACGGTTTGTTTTGTTCTCTTGGCATCGACATCCTATCTTCCATTTTGCACCTTGTATTTATACCATCCCTTCGGATGGTCGCAGTTTGAATCTTTGAAATCTTGGACCGTTGGGGAAATGGACGGCTACCAGCCCCACGGACTTCAGTTGGCCCGCGAGAAGTTCTTTGGTATCAATTGGTCCACCGTCCTCGCCGCCTTTCTTTTGATATGCATCGCAACGCGCCTCATCACGGGCCTCCAAAGTCGCAAAGTAGCCTCGTCACTAGCAGTGACATTGGCGCCTTACTGGATTCCGTGGATTGGACATGGACCTGCCTTTCTGTGGAATCATGTCTCCTTCTTCAGGAGAACTCGGTTGGTCTTATATTGTCTTCCGAAAGTGCATCAGCTGACAAATTGCAGAGGATCCATGGGTGAGCCGGTCTTCGGCATATATCTACGTGGAGTGAAACATAACGTCGTGGCGTCTCCGTCCATGATGAAAGAAGTTCTCGCTTTGAAGCATTCCTCAAACTCCGAGGTGCTTGATCAAGCTTTGCAAAACGTCTTTGGGGACCGTAGTCTCATTCGGAGCCTTGAAAATAACCCAGGAGTGAAAGATCCGGCCGTCACGATTCTGAACGATGTTTCATTCGTGGCCGAAGCATCATCTGTCATTTCTCGTCTGGTTCAGCAGAATATGCCAAATCTGGTGAGCTTCTGCCGAAGCGAGGTTGATCAAAACCCCTGGGAACGTGGAATCAGCCAGGTTGAACTTCCTGAGGACGGAACCCAAACAGTCTGCGAGGCCAATCTGTTTGCACTCCTGAGCAGTTTCATCGGCCATATCACCTCTTCTTTCCTGATGGGTGAGGCTTTCGTGGAAAACTTCCCCAATCTCGCAGAGGATCTGGGCAGACTCGACGATACCTTCGTGACTTTGTTCGTAGGCATTGCGCGTTGGGTTCCTCACCCGGCAGCTTCAGCTGGCCATGCGGCTAGCGACCGACTGCGCCATATTATGTCGGTGTTTCACCGAGCGCTCACTGCTGTGGATCACGGCATTGACCCAGGCATTGAGTTGCGTGATCTCGACGATGCCTCTGACTTGGTCAAAGAGAGAATGCGGATGTTCCACAAACTGGAGTTATCTGCCGGGGCCAGCGCCGCAGGGCATTTGTCTCTATACTATGACCTGATTGGGCACACGAGCAAGATCAGCTTCTGGGCCATTACCCATCTTTATGCAGAACCTGCACTTCTCGAGCAAGTTCGTTCCGAGATAGCCCCTTATGTTGTAGCTTCAAGGGCAACTCGCCAGGAGACAGGGTTCCCCTTTGATGAACCCCCTCGTCTTTCCGTTGATATCGAGCAGGTTCTCACCTCGTGCCCGCTGTTCAAGGCGTGTTACTATGAAACCGTACGCCTTCATTCGGCCGGAATATCATTTAAGAAGCCAACGTCCGATATCACACTCACTGAGTCGGCAGAGGAAGCCGCCTACGGTCTGACAGAGCCCCGTAAATACAAGATTCACAGAGGCGAGAGGCTCATTGTCCCTCATGGCGCTTACTACCACGATTCACGATACTTTTCCAACCCGGATCAGTTTGACCCTCTGCGATTCCTCGTTACCGTCCCTGAGACCGGTACCCAGCGGGCTGATCCAAATGTTCTTGCTCCTTTTGCCGAGGGACTTTATGGATCCACCAACAATGGGTTCACTGAGAGATCTACTTTGACATTCATTGCTGGCGTTGTGGCAATGTGGGAGATTCAGCCTACGAGCGGGAAGCTGCTTGCAGTACCTGGGCACAAGACCAGCTGGGGAGCATTCCGACCGACACAAGATCTGAGAGTGAGGATGAAGACGAGGGTATAGACATAGACAGAGCACACAGTAAACATACCTCGGATATTAATCCGATCGGCGTTTCGCCGATGACACCATCCACTAGGAGGAGGGGGATATATAAGCCAGCACCTCGACACTTGACCAAGGTGTCAATAGCTCACAATCGTTCGCCATTCGGCCATGGATTCTAACGACTACGACCTTGCAACTCCCATCACATCCACAACAGGGCTTCGTCAAGGTCTAGCTTCCTACGGAGACCCTCATTTCTCCCTGTTTCTCCGAAAAGTGTTTATCAAGGCACTGGGATATTCAGAAGATGCCCTTTCTCGCCCAATTGTAGGAATTATCAACACATTCTCGGGTTTCAATCCTTGTCATGCCAATGTACCCCAGCTTATCGAAGCTGCCAAGCGTGGTGTGCAGCTCAATGGTGGACTAGCCATTGAGTTTCCTACCATCAGTGTTGCCGAGTCCTTCTCGTCTCCTACCAGCATGTTCCTACGGAATCTCATGAGCATGGACACCGAGGAGATGATACGCGCCCAACCATTAGATGCATGTATCATGATTGGAGGTAAGGTCCATTCCCGAGGTGCCACGATGTGGTCTCCTATTGACCGTAAAACATCGCTGATGGGCCTCAGGTTGCGACAAGACAGCTCCAGCGCAATTGATGGGCGGCATTTCCGCCAACAAGCCAATCCTCCCGTTGATCACCGGTCCCATGCTACCAGGTAGTCACCGTGGTCAGCGTTTGGGAGCCTGCACAGACTGCCGTAATAACTGGGCGGCTTTCCGCGCCGGTGAAATCGATGTCGAAGAAATCTCAGCAATCAATGAGGAGCTTGCGCCGACGGTATGTATAGATGTGCTCTTCGAAAGCTATCCATTGACTAAATGCGAGGCATCTGTAGATTGGAACATGCGGTGTGATGGGGACTGCGAGTACAATGGCCTGTGTCACTGCCGCCCTCGGAATGATGCCACTTCGAGGCGCTTCGGCACCTGCGGTCTCCTCGGCGAGACTGCGTATTGCTGAGGAGACTGGCGCCAATGCAGTGACATTGGCAAAATCCCAGAGAAAGCCACAGGAGATCTTGACCAAAGAATCTTTCTGGAATGCCATCACGGTCCTGCAGGCCATTGGAGGCTCAACCAATGCTGTCGTTCATTTACTGGCCATTGCCAACAGACATCCAGACCTACAGGGTGTCATCACTCTGGACACCTTTGAGGAGATTGGCCGCAAGACACCCCTTCTCATTGACCTCAAGCCGAGTGGTAATAACTATATGGATGACTTTCATAATGCTGGCGGTATGATGGCATTGTTGCAAGTATTGCGGCCACTGCTCCATTTGTCTGCCGTCACGATCACTGGACAAAGCTTGGGGGAAGTTCTTGATGCAGGTCAAAGCAAGACGCTCTCGTTTTCGCAGAATATTATTCGACCCTTATCAGATCCCCTATTCCCGGCATCTTCTTTAGCAGTCTTGCGTGGCAACCTTGCACCAGATGGAGCAGTCCTCAAAGCCTCAGCATCCAAGTATAAACATCTCCTCGCTCACAGTGGGCCAGCCGTGGTGTTTGAGAATTCAGCCGACCTAGCTCGGCGGATCGATGATCCAGACCTTCAGGTTACAAAAGACAGCGTGTTGATCTTGAAAAATATTGGACCGGTCGGCAACCCGGGCATGCCCGAAGCGGGCATGATACCTATCCCCAAGAAGCTAGGGGAAGCCGGCATCAAAGACATGCTACGTCTTTCGGATGGAAGAATGTCAGGAACCGCGGGAGGAACCATCATTCTTCACATTTCGCCTGAAGCTGCGCTGCCCGAGTCGCCTTTCGGGGTAGTGGAGACGGGTGACCTAGTCGTTTGCGATATCGAGTCCCGCAAACTTCATCTGGAAGTCTCCGATGAAGTCTTACAGTCTCGAATCGGGAAACGCAAACAACTTCTGGCGGGTGAGGTGCAGATCAGAAAGCAGCGGCGAGGATACCGGGGGCTATATGAACGGTCGGTAAATCAAGCTCAGGAGGGTGCGGACTTTGATTTCTTGACAGCTGGAGGTGCTACAGTGTGAGATATCAAATGTATAACATCATAACATCGTAACATCAAGAGCAATAAGCATCTGTAGCCCGACGCCGCCTGGGCAGGCTCGGGGCGTCCGAATTGAGACAGGCCCTTGCCCTGAGCCCTGAGCCCTACATCGTTACCAAATTGGGTTAAATCAAGGCGCGTCGCGGACGCGTCCGACCCCCAACATGGTAGATCCCTGGCCATTTGCGATCTACCTCGAGATGCTACAGAGCTCCTGATTGCACTTCCATTCACCATCATGAGCTTTGATCCCCTTCGCCCGCGCGGGCGACCAGCTCGTACGTGACATGATCCCACTGGCCATGCACCGCTAACGAGTATAGACACGCCCGGCACGACGGTACTGACATACACACCTGACGGACGACGAATCATCACTGGCGGTTCAAATTCCGCAATCCGCATCTACACGGTCGGCGAGGATGGAGAGCCCAAAACCATCGACGAAGGCGTCGACACGCACTTCGGTATCTGCGCGACGGTACGTCAGTTACGGTATTGCCTGGGATCGGCTGACAATCGGTAGAATAAATGTTTCATCATGGGCGCTGAAGATGGAACAGTGTGGCTGTATGATCTCATGTCGGGCAAGATGCAAAACTTGCTTGTACGCTGTGCTTTGCCGGTGAGAGACATCGCGGTGACCAGAGATGGAGAATGGGTTGCCGTTGCGAGCGAGTGAGTGCTTCGCGATATAAGGCACGAGAATTATACTGACATATTGACGCCCAGTGAACTCACGGTCAAGATGGTGAAAGTCGAGGATATGACCCAAGTGAAATACCTGCGGGAACAATCCAAGGGAACGAAGCACGTCTCATTCGATCCCAGCAGCCGCTATGCGACAGTCTCAGGCACAGATGGGATTCTCTACATTTATTCTCTGGAAGAAGAGGAACCACAGATGGTCCGCAAACTGGATGGAGCGATCCAACGATTAGAGGCGGATTCTGAGGCGACATCCAAAGCAGTGTGGCACCCCGATGGCACAGCATTCGCCGCCGCAGAAGCGACCAGAGACATCGCCATATACTCGACCTCGGGATGGAAAAAGGAAAAGACCTTTGCAGGGGGGCACACTGGAGACATCACGGTCATGAGTTGGGCCCCCAACGGGTCCCTCTTGGCATCTGCAGGAGCTGATGGATACATCGTACTTTGGGAGGCCAAGACACAAAAGATCTTGCAACGATTCGACTTTGGAAACGTCATTAATCTAGCCTGGCACCCGTCCAAGAACTCGGTTTCCTTTACGACTTCGGATGGAGAGCTCTTCATTTACGATAACTTTGTACCAAAGGATCACGAGGCGCAATTGCAGAAGCCGCTTCAGGCAGCTCCTATTCTCCCCGAGCCTCTTGGGGAGATCTCGAACAATGTAGGACGCACGACACTAGCGGACCGGTCGAAGGAGGCCATTCAGCGGGCGGCGCGGAGAGGTAGCCCCGACTCACTGGATGATATTCTCGGGGGAGACGATGATATGATGGACTTTGTCGATGATGACGATGGAGCTGGCTACGCCGATGACCAGATCAATGCATTTGGAAAACGACCAAACGGTCATCTCGACGATATCGGTGCTGATGTCAAGCGCATGCACTCGAGCCTGCCACTCAAAGCTCACCCCCCTATCCAGCCCGGCAGCACCCCCTGGGCTGGAAGCAGAAGATATCTCTGTGCGTCTATACCTCCATTGGAAATGACCTTGCTAACTGGATTAGGCCTCAACCTCACTGGAGCTGTCTGGACGGTGGACCAGGAAACACACCACACAGTCACTGTGGAGTTCTATGACCGTGAAGCTCATCGGGATTTCCACTTCACTGATCCATATATGTATGACAAGGCTTGTCTCAGTAAGTTTGACCCCTGATAACCTCGCTTCCCGTGACTAATCTTGCGTAGATGATAATGGCACCTTGTTCGCCAACAGCCCTTCCGACGGTAGCCCTGCCACTATCTTCTACCGACCACATGAAACGTGGACCACACGAGCGGATTGGCGGACTCAATTACCAGAAGGCGAGCAAGTCCGAGCTCTTGCCCTGAGCGATTCATACATCGTCGCCGTGACATCCAAGGACTACGTTCGCGTATACACTCTATTCGGAACTCCCTTCAAGGTATATCGACAAAAGAGCCAGGCTGTCACCTGTGCAGCCTGGCGTAATTACATTATGAGCATCGGAAACGGCCCCGTCGGCCCTGATGGGCGCCACACGACATTACGATACACGGTGGAGAATGTCAAGCGAGATGAAATCTGCCAAAACGAGGACACCGTTGCCCTGCCGGAGGGGGCGACGCTGCAGAGTGTGTTCTTTTCTGATAATGGGGTATGAGATACTCGAGAAAAAACCATGTTTCAAGTACTCACCATATATATAGGATCCTTGCATTTACGACTCAACGGGTGTTTTACTTGTTCTTCAAGGCTGGCGCACTCCAGGACAAGCCCGATGGGTACCTCTGCTCGACACCAAGCAGATGGCTCGTCTCGCAGGTGGACGAAAAGAAGAAACATATTGGCCCGTGGCCGTCGCCCAAGACAAGTTCCACTGCATCATTCTGAAGGGTGGTGACAAGAACCCCTACTTCCCCCGGCCCCTGCTGAGTGAATTCGACTTCCAAATCCCACTCTCCAGTGCGGCCGTGGACACCGAAAGCGAGGACACGGCCGCCGAGGGAGCACGTTTCGAAGAATCATTCGTTCGGGGTAATGTGCTCTTGACCCTATTCCGTGATCTTCTCGCCTCTACGAATGCCACCGCCAGTCAACGGTCCGACCTGGCGCGCCGGGAACTCGACCTGGATAAAAATCTGCTACAGATGCTGGCCATTGAATGCAGAGAGGGTGAAGAGCGCGGTATGAAGGCGCTCGAACTCGTGGCTTTAATGTCAGATCGAAATGGGAAGATGCTTGAGGCCGCCGCCAAGGTTGCGCAGCGGTATGGCCGGGGTGTGTTGGAGGACAAGATTCGAGATCTGGCTGAGCGGCGGGTGATGGGCATGGGAGATGATGATGAATTGGCTTAGAACTGTAGTCAGATAATGCAGTTGAGCCCAGGCAGTGCAATTTGAAGTGTAATGCAGAGGGTCAATGCAAGAGTGTAGAGTGAAGAGTGAAGAGTGCAGAGTGCAGAGTAACTCCCACACTGTGATTGGCGATAACCGTTATCGCCGAACCTCTCCACTTCGCCTTCGGCTTTCTCGACTTTCACTTCTTCACCTCTCCACATCAATGGCTTGACAATTTACTCCTTGCAGAATGCCAAATCTGGCACGTCTTCCACGGTGGCGCACTGCCCGGTTCTTTGGCTCAGATGCGCGACGCCGACTAGCGCAGCCTCGATCGGGTCTCCTCCACGAGCCCTGGCTACCAGCTCCCTCTTTGCCCGCCGCCTATTTTACACCCACTCGGCCCCGGCGGGAAGTAAAGCTGGGTGATCGCAGAGACCATAAACCGCCAGATGAGCGAACTCTGAAGCTTGGAAAGAGTACATACATTATCCGGGGCCTCTTGAGCTGTGCTGACCTTGGAACTATAGCTCTACGAACCCTCTCCCCACTTCTTCCAACTCTCTTGTACAACACTTTACCAACCAACATTCTCTCCCCAAGCGTCAACCTCCACCTCTTCCCATCCACCCATCCCCACCTCCCCATCGTCAAAGGTCGTACCCTCTACCGCGCAGCCTTATGGACCGTTCCTGTCGCATGGAGCAGCGTCCCACTTGTCGGCAACGTCAAACTTCAAATTCTCAGTGAACGGATCGTGCGCTCAGGAACACTCCTCGATCCCACTCATGACGGCCATCATCACGACTGCGGCGACGAGCGTCTCATAGTTCGCTGGAAAACAGAGCCTCGAACGGATAGCAGACCATTCCATGGTCCCGCTGCGTCCACCCCGCCGAAACCTCCAACCAGCCATCTCTCCGACTCGCAGGGCACCAATAAAGGTCTCAGTGTGCTTCTCGGGGGAGATGAACCGATATTCAAGCTCTCGAAAGAAGAGCAGTTCACGGGTATCTTCATCTTCTCTTTTGACGAGGAGGGCCGCATTTTGACACATACCATCGAACACGCAGACGAAGCAGACGGCTGGGACCGAACAGCAAAGTTCGTCACTTTGACGGATTGGCTTATTGGAAAGGCCCGGGGCTCGTTAGATCCCAATCCGGAGCTTGCTATACAGTGCCAGAACGAAGCTGCTCGGCGGTGACCCCGGACGGCAACTCTTTGGGGACGAATGTACGATATCTCCACGTTTTCTCACTCGCCTCTTTTACTTTTTCGTGTTTATGCTTCCATTTGGGCAGCTTCTGTGTCTTCGCCATGAGGCTCATCACCACTCTTGTACTATACCCTCGAATCGCAGTCGAAATTTCTACCAAAATTTCCCTGAATGTTTGTACTCATCTTTCTGCGATGATGTTATATCCTGTATTTTCCGCTAATCTTCACATCAATTGTACAAAAAGACATGACTTGATGCAACATGAAGCTCATCCACGTAAGGAATAGTAGATAGGCACCGTCTCCAAGCAATCAACACCTCACCAACACTGACCCCCAATTCGTTCTCGGGGATTTTATAAGAAATCAAAAATACAAAATGCCCCCTGGTGCCACTATACGTGCACGGACTTACTCAGTCTTCTTGTGCTGAATGGGTGACTTGAGCAATCCAAATGCTGCAATCGCAACAATGCACATGGCCGCCCCGCCTGCAGTATAGGCAGCCTCGCGTCCAGCCCACCAGAACAGCGAGCAGAACACGATAGGGCCCGTTGCGCGACCAGCCTGGCCCCATCCCCTCAGACGACCCATGACCGCCCCGCGGTCCGCATCTTGCGCCTCAAAGCTGCCCAGGCTGTTCAGCCCGGTAACCACAGTGGCTGTTGTCACAGCCAGCAGGGCACCAGCCGCGTAAAGACCCGACGGCGAAGCAACATGAGCAAGGCAGAAGAAGGAGATCGCGCAGGCCACTATGCCCACACGGAGGGTAAGCAGCGGTGGCAGACGGCGCACAACTGTGCCCTGGAGCAGAGAGGCGACCAATCCCATGAGAGACAGGAGACGACCGTTCAGCGCAGCAGGGCTAGCTGTTGTAGCAGTTCCCGCGTAGAGGGTTGTAGTTAAGAACGGGAGAGAGAATTCCAGCCCTGAGAAAGGAAGCAGGAAGAGGAAGTGGAGCGCATTGAGCAGAGCCGGGTTATTGGTGTGAGCGCACTTGCTAGGCGATGGTTTCTTGTTCTCATCTGCGCTCGGTGCATTACTCTTCTCACATGCGCCTTCAACCGGGAGTGTCGTCAATCGAGGGTGAGTCTCGGGCAGACAGGCCCAGAGATACACTGTTTCGATCAGAATCAGTCCAAACGACACAATTGCAGCGACAATAAACGGATTCTCAGCGACGATGTCAACCGTACTCAGCCCCGCGCCTAGCATCGGGCCAAAAGTGAATGCTATACTGAAGCACACCCCCACCAACGCCATAGAGGAACCACGATGCTCAGCATCCGTGATGTCCGCCACGATGGCATTGGCCATTTGTACATTCGCCTCGCTGATACCTCCGACGATGCGACTGGCAAGGAAGGTGCGGAAATCCTTTGCGGACACCCAAAGGATCACACTCATTAAATTTCCCAGCATAGAGATAAGAAGGGCGCGACGCCGGCCATAGCGGTCAGATAGGCCGCCGATGATGGGGGCCGCGAAAGCCTGGAGGAGGGAGAACATTGAGCCCAGGGCCCCCCCAAGGAGGACGATGTCATAGCGCGAGTTGATGGGGCGCGCAAAAGAGTTCTTGTAGGCGTTCAGATAATGGAAGATGCGGTTAAGAATGGAGTCCGGCGATGGGTCCTGGGTGCGATAGAATGATAGCAGGGAGGGGAACAGAGGCAGGATGAATGTGAATGAGATCTAAAGTGGTTAGCACACATCTAGTGGGTTCTGAGGCGATCTTACCAGGTCGATCAACAACGAGAGCATCAGCACTTTCAGTACCTGCTTGCGTTGGGCGCCAGCGATGGCCATTTTTGCTGGCGCCGAGGGAATATGATATAGATGCGGAATATAAGGATATAAGGAGGGAACAGAGGGAACAGAAGAAAGTCGCAAGTGGACACATAAAGAGAAAGGCGCCATCAGCCCATGACGCGATAAGCTCCACGCTTCGGCACACTTTGCCTATCGCGGTTAGCGCCGTGGGCGGATACGCGCTGTCACGTGATGAAGTATAAGGTGAGGCTCTCAATGTATCGAAGTAAACAGGCACACACAGAGAGAGAGAGAGAGCATACGAGAATACGAATTATCAATTGCACAATCATTATGATCAATTCCGATCTATGCCCGACCTCAGGTCCACCCGTCCACTCGCGCCGTTAAAACAAAAGCCATAGAATACATATGTATGCCGTGAGAGCTTCGCTGGGAAGATTCTGGATATGCACGCTCAAAAATAGCAGGACATGGTAAGACTGTAGGAGAGCAAGGCGAAGAGACCTAGAAAGTGACTCTCCATGAAGAAAATTCGTAGCATTCGTGATCCATCACATCGGACGAGGGAAAGGTGAGATGGGCCTGGGGGCCACTCCGCTGGAATGGCATCCAAGACCCTTCAAAGCCAACCATCCCACTGACATCCTAGGAAAACCACACTCTTACTCGGTGGATTTGGCGGGCGCAGGGGCATCACCCGCGACGTTGCCAGAACCAGCGCCTCCACGCCCACGGCCCCGTCCGCCACGGCCACGACCCTCTCCACCGCGGGAGCGACCTCCGCGGCCACGACCTTCGCGGGATCCTTGCTGTCCGTCACGGGGAGGTTGATCGCCTTGCTGCGTCTCCCGCTGCGCCTTGGAGCCCTCGCGCTTGCCCTGGCCCTCGCGCTGAGGCTGTCCGTCCCGTGGGCCCTGCTGTCCGTCCCGAGTGCTACGATTGTGGTGGTGGCGGCGTCGGTCCCTGGGCTTCTTCGCACTGGTCTCCTGTCCACCTGCGTTGGCCGCGTCCACGCCGACAGAACCGTTGGTCAAACCCGCATCGGCGCTAGCCGGGGTGGCTTGAAGACCAGTCTCGGTCTCCGCGGGGTTGCGAGGAACCTCAACCCGCTCGCTGTCGTCGGAGGAAACGCCCGCGCTCTTCTCCGCAATCTCATTGGCAGCTTCGGTGACTACGGTTTGCTCGGGAGGAGCCAGCTGGTTGGCTTGGGCGGCAGGCGCAGCGTTGGTCAGAGAGCTGTCCTGGAGCTCGGTGAAACCAGCGTTGGCAATGGTAGGGTCGGAGGCGGGGACGGTCTCGGTGCTAGCTTCGGAGCCCTCTTCGGCCGGCGCAAACCGTTCACAGGCCTGCTTCAGGTCCGCATCTGAAGAAAAACAAAGCTCATGTCAGCAAGCGCATACGGCAGTTTGGTGGGGCACCTAGGTAACACGCACAGGTAAAGTCCAGTACATCGCCCTCCACGGCGGTAATCTTCTCGTCCGCTCCATTGATGACCTTCAACATGTTGTTGACAGAGTCGTGGCTACCGCCGTAGACCTGGAACAGGACTCCCTCAAAGGCTTGGGTTTCGGTATTGACCACCCCGTCGCGTCGCAGCATGGCTGCGCCACACAAGAACTTGGTCATTGTGTGGAGCTGGGTGCGCAGCGCTTTGCGAGAGGCTTCCGTCGCATCGGCAATGGCGTTTGCCCGGACGGCTTCCAGTTCCTCCTCGTGATCCTTGGCCAACTCAGACTTCTGGGCCACCAGACGCTCCTCATACTGGGCAGCGAAGTGCTTGTAATGGCCGATCTGCTCTTCAGTCTGGGCAGCAGCAGCCTGCAGAGCACTTTTCCTCAGGTGTTGGGCCCGCTGGTCACTGTTGATCTTCTTCTCCTCGACCAGCTGGTCAAGCGACTTATCAGGGTTTTCGGCGAGGATGGCATCGACCTTGGCACTGGCATTCTAAGGAAATGATGTTAGTAAGGTATTGGGGAAGAATACGGGATGGAAGGTGAACAAGGAACGACTTACAAGCTTCTTAGTGGTATTGCGAAGTGACCTAAGATTGTACCTGGTCAGTCTGCGCATCTTCACAGATCCATATATCTCAACCTTGAAACAGCACAACACTTACTTCTGCAGCTCTTTGAGATAGTTGTTCTCTCCATCCGTGTGGCTCTCTGTCTTGGAGACGCTTGAAGCTCGAGACAGACCAGTCTCAACCTTCAGCTTCTGAGTGGCAGCAGGCATGGTGGAATGTGACACAAGAAGGTCAGGATTTTTCACAAAAGGCCTGTACAGGGCACGATGATGGATGATTGTTATGGGGGGGAAAGTGGAAAGAGGAAGAATATGCGGGTCCCGCTGTCGGTGTGTTCGGTTCACTACTGGCCTTCCGCAGCCTTCTACTTGCACCGTTCAGAGCAAAGAGCTTCATTCTTATGCAGTAACTATTACTTAGGTAGACTGCCAGGGTATCTTGGTTTATCCAATGCGCCAACGCCGTGCCATCAATCAAATCACCCCTCGGGCTCCGGGGGTAAGAGGTGCCCATCTCTATCCTTGGAATTTCCGAAGTGTCTTCTACAGCCACAGATGCTTGTTAGCAGTATCTTGGGAGCTAAACCAGAATCCACACACCTCAGTGACCTTGCGCACCGTATTGGCCGAGATGTTCTTCTCCCCAGATCGCTGAGACCGGATGGAGGCTTCGCGCATCAACCTGTGCCCTTCGGTTAGCTTCTATGACACGAAACCTATTGGGTCGACATGAGGAGGCGACTGGACGCGTTTCGCACGCAGACATACTCTTGCATGAATAGCATGTAATCCAGGAAGATCTATGGGGAATCAGCAAAGCGATCGCGATCGGCCAGAGGCGACAAGCACTGCGTACCAGGATATCGGCATTCTTGCTCACGGTGCGATTGGAATGGGCCTTGACAATGCGCTTGACAGTACCTCTGGGGTACAGCTTTTGAGTGGCAGCCATGAAGGTGAAATGGTCAGGGAACGGGCTCTTGTTTACATTCCCGTAAAGATCGGGTTCTGACATAATCTGGTATATTTACCTACCTAGGTATCCGAACCGCCAATGCTTTCTACATTTCACCGTAGCCTTCGCAGCAGACGCCATGCAGAGAGACCGGCAACAGAGCCAATGGCCACACGCCAGGCGAGGAACACCCAGATGGCCATTCGCAATCGAGTATAGTATCCCCGGAGCAACATCCCCACGGCATACGATTGTCCGTCTGTGGCCTGATCCGAAGCACCGTAATATCGACCTACACCAAGACCTCCAATCCCCACTTCATTATGATCATGATCATTGGGGCCCGCGAATTTGGGAAGAGCTCGCTCGCCCTCAGTGGGACCGCTAGGTCGAGCACCTGCCTTCACATTGCGCGCGTTGCGCCTCCGCAGGTGATACGTTACAACGCTTACGATCAGGCGCAAATCGGGCACCGTAAAGGTCGGGTATTTCCACAGCTGGACTGCGTTGTGGGGCGGGAGCATATCCAGGAAATCGGCGAGGATTCCAAGGGTCAGGCCCCAAAGAAGCAGCGGACGGCCAGTGTCCGTGGATTCCGCCTGGTTATTGAGGCACCACCCTTCGAAGCGCTGGATCAGGGAAGGCTGCCTGTCATCAGGGAAAAAGCCTGGGGTGGTGGTGCATTGCTGGGTCTCGGAGGGAAGAAGTCGAACCGCCGAGAATTGCATCCAGCCCATCAAGGACCGCACCGCAAGACGAGTGAAGAACCCACCCTGTCGCGCAAATCGCTGCGACATATCCACATATTCGACGGTTCTTTGGGACGGCGATAAGAGGGCGCGCAACGGAATCCAATGTGTCGAAGCCACCTCCGTGGGTTGCAGGCGCAGGGTCGGGGAGTCGCTGCGGGTCATGAGGAACACAAAAGGTGAGAGAACCATCAGCCTGATCTTGGTGTTAGTTATCTGCGCAGTTTTTATGAAGAATCCCCTTACGGTTCGGATCCCCAACTGGTGGTGACCACCCGTTCGGGGAGATTCCCCACGCTGATGCAATCCTCCGTGGTCAAGTCCAATCCGATTTCCTCGGACGCCTCCCTAATCGCGGCCGCCTGGTCGTCCGCATCTTCAGGATCTCGCTTCCCGCCCGGGAGGGCAACATGACCCGTCCATCGGTCCCCAACCCGAGAGGCACGCTTGATAAAGAGCACCTCCGGCTCCCCATGTTGTACCCATGGCTGTGCAAAGAACCCATCCAGACGTTCTTGGACTGATTGTGAAGCATCAATTGGTCGTTCAGCGTCGGGCCAATGGTCGTATGTCGGCCGGACCCGAATGATCAAAGCAACCGAGGCTCGTTTCTTGCAGGATGGGGGGTTTGGGACATGGGGATAAGGGCGTCGATTGAGTTCAGCTAGAACGTCATGTAGAGGATGGGACAAGCCATTTGCGGTCATGGTCTGAGAGGATCCAGAGTCTGCTGGTACATAGTAATCGTCCGGAGTACGGAGCAGAGCATATCAGTCCTATCGGCCCCAGAATCATCGTGGCACACAGACCATCCGATGGTCTGTGTTCGTAGGCGGTCTAGCCCCCTGGACAATACCGGATACTGTCATTAATACCGTCACAATACAGGCGGCGGTGGCAGATCGGCCCAATGATTCTCCGGATAGCTGTCGGGTCTGGCCGCTCTGATTGGTTCACCGAGGGTCAGCACGTGCGTCTATCGCTGGCTCTGGACGGTTTCGTCTTCACGTCCCGTCGCCCAGGAAGGAAGCTAATTGTTGATATTCCGTGAGATCTTGACCTTGCACAGTCTCTTCAGGTCATTGTGTCTCTGCACTTCTCTGTCCCTTTTGGCCGTGTCAGGATATCAACTCCTGTTCGCCTTGATTCCCCAATCAGCCTTGGAGGTCCACAAGTGCCTGAGTAACAACTGCACAACGTTCACAACCGGGCTGACTCAATATGCGGTTTGGGAAAACCCTCCGCAATGCGGTGTACCCTCCCTGGAAAGGGAAGTACATTGACTATACCAAGCTCAAGACCCTACTGAGGGAAAATGATGTCACCGGAGAAGACGCCAGTGACTCGGAAGACAACGAATGGACCGAGCAGGATGAGGAGGCCTTTGTGCAGGAACTGCTCAATGTGCAGCTGGAGAGAGTGAACGCATTCCAGGCAGAGACCTCACAACAACTTCGGGAACGTACGACGGCCTGCGAAGCTAAATTGCGACCCTTGGCGTCCGATGCCGAACAGGAAGGACCCGCCCCCGACGATCAGCAGAAGCGATCCATTGCGACAGAGGTTCTCCAGGAGCTGGACAGCATCACCAAGGAAGTCAGTGCATTGGAGAAATACAGTCGCATCAACTTCACCGGTTTCCTGAAGGCCGCCAAGAAGCACGACCGCAAGCGAGGAGCTCGGTACCGGGTGAAACCGTTGCTCCAGGTGCGACTGTCGCAGTTGCCATTCAACTCGGAAGACTACTCGCCGCTGGTACATCAACTCTCGGTGATGTACTCGTTCGTTCGCGAGACACTCAGTCATGATATCGTGCAACCGAAGGAGCCGGAGCGCGGCTTTGGCCGGGAGACCTACTCATCATACAAGTTCTGGGTTCATGCGGACAATGTGTTGGAGGTGAAGACGCATATTCTGCGACGTTTGCCGGTCCTGATTTACAACCCGGGAACCTCGAAACACATCGATACCGTCACCGATGACCCCACCATTACCTCTCTATACTTCGACAACCCCCAATTCGACCTTTACAACCAAAAGGTAGCACGAGCTCCCGAGGCCGGATCTTTACGGCTTCGTTGGACGGGATCGCTGAAGGACAAACCTCCCATCTTCCTAGAAAAGAAAGTCGTCACCGACGACGACGAAAGCCGCCAGGTCAAAGTCCAGCTGAAGGAAAAGCACGTCAAGGAATTTTTGGACGGCGAATATCACTTCGACAAGAAAGTGCTCCGCATGGAGGACCCCAACAATGGAGACAACACTGCCGCCGAGGCATTCAAACGAGACGTAGATGAAGTGCAGTCGTTCATCAAGGACAACGACCTGCAGCCTATGCTGCGAGCCAACTACACCCGCACCGCTTTCCAAATCCCCGGCAACGACCGAATCCGAATCTCTCTTGACACTAACCTTGCTCTGATCCGGGAAGATTCTCTGGACAGCGAGCGCCCATGCCGTGATTCAGCCAAGTGGCACCGCGATGACCTGGATGATGTTGACATGACATATCCCTTCGATGCCGTTCGCACTGGCGAAATTACCCGATTCCCCCACGCTTTGCTGGAAATCCAACTCCGGGGTAAAGCCCACAATACCGAGTGGGTCAATGACCTGATGGTCTCCCACTTGGTCAAGGACGCCCCTCGATTCTCCAAATTTGTCCACGGTGTTGCCTCGTTGTTCGAGGATCATGTCAATAGCTTTCCCTTCTGGCTCAGTGGCCTGGAGAGTGATATTCGCCGCGACCCCGAGACTGCTTTCCACGAAGAGCAAGAACGACTGGCGAGGCGCGCGGAAGAGGACATGGCGGTGGGAAGTTTCATGGGAGGCACCGCCAGCCCCAGTACCCGCCCTCTGGTCGGGTCTTCCTTCCACCAGTTCTCTGCAGGCTCCCCTTCTACGGTGCGACGCCCCTCAGGCGTCACCGAGCCTTCATCCCGACCTCGTCCCTCCATTCCCACGCTCGAGCGTCGCGAGACGGAGGCTGTATCAGAAGCCCCAGAGGAGCCCGAACCACCCAGCCGCCTCGAAGTTTTCATCAAATCCCTGGGGCTTTCCCCCGAGCGATGGCTTGGCAAGGAGTCGGTTTCTCTGCCCCCTGGAGTCCGACACCCTGGATACTGGATCAAGGACGTGGGTCCAGTCCGCGTAGAGAGCAAGGTATACCTCGCCAACCAGCGAACCTTCATCAAATGGTTGCACATCAGTATTCTACTGTCCAGTTTATCGTTGGGTCTCTACAATGCCGCTGGTAAACACAACCAGGTCGCACAGGCCCTAGCGGTTGTCTATACTTTCTTCGCCATCTTCGCTGCGGTTTGGGGGTGGGTCATGTACGAGCGTCGGGCTCGCCTCATTCGTCAACGCAGTGGAAAGGATCTCGACAACATGTTTGGTCCTATTGTGGTCTGCATTGGTTTGGCCATCGCCTTGGTCCTGAACTTTGTCTTCAAGGTACGATCTTTGACTGATTGGAGTTGGCTCCTTTACTAATCCTCTTCTTAGTACTCGTCGGCGCTGGAACAAAGTCGCAATCATCCGCTTCCCGATGTTCCTGGCCACACGAATTCTTCAGCTGTGAATGGCGTCTCATGGATCCGGAACCCAGCCCAGCAAGTTTTGTAGTATGGAGTTTTTGCCATCTCATTGAAATAAGATCTCATGTTCGAGTTCTGTGAAAATTCGGTAGGAAATCAGCATTGATGGAGTTTGGTGTACATCGTTTAGGGTCAAATGCCACCACATATTGCCATTTGACAGATTGTGATCTCGGAGGAGATCGGTGAATACGAGGCACAAAAGTACGCCGTCGTGTATAAGAAGAAATGCAAATGCAAAATCGTCTCTTCGATTCCATCCGTGCTGACAAATCGATATTGCAAGCCCTGGAGCCTTGAAAGTCATTGAAAAGCTCTCTCGCTCTCTGTTTCATCTCTATAAGTAAATCCATCATGACGAACTTCCAGATTCAAATCATCTCCGACACCATCTGCCCTGTAAGTCCACCGAACCCCAGCACCAACCAACTAACCCCAGCCCAGTGGTGTTACGTGGGCTACCGCCGGCTATCGCGGGCAATTACCACCCACCAAGCCCTAAACCCAGCCGACACATTCAGTCTCCACTGGAAAGCCTTCTACCTGAACCCAGCGGGAGCAGCCTACCCCGGCGTGAACAAAGCCGAGATGTACAGCCAGAAATTCGGGGCCGGACGCACCGAAGCCATCTTCGCCCGTCTGGCAGCCGTGGGCGAAGGCGACGGCATCAAGTTCAGCTTTGGTGGCAATTCCGGATCAACTCGGGACTCGCACCGACTGCTTTGGTATGCCGGGCAGAAGGAGGGGAGTCAGAGTCAGAGTGGGAGTGGACTGGTGGGCGGATTGCAGACTCGTGTGGCGGAGCAGCTGTTCCGGGCGTATTTCGAGGATGAGAAGAACATTACGGACTTGAAGGTGTTGGTGGAGGCGGGAGTTGGGGGTGGGTTGGATCGGGAGGAGGTGAAGAAGGTGCTGAATGAAGATGTTGGGGCCGAGGAGGTGGATTTGGAGGCGAAGACGGCTGCGAGTCGACTCGTTTCGGGGGTGCCTTATATTACGGTGCAGGGCAAGTATCATGTGGAGGGGGCTGACGAACCCGAGGCATTCTTGGAGATCTTTGAAAAGATCAAGGCGGATGAGAAGTAGCTCTACGCTGGAGATGATCAGATAACTTCAAGTGCCTATTGAGACTGTCTAGAGCAAGCACAGAGCCGATAGGGCCGGCAGGTGGATGTGCGAGAGTCGCCTCGGCGGACACTCAGGCCTAACGCAGGCAGCATAAGAAATTGAACGCCGTGTATGCAGCAAGCAGGGCACCTGAGAAACCTTGGAAAACATCGTGGGAAAGAAAAGCAAGAAAGTAGCCATAGATAATACATAAACAAGACCCGAAGGGGGAAACGTAAGAATAAGAGGCGAAAGCCAAGCAGGGTGAAAAATAGAAAGTATGCAATCGAGTGGCAATGACCAGATACCAGGACTTGAGAGCTCTGGTGAAGGGTCATTTCCATGTAGTCATGGTAAAATCGTAGCAGGTCATGGAAATCCGAGCCATGTCGAGTATCCGGGGTAATTTAGTGGGTTGTCAAAGCCTTGACCTGGTGCAGCTCATAGTCAGGCAGGTAGTCAAACCAGTCGGTCTCGGTATTGTACCGGTAGGCCTTGAAATCGACCCCATAAGGCTTGGGTTCAAGCATGTACAGGACACCCATGGGGACATCCAGATCGGCGACCTCGTCACGCTTCAGACCACGGAAGTAGGCTAGGAGCACGCGGGCAACGGATCTGTGGCCGACCAGCAGCACATGGTCGGTCGTACGTTCCACCTCGACGATGACGGCCCGGGATCGGTTGATGATGTCGAGATAGCTTTCTCCGCCAGGGCCGGGGTAGCGGTAGAAGAGCTTGTCCCTCTTGCGGTGGGCATACTCCTCGGGGTATGTCTCTTGGATCTCCCTGTAGGTCATACCTTCCATTTTGCCGGAATGGATTTCGTCTAGCATCCTCATCTGCTTGACATCATAATCATCCTCGTTGAAATACTCCGCAGTCTGGACGGAGCGCTGCATCATCGAGGACCACACGCAGAAGTTGCGCGGTCCTTCACGAGGGGTGTAGGATGGGTTGGGGGGAGTACTGTCACCGGGGCGGGGCGGGAAGTGTGCGAGGAGGTCCTTTTGTCGCTGGTAGCTTTCCCACTGCTGGCGTTGACTGTCGACGAAGCGGGCCAGAGCCTTGGCGTACTTCCGACCATTCGGGCTGAGATCGGAGTCGCCACCGATGCGTCCAGCGGCATCGTCGTTGCTTTCGCCATGTCGAGTGATCCAGATCTGGCGGGGAGAGAGATTGAAGTTGAGCAGGTAGTAAACAACCTGCGAAGATAGGAAGCCATGGGTCTGGTGAGCAACAACCTTGCGACCGACGTCAATCATTTGAATATAGGCCATGCGGTTCCGTTCCTCATATTCACCAAGTGGCACGTAAGACTTCTCATAGAGAGCCACACGTTTCTTGAAATCGACCAGTGCCTCGGTGGGATCCTGACCCTTGTAATCGGGGCCAGACAGCTTCAAACGCATGTTAGCCTCGAGTAAATCTTGGTCAACGCAAGAGCTTTCGAGGAACAGGATGTTGAGCTCGGAGCCGGCACGCTGGCGAATATGATCGACAATTGCCTTGCGGCGTTCCATGGTGCTGTTGGTGGCATCGAGAATACCTATGCTGCCGCCCTCGTCGAGGATGTAATCAAGCAGCTCATCTAGGGTGTCCAGAGCAACCTGCTCTCTCATCTTGACGGCACGCTGGTTCTGTGGGTCAAAGAAGTTGGCGGTTTGGTCCATGGGCTCGGGAGAAGCTTCATTGATAGCTTCTTCATCGTCGCGAGATAGCGCGGGGCCCGCATCGGTTGACGGTACCACAGTGCTTCCATTCTCGGAGACCTGACCAGGCTCCTCTCCATTTACCAGAATCTTGGCTGGCACGACAGGAGGAGGAAGGGGTGCCTCATTCTCCGGAGGCGAGGATTCACTCGGGTTCAGCGTGGTGCCGACGCTGACACTCAAGCGACGCACCGAGTCAACCAGGTCCTTGTGGACGGTACTTGGCTTGCGTTCATGTGGGATGGGTGATGGGGACTTTCCCGCGGCCACACGACGGCGCTGTCCGACGTTGAAGATTTCGGTATCGTGTTGCAGCCAGTTCAAATACCGGGCCAGCTTCTTGGTGATGTAACTCTTGCCACGGGCCGGAAGACCGACCATCACGATGACCAGCTTCGCGCCGACATCACGCTGGGCGATGCGGCCATCGGGCGAGACCTTGGACTTGGTCAGGCCCGGGATGTCGAGGGTAGTCGCGCGGACTCGAGCGGGAGTCCCGGCGGGCTGTTTCTGGCCCAGGCTGCAGGGATCATATGTTAGCTCACGTTCGCCAAGGGACAGACCCAAAGCCACCAGATCGGTCGAGTTCCCAGATAAGCTCAGGCATAAGGCTGAAACACAGCTGCGGAACAGAACATGATCGGAGGTGCCTCGCAGCGTCGATCGAGGCTCTGATAGGCTCACAGGATCGCAAATGACTCAGGACGGGGGCAGACTCACATCTGTGGAGACGGGGGTGCGGTAGAAACCGGAGTGTCCGTCAGGGCAGTTCCGACTCCGCCCTTGGGCGGCTGCGAGGATTTGTGGGAATCGGAATGCAGGTCATTACCTAGCGCTCGGTTGACCACAGTCTTCGGAGGGGGCATAAGAGTCCCTTCTTTTCCCGAATCGGAGCCACCGTTCATATTTCTCTGGTCCGCTCGCTGCTCCGGCGCAGTGGCCGATGTGAGGATGGCTGACCGGGCAATATCAGAGTGTTGCGCCATCCCCGATAGGGGATCTCGGGGTTGATGATTAATAAAAGGGTGCTCTTCCAGAGCTTCTGCTTGATTCAATCCAAACGCGTCGATACCAAGCGCGAAGGGGTTTTTGACTGGGAGGGAGGGGAGAGAGAAAAGTGGGAGGTCGGATGAGTCAGGAAACGTCACTTCAGTTAGACTCGTGGGGCTGTCACCATTCACTCTTGAGCTTTCAGATATTTATCCTCAGAGCTTTTCATGTGTCGAATCGCACGGAGGCCTCGGAATCGATGAGATCACCCTGCAGATTCGACCCTGAGAGTGGATCGATGGCTTGAAAGATCGCCTGGATGATGTCAAAAAGGTAGGCAAAGCGAGCCAAAGAGGGGGAAAGGTCCTAGTCCTCCAGACTCGGTTCAGATTCAGTTCAGAAACAATGCAATAGGATACCTAAGTATGAAATGAGGATGCAGTAAGGGGAGGACTTCAGCAACACTGAGACCGTGAAGATCTTATACATATGAGAGATCTATATCATGCAACGTCCGGCCTATCTTCAATAGAGAATGCTTGGCTAGAAAATAGTACAGAAAAACATGGATCACTTCGCCCCTGTCCGCTGTGCCTTGATTCTACCATTACGAAGGACGGTGGGCTGCTCGGTGGCCGGCTTCAACCCAAAACCCAACCCAGAATGCAATAAGAACGAATGTGCCGTCAGCGATGCGTTGGACAAGGCCCAGTGGTGTGACCTGAGTCTCAGGCTGGGAGACTCGGCTTGAGTCACCATCCAGATCTCCGACCAACTGTAGATGCCCGTTGCCGCACGCTGATCTCCGCCCGGAAAGGGGGACCCATCTCCTGTGGGTTGGTGCGGAATCCTTGGCCCTTGGCGGTCACGCAGGGGGTAGATAACCCTGAAAGAACCTCTCTGGGATCTGGAATACGGTGTACTTGGGTGACTGGGCGGTGGGGATCAGGTGCTCAGGTTCAAGGTCAAGCCAATCAAGCACGCGTAGGCTGCAATACTCAGCGCTGTCAACACGAGCACTGCATTGCCACTGGTTCGGAACTTATGGCGATGGATTCCGTCCTCCCCTACTTCAGCAAAGAATTGTTTGTTGCCTTGGGAGCGGCGAAAGAGGCCGATGATCAGGACCCCCGTGCCGTATATCGCGAAGAGAGCCCCGATACTGTAGAACTCGGCGGTGAAGATCTTAAACACCACGAGGGCAAAGGAAAACTGGGAGAGTGCCGTTCGGACATACGCCCCTTCGAAGGTCCGTTGGGCTGCGCGCACTTCGACGATTTCATCTGAGGTGAGGACCGCTGAGCGCGCGCGGTGCATGCGAAGGCGATAACGATCTCCTGCTCGTCGCTGGGGTTGTCAGAGACATCGGCTGCGTCCGTGGAGTCCATACATACCTCGAACATGGTGAAGTGGTCAGGTTGGGGAAGGGAAGTTGAATTCCGGTGTTTGCGGAGAACCTCACGGGGCCATGTCACGCACTTCATGTACTTCTGTACTGTACAGGTCAGGAAATAACATCGCGATAAACCGATATACCTCCTTTTTTTTTTGACTCCGTTACTCCGTACTATTGTAGATAGGTGTACTAGTAGGCCAAGCAGGTAAGAATGCCTGAATATCACCATGACTAGCCCAACAGTGAGAATAAACAGAGACATCCCAGCCAATCACGGCGGCGCAATACTAAGTCGGCAATCGAATCAAATGGGGAAAACCCCGCTGCCGACCGTTCTCCGCATTTGCGCCTTCTAACAACTTCGTGATATTCTATATATCCTCTCTTTCTCTCTCCTCTCTCCTCTCCTCCCCCTCCTCCCCCTCCTCCCCCTCTTCCCCCTCTTTACACCTTTGTGCGTTGAGAATGGCAAAGGTATTCGATGCGACAGAAGGTATGCTCTCCGCATGACCCCCACGTCCCACGGGATGTCCACTAACGGAAGAATCAGTCGCAAAGCACAACACTCGGGAGAGTTGTTGGGTGGTGCTCTATGGAAAGGTCTACGATGTAAGTCGGCGTTGCATATGGCGTGGCGGACACGCAATTGATCCGGGTACTCATTAATGACAGGTCACCGACTTTCTGGGTAGCCACCCCGGTGGTGCAAAGATCATTTTGAAGCTTGCGGGCCAAGATGCCACCGAGGAATATGATCCAATTCACCCCCCAGGGATCCTCGAAGAGGAACTCAAGTCAGAGGCATGTCTGGGAACAATTGACCCCAGCACATTACCACAAGAGGCCGCCCCAGAGCCCCAAGAAGAGCTCGAGGGTCCCCCGCCCATGGAGAACGTCCTCAACCTGGACGAAATGGAAGAGATCGCGACCAAGCAGGTCAGCAAAAAAGCCTGGGCATACTATCATTCGGCATCCGACGACATGTTCAGCAAATCCTTCAACAATGCGGTCTATCGTTCTATCCTCCTACGACCTAGGGTGTTTGTGGACTGCACCAAATGCGACCTAGATACCACAGTCCTCGGGCATAAGCTGAACACGCCCATCTATGTGTCCCCCGCGGCAATGGCTCGTCTTGGCCATCCCTCCGGCGAGGCAGGCATCGCAGAGGCATGCCGAAACTTTGGCGCCATGCAAATCATCTCCAACAATGCCTCTATGACACCGGAGCAGATTGTCCAAGATGCCTCCCCGGATCAGGTCTTCGGTTGGCAACTCTATGTTCAAATTGACCGCAAGAAGAGCGAAGCGATGCTCGCTCGCATCAACAAGCTCAAGGCGATCAAGTTCATCGTTCTCACTCTCGATGCACCTATCCCCGGCAAGCGGGAGGCCGATGAGCGGACCGGAATGACGGGACGCACCGCCGCCGTGCCGAGCGGCGTGAAGGCCGCCGAGCGCTCCGCCGACGACACCCCCAACCCCACCGAGGGCTCGGGGGGTGTTGGACAGCAACTGTTCGCGGGTACCGATCCCTCCCTGACATGGACCAAGACGCTTGCGTGGCTGGCCACGCAGACGGACTTGCCCATCATCTTGAAGGGCCTGCAGACCCACGAAGACGCCTACCTAGCCTCTCTACACGCACCCCAGGTCAGGGGGATCATCCTCTCAAACCACGGCGGGCGGGCCATGGATACGGCGCCCCCTGCCGTGCACACGCTGCTGGAGATCCGCAAGTACTGTCCGGAGGTCTTCGATAAGATCGAGGTCCATGTGGATGGCGGCATTCGCCGCGGCACGGATGCGGTCAAGGCTCTCTGCCTCGGTGCGACGTCTGTTGGACTTGGGCGCGCGGCTCTCTGGGGTCTTGCGGCTGGAGGAGTTGAGGGTGTCAGTCGAACATTGCAGAGTGGGTATTCTGGTTCTTGGGCTTTAGATTCGGTTGCTAATGCGGTTTGTAGTTCTCAACGACGAGATGAAGACCTGTATGCGGCTGCTTGGTGTGGAGAGAGTTGACCAACTGGGGCTTCAACATGTATGCATTCTCCATCCGCCCGATGATATCTTTACTGACTGGTTTGCAGATCAACACTCGCGCGGCCGAGCAGCAGATCTATGACGGCCCTGCCTCCCTTGAGCCTTTACGACGTGAGTTCCGTTCTAGGCTGTAGAATTTGTATATATCCCCAATATAAAACGTGTTTTTGATGCAAGACAACCCGAGTATATCATGAGTACTAGTCTTCCAAGGTACTATTAGCAATCTCTCACCGGCCAAAAAGACAAAAATATAGTTTCGCTGGGAATCGAACCCAGAACCTTTCCGGAACTCTCGCTTGTAAAGCAATTGTTAACGGAAAATCATAACCGCTAGACCACGAAACTGCTTGATGTGATCGAGCCCTCAGTGTGGCTATATCAGCATTGGCTACTCCGCACTACAGACGCACACGCATATCGCGGAATTGCGGGATTACGGGGTCACGCTTACCGAGCTTGGAAGTAGATATCCGAGCCCTGGAGGCCCTCGTTTCCCAGCTTCATCTGCTTTGCAATATGTCTATCCAATGGTACTCTCACATAGCCCCGTTCATTGCGAATGCGCCAATGTTCGGGTTTGCTGATGTCAAGCTCGCAACCACCGTGGCCAAGGCCGGCGGATTCGGTATGCCTCTCGAACAGCGGCACAGCCCGAACTAACCATCGCCAGGATTCATCGGCGGGGGGTATGATTTCCGGTCCGAGTCCACTCAGCTCTCGACGCTAGATCGCCAACTGGCAGAGGCTCGTGCCGTACTTGGTGTGAAAGACGAGCCACTGCCGCTGGGGGTGGGCTTCATAACCCTCCAGCCCGATGGATTCATCGCGAATGCCATCCCCATTCTGCAAAAGCATCAAGTGGCGGCAGTGTGGCTTTCTTTCCCCCAGGCAGATGCTGACCACGGTGCCCTGATACAGGCCATTCGGGAGCAACAGGACTGGGACACTAAGGTATTTGTCCAAGTGGGCACCGTTGCAGCGGCCAAGGAAGCCATTCGGCAGGGAGTTGATATCCTCGTCGTGCAAGGCACAGATGCCGGGGGACATCAGTGGCTTCGTGGGGCAAGCCTGATGTCTCTCTTGCCGGAAGTGCGAGACCTCTTGTCAGAAGCCCAAAATACGACGACTGCCATTCTGGCGGCGGGTGGCATTGTCGATGGGAGAGGTGCCGTTGCTGCTATGGGCCTAGGTGAGTTTCTTGCGAAGTTGGGTCGCTGGTGGCTCGTGAGCTCACTGTGCGCGCTATGATATAGGTGCCGATGGAATTGTCATGGGTACAAGGGTGAGTAGCTCGAGCTTTGTTCTATTCACTCCGTTGCTGACCACATTTAGTTCCTCGCCACTGTGGAATGCCCAGCCCCGTCTGCCATGAAGCAGACTATCTTGTCAAGTACCGATGGTGGAGTCACCACGATCAAGTCTGTCCGACACGACGTTTTTCAATCGACCGACGTATTCCCAAGACAGTACGACGGGCGGGCTGTAATTGGGATCAACTACCAGGAGTCCGAGGCCGGAGTTGATGACGACGAAGTCATCCGGCGCTATAATGAGGCTCGACAGGCTGGCGAGGACCAGCGTCGGACAGTTTGGGCGTGAGTATCTAATCCCTCCAGGGCCTTCCACCGTGCTGATCTGGTTGGATAGTGGTTCGAGCGTTGGAAGCATCAATGCTGTTCTCTCTGTTGACGATGTCATCACGACAATTCGACAAGAAGTGAGGGCAGTCATAAACCGAATAAGGACAGTGGTTTAGTGTCTGTAAACGAACTGCCGGTGGGATATATATGTAACCTGCCTAGTATTTCCCCCGTTAGCAGAACAGACCAATTCATACATATATTTACATCCGATTCACGTTCAGCTGAAATTAGAAAAAGTCCATCAATTGGGGGAAAAAAATCCATTTCCAACGAAACAAGGGTGAGGCGGAGTGTCCCCCTCTTTCCCTTCGCAGTCTTCACGTTGGAAATTCACACCCGTCACCATTCGTCGATTTTGCTCTGCGCTACTGGGAAATCGCTGGTCCCCTCCGAGCCGGCCATTTGCCCGCGCGCTTTCACCTTTCCCGACCAGCCGCAATCAATCCGCCATGAATCACACGACGCCCTCCCCGAGTCCTATACCCAAAGCTTCCCCCGGTAGACCCTCCCCCTCCCCGATTACAGGCGCGAAGCGCAAGAGAAACACGGGCAAGTACTATGCCGTGAAGAAAGGCCACAAGCCCGGAATCTACGCGGGGTGGAATGAATGTCTAGCTCAAATAACGGGGTTCAAGGGAGCAATCTGTGAGTGCGCCTTGGGAACCGGGTCGACAGCGCGCCGAGCCCCAAGCTAAGACAGAAGCACCGCAGTCCAGTCGTTCCCCACAGAAGAAGCCGCCGACGCGTTCATGAAGGGCGTGAAGCCCCCGACCACCGCAGAAGCCTCCGATAGTACGCGATTCTATGGAATTCAACGCGGGCGGGTGCCCGGGGTGTACACCGATTGGGCCAAAGCACAAGAACAGATCCGCGGCGTCCAGCGACCTCGGTATCGCAAGTTCTCCACACGCAAAGAGGCCGAGGAATTCGTGCGTGAAGGGCGCAAAGAGGGCGCTTCATTCGGCGTGGAGGGCCCATCCGCGCCCAGCGGCACCATGACTGACACACCAAAAACCGCCGACGGGGTGGAGTTCGCCCCGGGCGATGCACCCTTACCCCCAGGGGCCGAGGATGGGTTTGACCCCAATATACTCTTGGACCCGACGACTGGCAAAGTGGTGTACAAGACGGCGCCCCAGAAAGAAGCGACCAAGCCTCAGACCACGGGGATCCCGGGCACGCTGCGCATATACACCGATGGAAGCTCATTACGAAATGGAACCCCGCTAGCCTCAGCTGGAGTCGGGGTATACTTTGGCCCTGGCGATACCAGGTTCGTCCATGCTCCCCCGTGCGACTGCCCCTCCTAACCACTATCGCTTGACCTAGCAGAAATGTCTCCGAGCCACTCAAAGGCAGTCGTCAGACCAACCAGCGTGCCGAGTTGACGGCGATCCTTCGAGCGATCGACATTGCCCCTAGGCATCGCCATGTCACCATTGTCACGGATAGTCGATATGCGATTGACTGCGTGACGGTGTGGTTCGTCAATTGGCGGCGCAACAACTGGATGACCCGCGACAAGAAACCGGTCGAAAATAAAGACCTGGTGGAGTCGATCCTGGTCAAGATCGAGGAGCGCAATGACCTCAAGGTTCGAACGGTGTTTGAATGGGTGAAGGGCCACAACAAGGATCATGGGAATGAAGAGGCCGACAAATTGGCCGTCAATGGCGCCCAACGCGGTGTCTCTGCAAAGGCCGAGGCACTGGAGGTTGCCCAACATGTGCCCGACGAGGTTTTTGACGAAGATTTTTAAGAATAACGCATCTAATGTAAAAATAAGACAAAAGCAGTCGAGAAGTCCTCGAGGGCACGTAGCGCCAAGAGTTGACTCCGATCCCGATCTTCCTGCACTCCGCACTTTGCACTCTTCACCTCCTCACTGATCGCTTGAGACAGTTCCACCGCCGACTCAGTACATCTGTACTGCGCATTTCCGATTTGTATCGCCTATTCTTGCTATAATTTCCATGATCTCGCCGTGCAACACCCAGGAATTCCGAATGATGATTGAATAACATTCGCTTGCCGTCGATTTGCTCAAAGACATCACTGGATCTGTGTCTCCAGAGCACATAGTCTTTTCATTCGGTGAAACATCTCGGACTGTATCGAGTTGCGAATAAACAAAGTAGCCAAGATGCCTACATTAGCCCTGATCAACTTCAATATTGTCTGCGCCACACTGGGGGGCTTCATCTCCCTCTTCGGACTGGTATCCTATCTGTGCAAAGAACAGTTTTACCTGTCGGAAGCATGTAAGAATATTTCAAATTCAACCCGCAAAAAATACGAATTGACCGAAATGTAGTGATCTCCCTGCTTGCCGGCGTGGCATTCTCACCCCACGCAGCAAACTTGATCAGACCCGAGGACTATGCGATGCACTCGCAGCAAAACCTCGAGGCAATCACCCTGCACTTCACCCGGCTCGTTCTGGGTGTCCAGCTTGTCCTCGCCGGAGTCCAACTGCCTAAACGCTATTTGCAGATCGAATGGCGCAGCCTCGGTCTTCTCCTGGGGCCCGGCATGGCGGCCATGTGGATGTGTAGCAGCTTGGTGATCTGGGCGATGGTCCCCAACTTCAAGTTCCTGCACGCCTTGATCGTGGGTGCTTGTGTCACTCCCACGGACCCCGTGTTGTCCAACTCGATTGTGAAGGGAAAATTCGCCGATAAGCATGTTCCACGTGGACTGCAGAGGATCATCATTGCCGAGTCTGGCGCCAATGATGGTCTTGGATACCCCTTTCTCTTCTTCGGTATCTATCTCCTCCAGTATACTGGGATGGGGGCGCAGAGCTATAGTGGCGGCGCGGGGAAAGCGATGGGGCTGTGGTTCTACGAGACATGGGCCTATACGATTCTTCTCAGCGTTGCCTATGGCACTGTGGTTGGGTGGATTGCGAGGAAGCTGTTGCATTGGGCGGAAGAGAAGCACTATGTTGATCGAGAGAGCTTTTTAGTGTTTGCGATTGCCCTTGCAGTAAGTTGGTACCCCGAAGCCAGGTGTTCTAGGCTAATCTTTCCCAAGCTATTTGTCGTGGGAACCTGTGGGTTGATAGGGACAGATGATCTGCTTGCCTGTTTCATTGCTGGGAATGTGTTCACGCAGGAGTAAGCCCGTTCAGACGCACCTCTTCACACGTATGCTAACGATGACAGTGACTGGTTCCGCCTTGAAACCATGGACGATTCTCTCCAACCGACCATTGACATGCTCCTCAACCTGTCTGTATTCATGTGGTTTGGAGCCGTATGCCCATGGTCATCCTTCCTGAACAACAGCGTCATCCCCATCCACCGGCTTATATTCCTGGGAATTCTGATCCTGCTCGTCCGCCGACTACCAATCGTCTTCGCGATGCACAAATGGATCCAACAGATCGAGCTCGTCTCCCAAGCCGCATTCGTTGGCTTCTTCGGCCCCATCGGAGTTGGCGCCATCTTCTACCTCTCCATCAGTCTTGAATTTTTACGCGAGATTAAAGTCGACGGCGAGATCCCAGAAGACGTCAAACACGTCATGGAAACCATTCAAATCGTAGTCTGGTTCCTTGTCATCTGCAGCATCGTAAGTCGCAACAAGAATGCAGGTCTGTATTCGTCTAACGGTAACTAGGTCGTGCATGGACTCTCAGTCCCCCTTGGAAAAGCCGGGTATCATCTCCCACGCACCATCTCCAGCGTGATCAGCACCAGTACGCACGAGGAGCAGGAACCGATTCCGATCTCAAATATCCGACACACGCATAGCACGGCGACTCCTCTCACTGTGGGCGAGGACTCGAGCTACCGGAGTCGCAAGCGTGGGTTTCGGTTCCGAAGCGCAACACCTCACCGGCCGGTCTTTCGTACTGGAGGCTCGGTGATTCTTGATCGCTCGCCATCCAATCAGCCGGGTGTCGGCGAGTCTGATGAGCCTGAGAGACCGGTCCATTTGGTACATCACAAGTCGAGAGAAAGTGAGGTTCGGCCTTAGCTTTTGGAAGTGATTGCACAGAGGGTGAGCCTTCAGGCATGCGATATATGCTAGTTATATTGTGCTGTGTTTTGGCCCTTGCTCGATATTGAGAAGCACCGTTTTTAGACTCATCTTGGTCCACCTAGGTTTTTGTTGGTTCAGACAGTATAGGTGAGATACTGTCGATCTCGGTGATATCCTCTGCACACATATTTGGCATATTTACATGTATTGGAGAATGCAAGTTAAACACTGACAATCTTATACATCACTTTCATGAATTCGGCTACGCCGACTATGGAGGATGGATGCCGGGAAAGATACAAGACAAGAATAATCGAATCTGCATTGGTATCATAAAGCCCCATGTTCCATTAACCAAAGGAAACTTCTTCATAACCTCGTCAATGATAGCCATGAAAACCATTTAATGCAAATCCCCTCGACCAGAGACGACCTCTGGCCATCAATCATTTCTCTTTTTCATATCGTTGCAGATCATAGTGGAAACAAATTACAGGTATGATGCCCGCGTCAAGATCTAGAGCCCCTTGCCATAAGATATAGATCTTATAAGGCCCAACTCCGAGTGAATCTAGCTCAAATTGGTGATCAATTCACGGGCACGACGAGCAAGAGGCGCAATGTGGCGCAGGATGGGATCATGAGGGTTGCGCTCAACGACGCCCATGTAAAGATTGTTGAGGCGCTGGCTCATTATATCAAGAATGCGTGGAGCAACCTCGCGAAGATCAGTGTCCTAAAAGCCAGTGTTAGAAAGGATCCGGTTCAGAAAGGGAAAAAGGACCATTTACCCTTGCGTCCACGCTCTGAAGAACGACATCGAGCCAATGCAGGCGCTGACCGATATTGGTAGCAAGAGTAGAGGTGACAGCCACAGCCACAGAGAGCATGACAATCGCAGGAAGTTGAGACAAGTAAGCGGGCGGGATGTGAACGAAGAAGTTATCGAACAGATCGGCTTGCTGGTGGGATTGGAGCCACTGATCATTATGTTAGTCGAGAAACGATTTGGGACTGGTGATAAGCCCTTTGGACATGAGTGTTGAAACTGACCTTAATAGTTCCCTCCTCAAAATGGCCGGCCTTGACCAAATGCATGATTTCCGCGAGTTCGGCTTCCTCGGGGGATCGAGGAACAGGCGCGGGGACAGGGATCGGGGCCGGTGCTTGAACGGGAATCGAGGCAGCTTGGGATTGAACCAGAGGCTGGGGTTGAGACACCTGCGGCATACGCATCTGGGGCTCAGCTGGACGACCATCAGGGGCTCGCTTATTGGCCGAAAGTTCCCGGTGAGGAGCTTGATGGGGCGGGCTCTGGCTTTGACGAAGCTGCTGGTTCTGGTTGGCAGTCAGCACGGAGACCTGCTTGGCCAGATCACGCAAAACAGCGGCCATCTCCTCAATTTTGGCATTGTCACTCCGGCGCTGAGCCTCGTATTGCTTGACCTGTGTTTGGAAATGACGTTCCATTTCTTTCTCGACCTTTTGGGTGGTGCGTCCCAGTGTCTCCAGCATTGGAGCAATCGAGGTCTGCATGACTCGTGTGACTTCCGTTTCGATACGAGGTGCAAGCTTTTGCGCGAGAGACTCAGTCACGGCCTTCAGCACAGGTGGCTGTTGAATGGCGTTGATAACAGCTTTGGGGAGTGAGTGGCGCAGCTCCTCGTTGATGGCACCTCCAAGCTGCTGAGACACAGCACCGCCAAGTTGCTTGCTGACCGCAGCGGAAGTGGCGTCGGTGATGATTGGGATCACATCAGTTTGGATGCTGCTCGAGACAATGCGAGTCAAGTTCTTCTCGACATTGTCAGAAAGTGTGCTGGAAACCAAGCGCAGCACTTGGTCCTGCTTGGCCGACGAGGCAGCATCCCAATTCTGACGTTCTTCGTCAAAGCGGCGGTGCAGGTTCTCAAACTCCTGGCCAAGGCTCTTGTTGAATTCGCTCTGAACACTGCCTTGCAGGGTCTGGATGTGCTTGCCCAGTGCCTCACTTGACAGGCCCATGCCAGGAAGACTGGTAGGCAGTGCGTGATCAGCAGCTTGGGTCGCACCCATTGCTGTGGTAGAAGAGGCAATTGACTCGATACCCTTAGAGCCAGTAGAATCAGTGGGGATAGGCTCAACACTGGAAGTAGCGACAGGCTCCTTTGCAGCCTTCTTCTTTTTCTTCTTGTCGGACTTGTCGGCAGTGATGGGTGTAACCGCCAATTCAACAGGCTCATCGGCGGTCTTCTTCCTAGCCAATTTGGTAGGTGAAGCATTGCGCGAGGGGGCAACGCCGGAAGCAGCCTCACCAATATCGGTCTTCTTGACAGGGTCCTTGGGAGCAGCGCGGGACATGGTGGAGGCAGTGTCGCCGTTGACGGATGGATCATCAGTCGCGTAGCTTGGGAATGTTTGGAGGTCACTGATCTCAATCAAGTTATGCTCCAAAGCATCGACAGGCCGAATGACCTTGTTGTCTGCGGTCCAGCCCAAGTCCTCCTTCTTGATGTTCAGACATGTGACACCACGCGAGTGCATGACATATAACTCAAACAAGGGAGTCTCTTCAGCGCCACTCTTGTCGAGAATGGGCTTAGTGACAGGAAGAAGCTCCAAGCTTCTCAACTGGCCCTTGGCACCAAGAGAGATTTCACGAATTCCACTCAGGCAAGCCGTGGATTCCGGTTTGGGGAGAGTGTTTTCTTTGTCGTTGAGGTCCCGAATATACGCAGCCTGGGACATCTGGGGCAGATTGTACCGGGGAGCGGACAGATGGGCAAAGTAAATTGAGTTACGGGTTGGGTGTCCAACAACAATAACGCCAGAGGAGGGGTGGTAGGCGACGCTGCAGATAGCATCAGACTCATTCTCATGAGGGAACTTCAACTCTTGCACAGCCTTGCCAAGCCCAATATCCCAGAGCTGCAAGGTGTGGTTTTGCTTAAGTCCAACCAAGACGTAGCGAAGCGCCATGGACCGCGAGTACGCACGAAGCTTATCGAGGAAAAGAACGGAAGTAGGCCAGGACTTCTCGGTGGGGGAGCCAGTGACAAAGGTCGTCAGAGGGACCTTGATCTCAGCAGGTGGAGGTCCTTCAACCAAGCTGGAATCGTTCAGCATGTCGTTGATGTCCCAGAAACGCAGGCGGCCGGTCTTATCCAAAGATGCAATGACAGAGTCATCGTCACTGAAAGCAAAGTCCTTTCCAGCCTTACCAGTAGAGATCTTCAAGGCACGTTCCTTGAAGAATTTCTCGGTGTTGACTGTGCGCTGGGTTCCAGAAACGCCGTAGGCTGGGTTCATCGCCGCCTTTGGAGAGACGACGTAGATGTTCTTACCCCGACCAATGGCAAACAGATTGGTGTGACGAGTGCTTCGCTTGGCCCGCGTTTTCAGCTGGCCACCAGAAGTGTTCTCATCCGAAGCTGGGAAGGGCGGGAAGATCAGGCTCTCACTCTCCAAGGCATCCATATCAAAGAAGTCCTTGTCGGAGCGTGAGATCAACGCCCAGTAAACAGAGCCGCTGACTCCAATGCCAAGGATGGCCTGGACTTCGGAGTCACCGGCAGCAGAGGGAGCCGTGCAGAGAGCAACATTGAACACTCGATCGCGAGTGGAGCGGAAAGCCTGTCGATCACTACCGTCATCTTGTCGAATAATTCTGACACCGCCGGTTTTGGCAAGCGCATACACAATATACTCCGATGTGGCGGCGGTCAGGGATCGGTCGAGCTGATCGAATTCCTTCTTCAGACGAGCGATGTCCATCACATCATCATCGCGGAAGACATTGAGCTTCCCAGACGTAGCCTTCACGGCAATGGAGATGAAGGGCTTCATGGGGAAATTGTGAACAGAGACAACTCGTTCTTCCTCCTTTTCGGCGCTGTCCTCGGCGCTCTCCCAACTGTCAGCCAAAGCCTCGGTGTTGTCAGCCACCTTGAGGGTCACAGGAACTGCGGGAGACTCCACTACGGTTTCCTTCGCAACCTCATCGACATTGAGGGGGCTGGCCACATCTTCGGCCACGGCCGCGGTGTCCTGTAGCTGGTCGGCAATTGATGACAGAACTGCCTCGGGGGATTCCTCCTTGACATTAGCGACTGCAGCATTTGCCTCTGCTGCGGCCCGCGGCTCATCGCCACTGAGGGAGCGGCCAATCTCATCTACGAGACGGCCAACGACATCATTCACCGCTTCTCTCTGTCCTTCACTCAGGACAGGCGAGCGAGGCTCCTTTTTGGGTGCCATCGACTTGGACGCGGAGGGCTCCAATGTCGCAGAAACGTTGATTTTTTGTTTCTGCATGACCTCCACGGCCGGGCTCTGCTGACCCGAGATAGGTTGCTTTGGAGACTTGTTCCGAGGAGAGATAGCAGCCAGCTGGTCAAAGGGGTTGACGTAGGTAAACATCGAGTCCTTGGAATTGGGCGAAACGACCGTTTCCGGCTTCGCAGGAGCCAATGGAGTTTCATCCACGAACTCCATGAAATCGTTGGTTCCCTCGCGCTGATATTCATCCGAGATGGGTTGCACGTACGGTGCCTGTTGTTGAGGGACCGGAGCCGGTGACTTTGGGGCAGAGGAGGTAGATTGAGAACGGTTCAGAAGGCGAAGTAGCAAATCCTGGGTGTTCTCATTGGGACCTTCGGGATGACCTGACTGGAACCCTGGGGGCACAGCAGGTGGTGCAGCTGGTGGGGCCGCATTGCCTGCAGTCTGGTTACCAAACAAGGAAGCGACCAGGTCAGAAGCGGAAATGTTTCGTCCGTGTGACGTGTGAGCTTCATGGCCTCCATGGGGTGAAGGGGCCTGCAGATGCTCGGGTGCGGGAGCTGGAACCTGCGATTGAGGAGCACCGCCGGGACGCTGACTAAATCGCAAAAGGTTCAGAAGGTCGTTCGAGGCCGGGTTGCTGTGCTGCTGGGGCGCCTGCGGATGCCATTCACCTCGGGGAGTTGACATGTTGGGGCTCAAGACATCGGAGCCCTGGTGAGGGGGGGTATTCATTGGCGCAGGACTTTGGATGGTCGAGGATACCGAGGGGTGCTGGTAACCGTGGTGTTGCGGGTGAGGGTAGCTCTGGCCGTCATAAGACTGCTGGTGCGGCGGGAACATGCCTTGCTGATAATACGCCTGACGCTGGGCCTGGGTATTATCTTGGCCAGGAGTGTTCGAGGGAGAAGGGCGTGGCCGAATGCTGGCCAGGAGCGCCTGGAGATCAGTGGGGGTGGACATTTCTGCCGTCACGCCGTGATGATGGGCGACCACCGCTGATGATCCAAGCTTTGAACAGCTCTCAGAACCTCTCTTTCGAGAGACTGGAGGCGGGAAAGGTGAATCGCAGAAGCTAAAAGAAGCAATGAAAGAGCGAATCAGAGATAAGAGCACGCAAAGAAAGATGGAATTGAAGAATGTAGGAGGGTGAAGAAGGGTGAAGGAAGAACTGGGAATATTGAGGTGGGTGTGGCTGAGGCTGCCGAGCGGTGGCGCAGATGTGGCGGTGTGCCTTTTTGCCCGATTCGCGTCATGGCAGCTCTTAAGTTGCTACATTTTGACTTCACTTGCAATAGTGAGGCCGAAGTAACGGTTTCATCTTTATCTTTCTCCCTGGCACAAGAGATATTGCCCTATAACAGACTGTCTGCGCCTTTCGGTTAGCAGGCAAGCGCAAGCTCCCCGCCACCATGTTCTGTCTACGAAGGTGTGAGACCCAACCGTCGATTGCCCAGTGATAATAACTAACCGAGTCATCTGTTTCTTAGTTGGCTACCTCTCCTCTTCATTCCTACCAACGCCTCACCCCTCTTCATCATCTCCTTTGTCGCCTTGACATACATCATTCACCGGCCATGTATCTACTGTTCTGCACTCCTCCTGATCCTCTTTGTCTCATCATGTCATTGGTCAGACCGCTGCATCTTTGATCTACGCAGCAACTGGTTTGCTCCGCGGTATAGTGCAGAACCCAGCAACTACAGTCCGATGTCCGGAAACTCCACAGAAGCAACAGTACGCACGGAGGGTCTGACAGAATTCGTCTTTGACACTGTCAACTCAACTGCCAAAGCACTGGCTGGTGCTGCCTTAGAAGGAGTGCAGCAACATCTTGCCCCCAGTGGAATGGAATCCAAATCTGACGAGTGGACTGGGGTGGGATTAGAATGGATGCGTAGCCTTTTGGGCCGGCGGGAGTGGACACTTCCTTGTGTGGATGTCAAAGTGCGACTATAGTGGAACTTGCACTTTTGGTGAGGCATGACTGCATGGTCTGAGCCTGTTGTACTTTGCAGCTTCCTGACATCGTTTATTCTGGGCGCTTTTGATCTTGCAAAGGGCACCCTGGGCGAGCTCTGGCGTTCATTTCTTATGCTTATGACCTACTGTATATAGAATGTGATATATTAATTGGCCAATTTTGAGGACTTGTGGTACCTACGTAGGTAGGTATTACCTAGTATTGAATTATCAGAGCTGGCCTGGAAAAGGCTGGCTGATTCCAACCTTGAAAGGGACTATGGATTTTACAATCTGCGCGGACTCCATGTATCCTAGTGGTGTCCAAAGCAAACATGCTGGGAATATCAAGTAATAGCTCCAAAAATGGTAGAAACATGCTGAGAATAGGATACTAAGTAGCACCTAGGTATACTACGGATCTTAGATAAACATCAGGCTGTCAAACAATTCAAGGTTGCTTATTCGAATTTGAACTCAAGGGCATCGATGACTACAGGATATCACAGCTACTTGGGCTGTTTCAGTTTCCCATCCGCATCAGGCGGGGGAGGTGCCACTGGACAAACACCAAGAGCAGTGAGAACATTGTTCAATGCCGGAATGCAAGCAATACAGGAGCATATCTGAAATCGAAGTGAGCACTCAACTCCAAGAGGGTCTCGGGGGAAGATCATACCTGACTCATAGAAGTTGTCAAGCACTTCTGGAGTGCAGTGGGATCGCCATTGGCTACTGCATTGGCAATGCAAGTAAGCTGGGCAGTCACATTCAGACAAGCAGCGAGACTGCATTCTGCTGGAAGCTGCGGAACAAGTAGCAGATTTTCATGTAAAGCTAGAGAGTTTCAGTATGTTGGATTTGGAATGGCAAAGGATATAAATACAAGTATTCTGGGACGCGTTGGCCACTGGGGGGTGTGCCGCTACGGCCAAGGCCGAGACAAGCACAAGAGCGAAGTGGAAGCGCATAGCGAATATCTCGAAGTGTATTCGATAGATTTCAATGAGATGCTCGAACTATGTCGGCCTGGTATTGCAATCATAAAAAGACAGAGTCACACCATAGTGAGCTTGGATGTTCGGCTATATATCCCTCAAGAGGAACTATAGGTGCATCTGAAAGCCCCAGAGCCGGTACTATTGATTCTCTCGGCCGGATGTCACATCCATGACTGGAAGCAGAAACGGAGGATCAAGTGCAAGTCAATCGAGTCACACCGAGTTGTACGAGAAGCTTGTCTTTCCCCAAGGTCCATGGGAGAGTAGGATTGAATGTCGTTGAATTCGGAGAGGCATTGCACCCGAGAAAGAGAAGGAAACGTGCTTGAGATGGATTACAACTAAGTACAAGGCGAGAAGGTATCTGAGAAAGCAGAACACGCACAGCACGCACACATGGCATATGCTGAGGAGGTAAGGTAAAACCGGAGCTCCCACAAGTATTTCCAAAAGAAGATCAAAAGCTAGAACGAGTCACAACGCATGACATGAGAACCACCGGGGAATAAAGGAGAGATGGCAGGTGAATCGTGAAACATGACAGAGAGGGTGGTATCACGGCGACAATCCGTGTTCAGGGAACTCGTCACAGCAAAGCCGAGAGAGATGCTTATGTATAAAGAGATTAGAGGTGAAATGGAGACGCAAGAGAGCAAGATCGCAAGACAGATGGCATAATTTTCAGATCAGTTGTAACCGCCGCCACCAACGGGCAGAGGCCAGTCATCTTCGGTGATACTGCTCCAGAAGGTCCAGATCCCGGAAACAGCGAGAAGAGTGAACAGGGTCTCGAATAACGCGCCGTTGATCTTGCCGCCCGTGGCATTGCACAGGTGGACGCTGATCACATAGTTGAAGATCTGGCCAATGGCAAACAGCAGCGCGGCACCGGTGAGATACACTGTTACACGGTCAGTACAATTCCAATGATCATGATGAGGGTCTGCTTACGCATTGGCCGGAATTCACCCAGGACACGGAGGACCAACACGGATTCCAGGACATAGAACAGGAACACGCAGACCAGCGGGACCAGTTGATAGAGGACGTAGAGAGCGATGTTTCGATTCGGGTCTTCGTGACTTGACTGGAAATGTCCCGTCCAGTCGAACGCGGTGTCCAGGGCAATGTAACCAGTGCCGATGAACAGCGCGGTCGCCGAGGCACAGATCAAACCGAGCGAGGCTGGGGTCCCGTCGTCGAGTAGTTGGAAGCCCACGAGGGCGTTCATCAGGAGAACCCAACACGTTGAGGTGATTGCCGCGATATGAACCGCCGAAAAGCCCTGGCCGTCCCGTCAGTCTCAGATCGGTCGCGTAGAAATCACCGGACATACCTTCCGAACCGCGTCGTTCAGCGGGAACCCGCCCACGGTAAAGATTTCACAAATCTCAATGATGATGAATCCGAGGAGGAACAGTTGCATTTCCCTGCCCATTCGTCAGCGGTTATTCCCCCTTTGTTGCGCACCACCCATACCGTCGGCCAACCGCCGCATGCTTCTTATCCGACCTCCAGATCATTCCCACGGTCAACACAATGGCAATGAAGGCCAGTAGGATCGAACCTATCACAGATCAGCGCGTTGTTTCATCTCGCAGGTTTCATTTCTCGGCGGAGGGGCGCACCTAGGTTTCGAAGGTATCGATCATCTCCACTCAGCGGGATTCCCGTCAACTCGCATACGGTGCTCGCAGTTCCATTGGTAGTCCCATTGGTGAAAAGCTAAAGTCCAGGTCAGTGACCGCGCCGTTTCCACCAGCTGGTCTCACGTACATTGCAAACCGGTAGCGTCGAGTCGCGACAGAAGTCCTGTCATACGGTCAGTATTTGGTCCATTGGGTCGTCTTCCAGGCCTCACATGGAAGTTTCCGAACTGCGTCGACCCCATGGTGGAAATGCAGGTCGCTGCAGGGGCTCAATTGTCAGGGAACGACCAGACCCGCGCGGACCTATTCAGAGGAGATTCAGGTACGGAGTATGGAGTACGGGGAGAGGTGTCGGAGGGGAAAATGGGTTCGAGGTGGACGCTAGTGTGGCTTAGGCGCTAGACACAGAAAAGCCTCTAATTTCCCAGTTTTGCCAGGATGCTGTTGAGACCTCAAATTGCCCAGGTGCGCAGGATGCTCAGAGTGCTCAGAGTGCTCAGAAGGGTCAGAGAGAAAAACGGGGTTCTGAGAGAGAATGGGTTCGGCTAAGAATAGACAAAAGTGCTGTTGCGCAGGACTTGAGGATTTTCCCAAGCACAGACAGTGGATACTTGCAGTCTACGGCCCTTACCGACATAGATCTGGTCGACCTGGCGACCAAAGGGAATACGAATCTATCTCTGAGACAGTGTGCCTGGTTTAACAGACATCCTCAATCACTTGCTTTTGACCGTCATGCTCCCCCAGGTCCAACTTGAGCGTGCGACCAAACAGCTCGAGCAACATCTCAAAACAAACCTTGGTGATAGCCGGATCATAGCGACCCTTACTGAGTTCGTCGCGAATAAAGGCATCTATTCTCGTCAGCGACCATCGCAACCCACCGGGAGGGATGAACTCACGCTGTGCCCACGCAGCCTCGTAGAAACCAAACAAGACCCCCTTCTCATGCAGGGTCTTGCGAATGAGATCGCGCCCCTCGGGCGGAACGTGGTTGTCATTTTTCCCGAAAATCTGTATCAATCAGCACCCGGAGACGAGGACCTCGCACAAAGATCACTCACCATCAACATCTCGCCCTTGATGTCCCCCGCTCTCGCGAGACTGTCGTCATTCTTACCCAGGGCGAGGGTCTTGCTGTGGATATCCGTGGCAAAGTAACACACACTGGCCTTGACCCGGGCATCCAGGGCACAGCGATAGGCTAGATGGCCACCGAGGCACATACCGGTAGCACCGACGCGGCCATTACAGGTCGGTAGCGACAGAAGGTAGTCAACGCTCAGACTGGCGTCTTCGTCGTAGGCGGCCAATTTCTGGAATCGTCAGAACACATACTATAGTGCCATATATACATGGGGAAGATGCAGACCTTGCCGATCTTCCAGGCGTTGCCCTTGTCGGTATCCTCGGCGTCATACTTGAGCGGCTCGGGGCCCGTGAATTCATGGTAGCTCGACGGGGCCGCGCAGATGTAGCCCTGGCCGGCGATTTGACGGGCGAAACGTGCGACGGGACCGGTTACTGCATCCTGTCAGCGGGGCTTGGGCATAATTGGAATGGAATTGGTCCCACCTTGGTAGATCTCACTGAATACAACCACTCCTGGGAAGCGGGCATTCGGGTAGCCTGGAATAGTCGGGTGGAAGACATAGATGCCTGCGAAGGTGTTAGAGATGTTGATTGTTGGCCCCCCGGGGGTCTGGATCCTTACGCATGGTCCCCTGGCCATCCGCCGTGGTAGGCACATCGTGGTAAGATTCTTGGATCAGCATCTTCGTTTAATGATTCAATTGAAGCACAGCAGCTCGAGCAACGGCAGAAAGGTTTATCGATCGCGGGGCAGTCATGTGCTGATATGGAGCTGAGAGCTCCGCGGTCCACTTCTCTACTTCACTGCAACTGTATATCTCCGGTGCATCTTCAACCTCAACCGTCGGCCCCTAAGCCGATTTTTCATTATCAGAACTAATTATCTATTTGACCTTTTATACAGAGAATCGAATGTTTGAAAAAAATAGAGGTCTCAAAGAGAGACAAGAAAATTCCCTCGGCTCCCAATCTTGGAAGCCCCAATAATACAGCAGCAAGCTGCAATTAGAAGACGTACTGTCAAATGGTGAGCGGAGGACCATGCAGGTTATATCGAGGATACTCACAGGAATGAACAGGTAAGGCACCTGGCGCTCATACTCGAGCCAAGTCTCACCGTACTTGGTGCGACAGCGCTGGATATCACGAAGAGCGCGGTGGCTGATCATACAGGCGAAGAAGAGCGGGTAGAACCAAGGGAACGGGCTGGAGAAGCCGGTGATCAAGCCCCAGTTCAGGGCGAAGTACAGATCACACGAGTAGTGGATCTTGCGCGCCTTGCCGTCTAGAGGTATGTTAGTTCTGAGTCCTGGGATCACCTCTGGGTTCACTTACACCATCCGTCAACAAGAATCTTGGAGCCATCGGGGGTAGTAAGAGTCTTGGGGTTCTGCACGGTCTGCCATGGTAGCTGGGGGAAGGTGTTGCGGGCAACCATGGTGCCACGCTCCTGTTGGCGGAAACGGTTCTTTTGGCTGTTGGTGGTATCCCACACCCAGTAGACAAACAGGTAGGCGATGTAAAGGAAGGCAAGGAAGACACGGTTCCAGCGGTATTCAGCGGGGTCGTGGTTGGCCAGGTAGATGGTGCAGTGGCAGTAGCTGAGAGGCACACCGGCCAAGTTCCAGAAAATCAACATGAAGCCCCACTTCTCATAGTACATATCCCTGTCAGATGTTAGTATGAGTTAGGGTGTTAGACACAGGGAAGTCTCACCAGGTCGACACAATGCACTCCTCACCCTTGGAGCAGGCATTGGCGTACAGAAAGTGGGCCATAACCAAGAACATGACTTCTCCCGACACGTATCCATACACTTCCCACTGACGAGCAGCGGCGCCCATGGACAGGAACAGCAGAATGTACCAAGGAAGACGAACCTCGAAGAACATCTTGAAGTCCAGGATGTTGAACATGCGAGGGTTCAGCTCAGCACCCATGAAGAAGTCATAGATGGGGTAGCCGGTCATGCGGTGCTGGGCACCGCGCGCCAACGCAGAGAAGTAGGCGACGAACGAGACGATGAATCCCGAGATGATAGCCACACTGAGCAAGGGACCGAACTCGTCAATGATGGTGTACAGCTTGAAAAGTCCAGTAAAGTGTGCAACAAGAGCCAAAATAATGCTGGTGTAGAAAGACCACACAGCAGAGCAGTAGTATGGCAACTGCTTGCCATTCATGTGCGGCAGGGGGCGACCCGACACGCTCACACCGGGAAGCAGGACGTAGCAAGCACCCTCGAAGATGAAGAAAGCCCAATAGATAGTCCAAGCCTTCAGCGAAGGGTATGCGCCAGTGTAGACCAAGTCCACCAAGTGTGCGAGAAAGTCGCCGTAGCTCTCGCCCTCCGCAGGGCGAGGGAACTTGCCATTATAGTACGTGGCTCCAATCCACATGTAGTACATGAGAATGGGGAACCCGATCATCATAGCGAGCACACCGCACGAGCCACCAAACTCGTAGTGGCCGCTGTAGTCAACCTTGGGATCCAGACCGGGTTCCCACCCATCCACCATGCGCGACTTGGATTGCGACTTGGAGGTCGCAGTCTTGCCATTGACCTTGGTCTTCACCGGCGCATCGTCCCCTTCGTCTTCAGCCTTGACCTTTCCAGACACGCGACGGCGGGTGGATGACTTGGCTTGCTCGGAGGAGGAATTGGCGCTCTCGTTCTCGCTGCCGTCCACGACGGAGCTGTTGCGGGTGACACGACGGCCGCCGGGGGTCTCGATGAAGCCAGGGCGGTCCATTTTCCTACAGCGCGAGAGAAACTGGGTTAATTTGACCAAGACTTTGCATTGGATGAGGAATTGGCACAATATAACCACCCATGTGGATACGTCGCCATTGCGGGAATCACTTACTTGGGGGTCTTCCCCGTCTGGGAGCGGGTTAGAGTCATGGTCAATCGGAGCACGGATCCGATGGCAATTGAGGGCCAGGAGATGGAAGGTAAAAAGGAGCGAGGGTGAAAAACAGGAATGTCCTGACTGTTTACTTTCTGTACTACTGCTTACATAATGTGTGAAATTGATCCCGACCAAGTTGTTCACAGCCCTGGAGAGAGCGTTGAAATTATGACTGCGCCGTAAACAGGATAGAATAGAATAGAATGTATCTCAGTACTGCAAAACATATCTTATATATGCTCTATATCCTGTGATTCCTCCATGTGAACAGAGTATGCAATCGTTCCTGTTGTATTCTAAATAGTTAAATTGCATAGATCGTCCAAAAAAAGGGGCTAATGAATGTATATAATACCAAAAATACAGTGTAGTTTACCTTGAATTTTACTCTTTCAGTTCGCGAGTAGCCCACCATGGAGTCCACTGTTCAAATGTTGTAGTCTCAGTTCGATGTCATTGTGGGGGGCTCGCTGTCAACTTCCGTGTTGCCTCTGCCAAGTTCGGCAGTTCTGGCACTGCTAGCTAACTAGCAGTTTAGGCATTGAGCATGATAGTTGATTTATACATGGCAGGACATTTTCAACATTGGATGTAATATCACAAATATCATTTCAAAAAAAAAAAAAAAGTCAAGGACTAGGGCAACTGGACCATATGTGTATAAATAATGTAGACGGCATGGAGGAGGGGGGAAACGAAAACTCCAAAGCATATGCTCGTTTAGGCCTTATGAGACTGGATACAGAGGCTCAAGATCTATGCCCCTCGTTGGCTGTTTGTCGCCATCAATGTGATCTTTTGTTTGGTTTTCTTCTTTTTCTTGCCAGCGGGAGCCTGCTCGGGAGCACCTAATGTGGTTTGGGCGAGGAGCTCAGACTCTTGCTGAGCGAAAAGCTCATCTTCCCAGCCCTGTCGCCACCCATCACCGACACCAGCACCTTGAGCCTCGAAACTGGGTGACAGAGAGCCCACTGCCGTGGTGCCCCAAACCGTGCGGGTTCCTGAAGGACTGTTTGAGGGCGAGGCCAAGGCACCAAAACCGGAAGTAGAGCGCGGAGGAGAGGCAGATGAAATTCCCGCATCGAACACAGGCTCGGTGTTGCTAGGAAGGGGTTGGAAATCGCGGGCATGGAATGGAGCCTCGCTCGAGCTGGCCGGACCCACGCTGGGACGCTTGCGCCGAGCAGCGGCCCATCGTTTATCGTCTTCCTCCTTTTCAGCACGAACGCGGTCTTTCTCTTCTCGAGCCTCCTTCTCTCGATTTCGCTTCCGCCGTCGATCGGTTTCAGAGCGGAATCGGTTCAGGACCTCCGGGACCACCACGTCTCGCCAGTCACACTCTAAAAAGTTGACTTCACATCCCTGAGGAAGATGCCCAAGATATTTCACGCGTTTGCGAAGTTCATCGTCAACAATGTGTCCCGTTGAAATGTGTTCCACTCGAGGTAGAATGGTTGCCGGGAAGAGTGCATATTCCTCGAACGCGGCCTTCAGGATCCGGATATCCAAGGACGAGAGGTAGAACTGGGGTAATGCTTGATAGAAATGGTAGGGATGATCTGCCCCGGAAGAAGACTGCGGTAACTTGCCGCGGGCTTTATCTTTAAGCTTGGTGCTGGGCTCAGATGAAATTTGAACTTCATCCAACGACTGGGAAATATCTTCCAATTGCTCCGGAATAGCTGGTGTCCCCGTAGATGGGATAGAAGAGCTAGTGGTGCGTTCTGATGTGGTAGCACGTTCCTTGGCAGGTCTCAACTCGGAGGGATTGCCGATGCCCTTCAACTTCTCCTTCGCATCCGTGATAGAATTGATAGCTTTCCGAGTCCAGGTGTTCTCATCACCGAACATCAGCTCGTCTTCAACCTCCTGTTGGCGGAGGTCTTCAATCTCGGTATCATGCTGAGCACACATGTAGTCTTCACCACCCTTCATGATTCGAGCATAGTCGGCAACCTCTGCCACATGATACCACGGGACATCTTCACCCGGACCAAGCGACCCGGAAACATCACGAGGCAAAGCAAGCGTGCTACCAGATTCTCGCTTCACAAGCCTTAGGACAACATCGCCACCCTCAACGGGCAGATCGCCTTCTTGGCCGCGGAACCATCGAACAGGTCGAGTCTCTGAGCTATAGATTGAGTCCCAGCAGATGGGACATTTCTTCCACCGATGTCTTTTTTCCGGCACCGGGTTATCGTCTTCAGACGCGTGCATATATCGAATCAAACATGGAAGACAAAATATGTGACCGCAGCGAGCCATGCGAGGTGCCACAGGAGTACAGAGACATATGGGACAGCTGGCAGCCTGGGTTTGGGCAGACACCAGGACTTGTAAAACCGAGGCCCAGTCGAGATGGACGTCAGCGTTGGCGGCTTGAGCGTGGAAGTTCTGATTCGGCATCACGATAAATCGGTAGTTCGCATGGACATATCGGGCTTTGTCCACTGTGCCTGCTCCCCAGGATGTATAGCGCCGCACATTACGAGGGGGTGGTTGGTACTGTGGACGCGGCGGGAGGGAAAAGTTCATCAAGTGAGTAATGGACGTTTGTCCCTTACGACTGGTAGTTGATTTCATGGCGGCCTAAGCATAGGGGCGAGGATCAGCAGGTGCCTCTCGACCAAGAAAACCTGATAACCCACCGATTCGTTATACTCGTCATCATCCAGCAGCCGAGGTTTTCTCTGTCGGTTGTGTTGAGTCTTCCGAGCTTGGTTGTTCCTTGGAGTGGCCGAAGTTCTTGAGGCCAGACCTGCTCGAGAGCTTCCCGAGCCTCCTACACGCCTTTGAGCGCCGCTGTCTGTGGGTGCTGCGTGGTGAAATGGCGAAGATGAGGTTGAAGCATTCGGGATGTTTACCGGTTTGGCAGGGGGCGGGTTTTGTCCTGAATTGGATGACATATCCTGAGAGGCGATCACAAGATATTCAAAGACCAGAGCCACTTCAATTCACCGTCGTAAGACACCGAGGTCGGAGCTGACGGAGGTTGAATGGGGGGAGGGGGATCTATGCGGACTGGATATCGAGATCACTGATAAGATGGCAATCAGCGATGCGCCAAGTCGAGCGATCCACCAGAAGTAAAGTCGATGGAAGACACACGCACGGATTGAGCAGTGGCCTGGGCGACCTAAGAATATCGATTTAAAAAAGTGTACTCGAGGGACGGCCCTCGAGGTGCCAGTTGAAGTGCCAGTTCGCCCCTCCTCCGGTTACAAATCGCAGGCATCACGTGATCCGAGTCATCCACCCAATTCGGCCGTCCAGCTCATCGGTTGATAGAGGTTTCCTACACCCTCATCTTTTTCTTTCCCTTTCTTTGTAGCCCCCGGCTCATCATTTCACCGGTCGGACTCTGTATCTGGAAACCGACTTGTATAGCGATCTTCTTCTTCCTGTCCTTCACCGGCGCTCGCCCTTCTCCTTCCACGCGACCCAAAAGCTCTCCCGCAACCACACCCTCCACCCAACCACCGCACAACCCGCACTTGTCATCCAGCTCATGATGGCTGCTTAAGTGCGCATGAAGCTCGAGACTTTTTTTTCTGACCATTAACTCAACTGCGATCGCGCATGGCTCTCCGTTGAGATAACGCGTGACCGAAAGTCAAGGCATATTTCTCCATCCAGGTCAAAATGAACCACCATCTGCCTGCGATGCCGCACGGGCAGCCGCCTATGCCTCCTTCTAGACGGCAGCAGGAATATGGTTACAACACAATCCCGCCCAACATGCGCTCCCCCCAATACATTGGGTATCCACCACACATGAACGGCCATATGCCTCAGCCCTACCACCCACCATATGGCCAGTGGTACCCGCCTTATGGACATACCATGCAACCTCCTCCGCGGCCGCAGTATCAACAGCCGCACTATGGACCTATGATCGTCTCTTCCTACCCTCATGCGCAGCCTGTCATGGCACCCACTCATCTTCCGCCCCATTCAATGCATATGCAACAAAGAACTTCGACACCCCAACCACCGATCATGACTCCGCCCGTCATGATGCCTTCCATGTCACCCATGCAACCAGAAATGCAGGGACACCCGCCTCCTTTGCCTCACCCGGTTCAGGGATATCCCGTCGCTTCACCATCGCCACGATGGGAACCCAAAACAAATGTCCCGCCCAAGCCTGCTTTCACCCCACCTGTAAGTTCAAGTTCCTCAATGCCCCCTTTCCGGGTCAATATCTCTTACTTTTCCGTTATCTGACCATTGAAATAGCTTCCATGGCTCTCTGTCCCAGACCAATCATTCCCACCTAGAACCCCACGCAGGCGTCGCAAGGCCCGCGTGATGCAATGCTCTGTTGAGTTGCCAGCTAAAGATGCCAACATCATTGCGGAGACTCATGACGAGGAGACGAATGTCGCCAATGTGTCCACCCAAGAGGCCTCAGAACCTCAGACCCCGACCACTACATTCCAACCCTCGGATACTGACTCCACGCAACCCACCACTCCCTCGTCAACCGCAAGGTCCCAGGCACACTCTAAAACCTCTAAGCAGCCCCCTACTCCCGTAGTCCCCGCGGTTCCAAATGTCCCAGCCACCCCGCGTCGCCATGCCAGAGACAACAGCAGTGTCGCATCTGGAACGCCTAAATCAACAGTCGCTGCCACTGTTGTCCCGGCACCGGAGACCGATTCTGCGCCTAGCACCGACACCAAGAGCCCTCCTACGTCTGCTGCGCCAAAGTCCTGGGCCGACTTGGTTCGGTCAAAGGCATCGGCAAAGGCAGCAAGTGCAGCAGCAGCTTCGGCTGAATCGACCGGGTTGCCAGCCCAGAAGAATGAAAACCTCGCTGATGTTTTGGGTGGATTGGGAGACGATGTGACACAGTACAGCGACAAAATCGCATTCCTGGAACCTCGAGGCCTGGTCAATACTGGAAACATGTGTTATATGAACTCCGTCCTGCAGATTCTTGTCTCCTGCATTCCATTCTACCAGTTCCTTGACCACCTCGGACGACGTGCCGCGCACAGCTTCCACAGCGATCTTCCTCTGATTGACGCCATGATCATGTTCATGAAAGAATTCCGCGTCATCGACGCCGCTACTTCAGAAGACCAATTGCGCCTCAGGTTGAAGGCCAACGAGCTTGAGCAGTACGGAGATGCTTTCGCCCCCGAATTCGTCTACGAAATGGTCAGACAGTTGCCACGCTTCAGGGATATGCGACGCGGCCACCAGCAGGATGCCCAGGAGTTCTTGGGTTTCCTCCTCGAAGAGATGCATGAAGAGTGCGCTCGTGCTGAGAAGCACACTGCCGCAAAGCAGGAGGGAGAAGATTCTGCCGTTGATGGTTGGCTGGAAGTCGGTCACAAACAGAAAGCAGCCGTTACCCAACTTTCCGGTTCCATTTCTAGCGAGTCACCAGTCACGAGAATTTTCGGCGGCAAACTTCGATCGGAGTTCAAAGTACCTGGCAACAAGACCTCGGTAACATTGGAGCCTTATCAACCTCTGCAGCTCGACATTGGGTCGCACGATGTCCACAATATTCTCGATGCGCTCAAGGGGTTGACCAAGCCAGAAAGCATCCAAGGTGATTTCAACTCGTCGCGTGGTTCAAATGTCACCGCGACCAAGCAAATCTTCATTGAAACCCTGCCTCCTGTCTTGATCCTTCACCTGAAGCGTTTCCAGTACGATAACCTCACCGGAGCCACCCAAAAGATTTGGAAGAAGGTCGGCTACCCTCTCGAATTGGACCTTCCCCGTGAAGTCTTCCCCGCCCATCGCCGCAATGCAATGGCCGAGACAGGCCCACCCAAGTACCGTCTGATGGGAGTCATCTACCATCACGGAAAGAACGCTAGCGGTGGACATTACACCGTAGATGTTCGCCGTCAAGAAGGTCTGGAATGGATTCGCATGGACGACACTGTTATTCGCCGTGTTCGTAGCGAGGATGTCGCCGAGGCTGGTGGCGAGGAAGACCCCAAGGCCCTTGCAGCCGCTCTGGAGCATCACAAGCACAACAAGACACCCAACGGCAACATCTTTGATCACATTGACCAGGATGACATGGATTCCGCCGATAACGACAAGGGCTGGAGCCAGGTCAACGGCAACGGAGTCAACGGACATGCCAGCAAGAAGTCTGTGAACGGAGTCACTCCCTCTCCTGGTCCTTCCTCTGGAGTGCGCACTCCCCTCGGCCGTTACGGCTCCCGCGACAACAAGGTCGCCTACCTCTTGTTCTACCAGCGCATGGACTGAATGGCATGAGACTCATCACCCAACATTGCCTTGCAAAAGAATTATACCCAATATCTTCATCGAATTACGAGCCAACTGATCTGCTCATTTTCAACCCCCCCCCCCACTTGCATGGATCATCATCAGCCTGATAAATTGGGCAATACATATCGCCCCGGCGAAACCATACCGGTGCCTTCGACAGCTTACCTTTGCACATGAAACGCCTGGTGACTTCGACTTGAGAGGTAAACAGAATAGGGTGCGGCGGCCCCTTCCTGTCCCTGCAAGACTCAGAGTTCTCACCGGAGCCATTTCAAAGTCCATCGTCTCGACCTTTTGCTTTGAGAGAGCATTTTTCAGATCTCTTTCTTGAATCGTTGCTTTTTTATTTGCCCTTTTTTGTGTTTTCAAGTGTGTAGCCATGAACAGACATTGCCCTGCGCATCCCATTGTCTTTGAGCCACTTTTTTGTGCTTTTTTTTTCCAGCTCTATGCTCTGCCACACGGGATATCAACTTCGGTTTATACCCCCATACGTTTTCTTACGGAAACATCATTTCTCTCGAATCTTGGCCCCGCGCTTGCGTGGCAAAGGAACTTGTGTGTTCCGAACCCTTATGTGTCCATGTCGCTCAACATTTGGCGTGGATATGGGAGATCCTGTGACGATGTCACGAATTTCCTTTTGATTACTATGTCTCTACATAGATGGTGGAAGGTGTTTTAACCAGGGGAGGAGGTGGAAGCAGTGATACAATTAGTTAGAGGGGGCATTTCTTGCGAGATGTATATCATCTTGCTGGTACATTCAAAAAGCCTGTTTTTACTCCCAAAAAAATTTCAAAGGAAGTTTATTTCATGACTGCATTGCTTCGTCGATCTCGTAGGGCATCTATATCAAGCATGGAAGACGGCGCCATCACCCTCCACGTCAACGTCCTCCACAAATTCAAACCCTAGAGCCCGCCAGTTCAATTCCTTTCTCCAATGTAGTCCATAGTAGCCTCTCTCATGTTCCCCAGAGCTAGCCTCAGTCCCATCTTCAGCAACGGGTCCCACCACTGGCTCCGACGCAAGCCCACCACTCTCCAATCGCCCTCCCCGGGGGAAAACCACAGCCCGGAATCGAGAAAGAAGTAGACCCATCGAACAACACACACACGGCTCGTGAGAAAGATATACATCTAGGTCTGTACAGAGGTAGCCGCCTTGTGCGCGGGTGCGAATGCGCGGCGTCGCAGGCGCAGGAGCCGCATGATCCACCGACGGCGGCGCAGGAAGCGGAGTATGAAGATCATTCGAAGCAGGAACGATGTCAGACTCCGAAACATGATCCTCATGCTTCCTCTTCAACGAGGAAGGCGAAAGAGGCACTGGGACAGGACTGTGCCGATATAAAAAGTGGGATTCGAGCGGACTCAGCCTCGCCGATTCCGGTGTATCGGATGGGCCCTCGCGGTCGTTTTCTCTCCGCCAGCGCGCGATGAGTTCCACCGCGCGCATCAGGGCGTGTAGTTCGGGCCCGCCTTCGAGATCGGCATTGTATGTTTTGCTGGCGGGGTTTGGTGCGATATATGGGTGTTGCTGGGCCTGAGATGGAGCACCGCCTTCTGGTCGGGAATATCGCGCGTCGCCGGCGACGGCTAGGACGGCTTCGTCCCATGTTGTCTGGTCGTTGTCTTCGGGGGCTAGTTCAGATGCGATTGCTGGGTCGACAATTACGGCGCCAACGCTACGGCCTAGACCGGATTGCTCTGCTTCTTGTGCGACTCTTTGAGCAAGGGACAGGTAGTACCCTGCGTGTGGTTCAATAGACTCTTGTGCGCGGGCTAAGGTTTGTGGAGGCGGTGCGACGAAAGAGCGCGGCGCAGCTGGGTTGAAGACGACTGGCCAGAGGGTCTTGGTCCACGTCTCGGCTTGAGTTGTGTTGAAAGGAGGGTATAGAGGAACTTTTACAGGGTGAAGATGGATCGTTGGGACCGGCGACTCTTCTGCTGCGCCATCTGCAGCTGTGTCAGTGGGCGTAGTAGGTGCTGGTGTTGGCGCAAACGGGGTAAGAATGGCCTTCAATTTCTCGGCATCCGGGAGGGGTGGTGAGAGTAGGACGAATAATGTTTGCCCTGGTGCTGCCGGTGCATTTTGGGTCTCTATTGCCTCTCTCAGTGGTTGCGGGAGCATCTCTCTTTTCGCAAACCGGCGAAGGTGGGATAGTGGGAGGTTTGGGTCTTTGGGAAACGCAGAGTCGAGGGCCCTGGAGCTGTTAGTCCCATTGCGACTAAGGAAATGGTATTGTCAAGCGCTTCATACTTGATGACCTTGGATGCGGCTTTGACGTTGACTTCTGCGACAAGAGCATCGGCTGTTTCTGGTCAGGCTCTGCGTAAGGTGCCAATGGTGTCAACCATACCAAATTCCTCCACTGGCCGTGTCTCTTGAACTGTCCGGATCGGGAGCACCTGCCCGCCAAGGGGGTGGAGGTCTCTGATCACTTTTTCAATGTCCATATTGGTGGGTGTTGACTGTGTTGTGCGCCCAAGGTCCAAATGGCAGCATTGACCTCGTTGCCCTCGTCAATCCACAATGTCGGTGAAAGATACACCTGAATCAGTTGGAAATCAGAATGCGCAGGCCTGGGAGAGGCAATTCTTCGCAGATGGAGCTATACAAGGTTGGATAGATTCAATACAAACAGTGCAAACACCATCCCACCTGCACTAAGCCCACTTGGGACTTGTCTTGGCCGAGCCTCAAGTGCCCGGGCTGGGGGATGATTAGCCAGCAATGGTACTATCTGAGACGTATTCATATTTTGTATGTATCTAAACATGAGATGGGGGATCATAGGACATGGGAGACATCAAACGCCGAAATGATTGCCGGGTGAAAAGAAAGATCGCTGTAAACAAGGAAAGCATCGATCGACCGTTGGTATATGCGAAGATAGATCCCTGTTCTATAGCGCCGTGCCATCTGATGCGGATGATCCTCGATATTAAAACAAGGAGAAGCGGTTCGACAACTCCAAAATGCAAGTGGTATGTATTAAATCACGCCAGTGATGCAGCTGACGGCCAGCAGCATCCCCTTCATGGACTCGAGACCGGCCCGAGTTATCAAAACATGAAGAAATTCGAGTCGATGGGCGCGGTCAAGATGCGGGTGCCATGCCTGTTGGCCCAGCCATCGACCCACCGTTTTCGCAAGGGCGTTCAATTTCGAACCCGTCGCATCGATCGACGAGGCTCTGGTAGTAGTCCACGAGCACTTCGGGCTGTGGCACAATGCGCCATTCGACCTTAAACAGGAATTCTAGTTCCAACATGGCCAACTCCGTCATGCCGATTCCGCCTACGCGGGCATACGTCTTGTTGGTCCAGAAGCTGTCGCTGAGACCCTTGCTGGCTACGGTGGCGCTGGCGATCAAAAATCGGTGGATGGTGAGACTGGAGACGGTGAAGGCGGGGTACAGCGCGCACAGCCGGTCAATGTAGTAGACCATGCTGAGGAGGATGGGCGGGGAGAGGGTGGCGTGGGTCGTCAAACGCTGCAGGTAATCCTGGACGGAGATTCGGGGCGGAGAGCGGGAGTGGAAGCGAGTGAGGCGACCTTGGTGCAACGGGATTTTGTCGTTGAATCGGATCAGCTCCATGAGCATACTGGAGATCAGCACGACCATGTCACGGGGGTCGGCGAGTTCATATTCCGCGGGCAAGATCTTGACATCGGGCTTGGAGGCCCGCAGCCGCTTTGACTGCGACCTTTCCAAGTCCTGACCATCACAGTCCACCGGGGTCGCATCCGAGGAGTGATGGTCGGTCTGGCTGTGGCGCTTGTTGGAGACAGGGGCGGGCATCGGAGGGGTGGCGGTAGGTACAGAAGGGACGGAGTGTGAGGCCAAGGCCGAAGTCGAAGAAACCTTGCGCTCTGCAGCTGCGCGCCCCAAAGTTTCAGGGGAGGGATCGACGGTATGCCGGTTCAAGGCCGACCGGAGTTCTTCAACCATACGTGAGGAACGGGGACTGTTAAAATGTGGAGCAGAGTTCTCATAATGCGATGTCGAAGGAAGCGGGGAGCGCAAAGCGGCCTGAGAGGGCGAGGGCGAGGACGCCAGCATGATTGGGGAGGAATGCTAGGGGAAACCGAGCATTCACAGTGCAAGGTAGGACCACGTGGGCGCACAGTCTAGCTGACGCCGTAGATAGTGCACGTCCGGCCTCATCCTCAGAGGCTCAAATATAGGAATAGGAGGAAGTTCTTGAATGAACTTGCGAAAGAGGGGGTTTACAAAGAGGAGAAAGGGGCGAGACTCATCTTGAAAATCTTGATTGCTTTGAGGTAATTACCCTCGCCGCCAGTGACCGTACCATGACAATACCATAATACGGTTCATTGCCCTTCGACCTCGAATGTGTCTGGTACCGACGGTTTCCTGCCAAATCTTTCTTGTTATACGGTAACCCAGTGGTATTGAAGTATATCAATTCTCAGGTAGCCATAGATCTTCTGTGCAGCATCTTCGTATCGATCGACTTGGTACATATGTGTTGTGACACTTGTCAGCCCTATATGCGATGTACATCGGTTACTAGTGACTGCACTACGCAGTTGGGCCCTGACACCTGGGCATTGGGGTCATTACCTAAGAGTATCTTATGTTTAGTTACATGTACTCCATAGTCAACGGTTCAGAAAGAATAGATCTATATATATATGGTATTGTAGTGAGATTCATTGTCTCCCTATACAAAGCATATCCATTACCTTACATCTATGAATAGTACGGAGTATAGGTGACACTATACAAAGATCAATGTACTATGGCGAATAGCCCTGGAGTCCGAGTCGGGCATACGACTCGGACAAGGTGTCCCGATTGGGAAAACCACTGCCGCTCACCCGACGCCGCTTTACAGAGGCGGTGAATCACAGCAGAATGAAAGTGCGGAGTACTAGCACTCCGGCTCGACAGTTCCGGCCTGGACTCCGACTATCAAAAAAAAAAAAAAAATACAGATCGAGTTCAAGCGACCGAATCCCCACCCCTCGCACAGAAGAATCCCTGGACACGAGTGAATATCGCACGCGGGAGGGCGTGGTCGCCGGACGATGACGCGAGCTGCCGCACCCCCGATGCTGCTGCAGCTACAGAATGCCGACTCGGTTTCATCGCAAATCCTAGCTCTGCGGAGCTTGAAGAATGAGCTTATCGGACATGACCAACGGAAGGAGGCATACATCGCCGAGGGAATCATCCCAGCATTGGGGCAGGTGCTGAGCTCGAGATGGCCGGGAACGCTGGACTCGGAGGACTTGTCCTTGGACGATCGAGCTGCTCGAAAAGCCGAAGAGTGTGATGCTTGTCTCCAAGCTACTCTGATTGTCGGAAGTTTAGCACAAGGTGGGCGTCAATTCCAAGATGCTGATCGTGGAGAGAGCTCCCGACTGACCGCTGAGCAGGTGGCCCAACGTTCCTCACTCCGCTATTTGCCAGCAACATACTTCCAATCCTTCTATCAATACTATCGTCGCCGGACTGTCCAGAATCCTTTTGCATTCCAATCCTCCGACTCTTGAACACGATCGCCGATCGATTGCCATTACAGAGCCAGGACCAATGGCCTCGGAATACCCAACTGGCGGACCTGGTGTTCACGTCGGCGAATATCGGCTTTCTCAGACGCACCCTGTCGCAGGAGTACCGAACTGTGCGCAATCAAGCTGCCATCGAACTCACCGCCGCCTTGATTGGCAAGCTATGCTCCGAGGAAGCCCACAAGACGGCGCTGGCAGAATCCGGGGTGCTGGACGCCCTGGCACTCAAGATTGCCTCCTTTGTCGTGGCCAAGGGATTTGTGTTACCAGGGGCCGAAGAACACCTTCATGAGCCAGGGGCGTTGGAAAGTCTACCCCTCCCAGCGCCACCATCGGCCCAGCTTGCGCCGGTTTTGCGCGCAGTGGCAGTCATCATTGAACAGTCAAAGTGGCGGGCCGAACATTTCTTGTCGTCACCAGGAATTGTGACGGTGTTTCCAAAGCAAGTCCCCGGCTTCTCTCCGTCGGACATCAGAAAGGCTCCTTGGGGATCCACATATCTGTCGGGCTCCGCAGTGCCCCGGCATCTTGGCACGAACCCTATGGAGCAGCTGCTACCCTCGGTTCCTTTAGCACACTCGAAGTCTGCGTCAAGCCCTGCCAACTTCCCACCTTTGGGACATGGAGGGTCCCAACGTCGCTCCAGTCATTCGTTAGCCTCGCCTTTCTCGCTGGCTGGAACACATACTCCCGAGGACGATGAAAACATGATTGTTCCATGGCTGCTCTGCACTCTGCGCTCCGAAAACGGTGTCGTGCGATTGATGGCGGCGCGTCTTGTCACGGTCCTCTTTCGGTTGGGTCTGGCAAAGAAACATCGAGTCCCCATGTTCAGCTATCTGTTGATTCCAATGCTAGTTCGGATGCTTGACAAGGACTTCCGTTTGACGGAGGAAGATAGTGCTAACTATGATGGCTTGATATCGCCAACTCAACGCTTGAAGGAAGAAGCCCCTGCCGTGCTGGCGAACCTTGTCATAGACGATCAGGAGCTGCAGAGACATGCAGTAGAAGGCAATGCGCTGAAGCGACTATCACAACTTCTCAAGGAAACCTACAACCCCGTCTCTGAGAGCTCTCGCCCCATGTGGCATGCGGAGGATGCCCCGGCCCGAAATATCGAGACTCTTTCCCCCTCGTGCCGACTCGGGCCCTCCGGCTACTCCCCAACGCTGTGCCATGTAATGCGCTACCGGGAAAATATCCTGAAGGCCCTTGCAGCCCTCGTGCCATTCAAAGACGAGTATCGCAAGGCGATCTGCGAACACGGCGTGGTTCCCTACATCATCGACGCACTCAAGCCAAGGCCTGTCGATTCCTTAGCTCATGCTTCGATGCCCAGAAATACTGCCGAGGACGGTAATCCCATTCCCACAATTCTGGCTGCCTGCGGCGCCGCTCGCATGCTGACCCGGTCCGTGAGCGTGTTGCGAACTAGTCTCATTGATGCCGGTGTCGCTGAGCCGCTTTTCACCCTCCTGCGTCACTCCGACACTGAGGTCCAGACCGCGGCAACAGCGGCCATTTGTAACCTAGCTTTGGACTTCAGCCCCATGAAAGAGGTAGGGCCATTTTTGACTGGTGCACCTTTTTTTCGTCACTAATGTTACTTTCAGGCCATCATTTCTGCCAACATCATTCCCATTCTTTGTGAACACGCCCATTCAACCAACACCAAACTGCAGATCGAATCACTATGGGCGCTCAAGCATATGGTATACGATACAGCAAACGACATTAGAATGAACATAGTTCAAACGTTGGGCCCAGAATGGATCAAGGATGTCATCTCCCGAGACCCAGTGCGCGCAGTAAATAAATTTGGAACGATCGACGAGCTCGACGGCAGCGGGATCGCCATGGGGCGGTCCAACTCCGCCGGTGAACAAGTCGACATCCTCAACCCAATGGACGATACTGAATGGGATGAGGATATGAAAATGACTGACACCATGCCGCCATCTAAGATGAGCCTGGATATGTTCCTCCCCGACGCGCGCCGGCGCCGGAAACTCGTCCTGCACGGAACCCTAGCGCAGACCACCCAATCTCGACAGGATGATATCGCCGTCCAGGAACAGACATTTGATCTGCTGCGCAACATGATCTGCGGCCGGGATGCCCCGGAAATGATTGATTATCTCTTCCGAGAACTTAATGAGGACGATTTACTCGATACAATTGCCGAGACGCTACGACCCCGGACCATTCAGCTCCCTCACCGTCGCGAAGCAACCACCCCCCTCCACGTCCCTAATGAGATCATCAGCGCGGCCTCCGCGCTCATCATCCACGTAGCCGCTGGACACCCGCGCCATCGCCGGGCTATTGCCTTCCATCGCGACCTGCTGCGGTCCTTGGGGAATTACTTCACGCATTCGCACAAAGATATCCGGGCAAACTGTGTCTGGGTAGTTATCAACCTCATCTACGAAGAAGACCAACAAGACCGGGATGGATGTCGGGATCGAGCGGTGCATCTTCGCTCGCTGGGCTTTGCGGAGAGACTCGCTGGCCTGGAGGATGATTCGGAGTTGGATACCCGGGAGCGCACTAAGACTGCTTTGCATTTATTGAACAAATTGTCCCCTGCATGAATTTCGGAGCCAAAAGGTGGGGTTTGTGTGAATTACAGAATATAAAGACGAGTTTTCAATTCGCAAATCAACGTGAAGTAGACTGTCGCAGGTTGTCCAGTGGAGAAGATACGTCATAGTTGAGATCAGTGAACATCGGCCATTTCGATACTTCAACTCTTTTCCACCTCACAATGTCTGCAGTTCCAGAACCCATTCTCCAAGCCCTTTCCCTCTCCAAAGCCACCCTGTCCACCTCAGGCCTGGGCTCCGGCTTCACGAGCACCGGAACAATCCATGCTCAAGTCCCCTCCACTGGCCCCCAGGAGCGCCAATACTTTGTAAAAACATCTTCAAATGGCACCGCCGCCGAAGAAATGTTCACCGGAGAATCAGAATCTCTGAACGCAATCGCAGCCTCCGTCCCCGGCTTTTGTCCCAAAGCCTTGGCCCACGGCGCGCTGGACCAAAAGACCCACTTCCTAGCCACTGAATATCTTGATCTCAGAATCCGAGGCAAGTCCACAGGCCAAGAAACACTCGCTCAGCGATTGGGTAAACTGCACAGCACGCCTGCGCCTCCCGATCCAGAGACCGGACGCGCACGGTTCGGGTTCCCCGTGCCGACATTCTGCGGGGATACGAAGCAGCCGAACCGGTTTTGCGATAGCTGGGCTGATTTCTACGCCAACGAGCGTCTTCTGACGGTTCTTGCTACATCTGAAGAGCGAAACGGACGCGACAAAGGATTGCGGGAGGCCGTTGAGAAAACGGCTGGTGTGGTTGTGCCGCGATTGCTCGGGGATAGACATTTGGGGTATAAAGATGGCGTGGGAGAGGGCGTCACGCCGGTGGTGATCCATGGGGATCTGTGGAGTGGGAATGCGTCTCGGGGACGGATCGTTGGGGAAGAACCCGGGGATGTGGTTTATGATCCTTCGGCTTGTTATGGACACAGTGAGTTTGAGCTGGGGATTATGAACATGTTCGGCGGGTTTGGAGGGAAATTTTTCGAGGAATATCATGCTATCGTGCCGAAGACTGAACCGGTGGCGGAGTACAGGGATCGGGTTGAGCTGTATGAACTGTGAGTGATCTTGTTCCTCTGAATTGAGTCTCTACTGATATGTCCAGATATCACCACTTGAACCACCATGCCATTTTTGGAGGTGGGTATCGGTCTGGCGCGATGACAATCATGGAAGGCCTCCTTCGGAAGCATGGGAGAGAGTAGGAATATGTTAGTTCTTGCGGTGTTCCTTCTTTTGTAGTCTACAGTCCTGTTTCATTACGATCTTTTCTACGTGACAAGAATCCAGTGATTTCGCAACCCGAAATGCAGCACAAATAGAACAATAGTCCCAAATGCAAGTGTCCGAGTTCAAAAAAGGCCGAGGGTTGAAAAACAAGCGAGGTCTGCATGTCAGATTGCTCCTCTCTCTATGCTTTGGATGGATGCAGAGTGTAAAATAGCCAGCCAAGCAGGGCTTAGAGAGAAGGTTGACAGCTATACCCTCGCGAACAAATAGATACCCTGGGGGAGCGTTGGAATACCTAGGAATTAGGGTTCCTGCTCTGGGCAAGTGTTTGGGTTGATGCATTCCTGCAGGGACATAGATATTATACAATATTATACAAACTATGATACAAACTATGATACAAAATATAATACAAAATATAATACAAACTGTTATACACGCGAATGCTCAGCTTCCAGGCCAGGATGAGGTTGATAGCCGAAAAGTCACCCTCATTGCCTTCCTGAGAACTGCATTCTTATTTTTCAAATTCCATCTCTTCGACCCAATGTTCGACATGCGAGCAGGCCTCTCCTGGCCGACGCTTATACTGGAGAAGAAAGCCCTGTACTTCCGCAATACTGAATTGCTTCTCTGGTAGACATGCTGCAAAGCGGACTGCCAGCTCAGTCAACTTGGCTGCCTCCATCTTCTGTTCTGCTGGGGAGAACTGCTGATTCTGGTGCACTTCACTATACATGCTCAAGAAGAGATCTCGCAACTCCTCGTGGGAGGGAAGCTCAAATCGGATATGGACATCCACCCGACCAGGTCGAATCAGCGCACGATCCAACGTCTGCGGCGCGTTGGTGGTCATGATCAAAATGCGGCCTTCTTGAGATGAGACGCCATCGATAGCATTGAGCAGGCCCGACAGAGACACCGACGTGTTCGCCTTCGCTGATCTTTGGATGGAATCATCCTCTGTGTCCGCTCTGTTCAACCCTGCGGCATCGACGTCCTCCAAGAGGACCACGCACCGTGTAGGCACCTCGGAGAACAGGCGGGCAAATTGGGATTCCGTCATGGTCGGATCCAACAAGCTCAAGACGTAAATGTTCAGGCCAAAGACGCCCGCAATCGCAGAGGCCAGGCTTGTCTTTCCTGTGCCCGGGGGCCCGGAAAAGAGATACCCCCGTCTGTAGGGAATGCCATGGTTGGCATACCATTGCCGCGTCTGCGGATGGAGGTACTCATTAATATCCCGGAGGATGGTTTGCTTTTTGTGCTTGTCCAAGATCACCGTGGAGATGTCTCTGGATAACCTCGAGGCAACCGAGCTCCACCGAATCAGGTCCGGCGAGAAGGACGTCGTGCGGTAGATTGTGACATTGGAGACGGAGACTTTCCGACCGTATGCCCGAACCTCGTCGAGGAACTTTCTGATCGGAGCCAGGGAGACACTGAGACATTGCAGCTTCAGTGGGGGATTCATGTCCAATTGGGGCGGGCCGAAACATCCCGGGCCACTGGCTGCATGGCTGAACAGCATCCACGTTCGTTGAAAGCGAAAGATCCGCGATCCGCAAAAGGGCTTTAATTCCAAAAATGAATTGTCCTCTACCTCTCGGTAGCTGATCAGCCTATCCGGGTCTAATTGCCCTGCACACCGGATGGGTTTGTCGTCCGAATTGTTGTTCGTTTGAGCCAGTACCGAGAGGAAATTGCGCCCTCGGAAGGCATGGTCGTTCATCCAACGAACGACATCTTCATAGAGAGGATCTTCGGCCCTCACATGGACGGTGGATAAACACACATTTTCGGCATAGGTGTATAAGACCTGAGCGGCGGAGCGGAGGGAGGTGATCAGACCGACCACCACCAGGCCGGAGTTTACCACGACTAGAGGATCGAGATTGAGCGTCTTGCGGACCACCTCCACCAGCGTGGATATTACACCCGAACGAGTCGACATGGAGGTTCTGTTGACTGCATTTTGCTTGGAACTGGTGGCTGCTCACCGCCCTGACTCCTTGCTTGCCCGTTTACTCGTCACGTGCAGCCCTGGACAGCGACGTTTCCCAATGGGATATCAGCTTACATATAGTGTTCGGATATACGCATCTTTAGGATATCCAGTTCATCGACTGAAACACGGCATAGTCCAGATTACCCCATTGGGAAGTCTATCAAATTGCCTAATCGGGCAGAATGTGCCGACGGGTAGATCGGGAACAGGTCGACTTCACTTTTGCACTGTGCACTTTGCACTCGACGACATACGAACTACGAACTCTAACCAGCTACATGCAGATCGTGGATCTGATCTGACAGGTCTAGCTCCGTGCACTGGATCATCATGTTCAGATTTGCTCTTCCCGGGCCCATTGGTAGATTTCCCTTTTCGTACTGCCGTTATCCATCCACGTCGGAGTGGAACTGTTTGCTAATCCACAGAGAGTAGGCAGTTGTAAAAGTCGCATATCAGCACAATGACTTTACCCGGCTATACTTCCGAACGGTGGCTGTCAATCCTCGCGGCCAATCAAAGGGGGTTCTAGAAGGATCACGGTACTCGGCATACCTAAGGAGCTCCGTCAGCCCTGGAGGGCATCTCGGCGTACGTGTCGGCTTCCCTGTCTAGATTCTGTTATCGGACCGGTGGAGTAGCTTCGGTTGCATTAATTCGAGTAATGAAACACAAAGAGCCCACAACAGGGGGGATTCACTGTATCTCCAATCGATGCCCTCGGATCGAAGCCCGGCACCCATATTGCCCCCTTTGCACAAGATGCCGCGGGCCTGAGTAGATATAAAATCATTTCCCCTCGATCAAAGAGATCTCAATATACTAATTTTGCCCTCTTTGGCCCCTCTCCCCTCTAAATCTCCGTAATGGAACAGCATCCTGATGCCGAGGATACCTCGCCATTCGATTCCTACACATATAAAAGCGAAGACGAACAAGATCAAAGCCATGAAACACCCGTACAAAGGATCCGCACGCAAGACTTCACCAGCGTGGAAACCCTCCATGTCCCACAGCCCAACATCCGGGAGTCCGTCAGCGCCGAAACCCTAACCACCCATGCCGATGCCCCCAAAAAGAGCCCCGAATGGAGCATGACACCGCAAGTGATCCGGAACGCAGAACGGGATGCCGCGGCTGGATTCAAACGACGTGAACTAGGTGTGACATGGAAGGACCTGACGGTGGAAGTCCTCGCTGCCGAGGCTGCCGTGAACGAAAACATGATCTCTCAATTCAACGTGCCCCAATTAATCAAGGACTTCCGTCGGAAGCCCCCTGTCAAGCCAATTCTGTCAGACAGCCACGGTTGTGTCAAGCCTGGTGAAATGCTGCTGGTGCTGGGTCGCCCAGGGTCAGGATGCACTACTCTGCTCAAGATGCTGTCCAATCGCCGGGAAGGATATCATTCGGTGAAGGGAGACGTGCGATTCGGAAATATGACGGCCAAGGAGGCCGACAGATACAACGGTCAGATTGTCATGAACACCGAAGAAGAACTGTTCTATCCTCGTTTGACGGTGGGTGAAACTATGGACTTCGCCACCAGAATGAAGGTCCCCTTCCATCTTCCCGATGGCACGAAAAGTGCCGCCGACTACACGGCGGAGACAAAGCAGTTCCTGCTCGAATCTATGGGCATTGCCCATACAGCTGATACCAAGGTTGGCAATGAATTCGTTCGCGGTGTGTCGGGTGGTGAGCGGAAGCGAGTCTCGATTATCGAGTGTCTCGCGACCCGAGGCTCCATTTACTCGTGGGACAACAGCACCCGTGGACTAGATGCCAGCACGGCATTGGAGTGGGCAAAGGCTCTGCGTGCCATGACTGACGTTCTCGGTCTGTCCACTATTGTCACGCTATATCAAGCAGGCAATGGAATCTATAATCTGTTTGATAAGGTCCTCGTTCTTGACGAGGGAAAGCAAATCTACTATGGACCTGCTGCGGCTGCCAAACCATTCATGGAAGATCTGGGATTCGTGTACACTGATGGTGCAAACGTTGGTGAGTATGCTCTCTACGAAATTGAAATACCAGACTAACAAACGAACAGGCGACTTCCTGACTGGTCTGACTGTCCCAACCGAGAGAAAGATCAAGCCTGGTTTCGAGCACAAATTCCCCCGAAACGCCGATGCAATCCTCGCCGAGTATAAAAAGTCCCCGACCTACCAACAGATGGTAGCAGCGTACGATTATCCCGAGACCGAGACCAGCCGAGAGCGCACCGATGCCTTCAAAGAGTCGGTTGCGTGGGAAAAGTCCAAACACCTCCCTCGAAGCAGCAGCCTGACCACTAGCTTCTGGGCCCAGGTCATCGCTTGTACCCAGCGACAGTATCAGATCCTGTGGGGTGAGAAGTCTACCTTCTTGATCAAACAGGTTCTTTCGTGTGTGGCCGCCTTGATCGCTGGATCTTGCTTCTATGACTCGCCCGATACCTCGCAGGGTCTTTTTACCAAGGGAGGTGCTGTTTTCTTTTCGTTGTTATATAACTGCATTGTGGCGATGTCTGAGGTAACAGAGTCGTTCAAGGGTCGTCCGGTCCTGATCAAACACAAGAGTTTTGCGATGTATCATCCTGCTGCATTTTGTATTGCGCAGATCACCGCCGATTTCCCAGTCTTGTTGTTCCAGTGCTCCATCTTCTCGGTGGTGATTTACTGGATGGCTGGACTGAAACACACTGCTGCTGCCTTCTTCACATTTTGGATCATCCTGTTCACGACAACTTTGGTAAGTCTATCACCTTCAATCACGGATTCTTGTGCTGACTCTGGCTAGTGTATCACCGCATTGTTCAGATTCATCGGAGCCGCGTTCAGTACCTTCGAAGCAGCCTCCAAGATCTCCGGCACGGCCGTCAAAGGCATCGTCATGTATGCCGGCTATATGATTCCCAAGCCCAAGATGAAGAACTGGTTCCTTGAATTGTACTACACCAACCCCTTCGCCTATGCCTTCCAAGCCGCCATGTCCAATGAGTTCTCCGACCGCCATATCCCCTGTGTCGGCAACAATCTCATCCCCAGCGGTGCTGGCTACGAGGATGTGGGATCTGCCAACAAGGCCTGTGCGGGTGTGGGCGGTGCTTTGCCTGGTGCCGACTTTGTGACTGGCGACCAATACCTTGCATCCCTCCACTACAAAGCGAGTCAATTGTGGCGCAACTTCGGAGTTGTCTGGGGCTGGTGGGGATTCTTCGCCGTGTTGACCATCATCTGCACCTCCTATTGGAAGTCTGGTGCGGGCTCCGGCGCTGCTCTTCTGATTCCGCGCGAGAAACTCAAGCATCACCAGGTTGGTCGCTCGGACGAGGAAGCCCAGAGGGAGAAAATGACTGCCCATGAGACTACCGACGAGCCCGTTGAAGTTGACGACAATCTATCCCGGAATACATCCATCTTCACTTGGAGGAACCTCACGTATACAGTGAAGACTCCCACGGGCGACCGTGTTCTTTTGGATAACATTAACGGATGGGTCAAGCCAGGCATGCTGGGTGCCCTGATGGGATCATCGGGAGCAGGAAAAACCACGCTTCTTGACGTGCTGGCGCAGCGTAAGACAGATGGTACCATCAAGGGATCTATCATGGTGGATGGCCGTGCTCTGCCTGTGTCATTTCAAAGAATGGCTGGCTACTGCGAGCAGCTTGATGTTCATGAGCCCTATGCGACTGTGCGAGAGGCTTTGGAGTTCTCTGCTCTATTGCGCCAGTCTCGCACAACTCCCCGAGCTGAGAAGTTGAAGTATGTTGACACTATTATCGATCTTCTCGAGCTTCATGACCTGGCAGATACTCTGATTGGTACCGTCGGCAACGGGCTGAGTGTCGAGCAGAGAAAGCGTGTCACAATTGGTGTTGAGCTGGTGTCGAAGCCTAGTATTTTGATCTTTTTGGATGAGCCTACGTCTGGTTTGGACGGACAATCGGCCTACAACACCGTTCGATTCCTTCGCAAGCTGGCTGATGTTGGCCAGGCTGTTCTGGTGAGTTGCTTCTGTACTGATCTCCAGCTCTATTTGACTAACATTCTTTTCTAGGTCACTATTCATCAACCCTCAGCGCAACTTTTCGCCCAATTCGATACTCTGCTTCTCCTTGCCAAGGGCGGAAAGACAGTCTACTTTGGTGACATCGGCGACAATGCTGCCACCGTCAAGCAGTACTTTGGTCAATATGGAGCCCAGTGTCCCATCGATGCCAACGCGGCTGAGTTCATGATCGACGTGGTCACTGGTGGTATTGAGTCTGTCAAAGACAAGGACTGGCATCAGATCTGGCTCGACTCCCCTGAGCAGACTCGCATGATTACAGAACTCGACAACATGATCTCTGATGCTGCTTCAAAGCCCCCCGGTACCGTTGACGATGGGTTCGAATTCTCGATGCCTCTCTGGGAACAGACCAAGATTGTCACCCACCGCATGAACGTTGCGCTTTTCCGGAATACCAACTATGTCAACAACAAGTTCTCCCTTCACATCATCTCCGCTCTTCTCAACGGTTTCTCTTTCTGGCGCCCAGGACCCAGCGTCACCGCGCTGAACCTGAAGATGTTCACGATCTTCAACTTCGTCTTCGTCGCTCCCGGTGTTATCAACCAGCTGCAACCCTTATTCATCCAGCGCCGTGATATCTACGACACCCGCGAGAAGAAATCCAAGATGTATTCCTGGGTCGCCTTCGTGACCGGTCTTATTGTTTCCGAGTTCCCGTACCTCTGCATCTGCGCCGTTCTCTACTTCGCCTGCTGGTACTACCCAGTCTGGAGACTCCCCCACGACTCGGACCGATCTGGCGCCATCTTCTTCATCATGCTCATCTATGAGCTGGTCTATACCGGTATTGGCCAGTTCATCGCCGCCTACTCGCCCAACCCGACCTTTGCTGCCCTGGTCAACCCCCTGATCATCAGTATTCTCGTCCTCTTCTGCGGTGTCTTCGTTCCCTACGAGCAACTCAACGTTTTCTGGCGCTTCTGGATGTACTATCTCAACCCCTTCAACTACGTCGTTTCCGGCATGTTGACCTTCGGTCTCTGGGGCGCCAAGGTGACCTGCAACGAGGACGAATTCGCCTTCTTCGACCCCACCAACGGCACCTGTGCGCAGTATCTGTCCGACTACATTGCCGGCGATGGGTGGAGAATCAACCTTCTTAACCCGGAGGCCACCTCCGCTTGTAAGGTCTGTCCGTATCGGGATGGCAGTGACTTCCTGTCCACTCTCCATATTGATCATTACTATGTCGGCTGGAGAGATGCCGGTATCTCGGTGATTTTTGCCATCAGTGGTTATGCTTTGGTATTTGGCTTGATGAAGCTGAGGACCAAGGCTTCCAAGAAGGCCGAGTAGCTCATCCTACTCATTCGTTCTTTCGTCTGGCTTTGTTTCAAAACTCGCCGTTTCATATGATCTTTATAGATCTGCATTCGCATTTCCTTTGCATTTCTTTGCCTTTTCTTTTTCTTCTCTTTTCTTCTTTTTTTTCGCACGGCGATATCCACCATAGACTTACCTAGACATCGACATCCATAGACATAGACTGCAATTGACTCCTTTCATTTCAATTGACCCCGTCGCAAGGCTGTTTCAGCCTTAATAAGCCGAGCCGCATGAAACACCGGGGGCCAAAATGCGCCAACCCCCCTTCCTCTTTCTTTCTCATTTTCCCTTTGGCTGTTCGCATTGCTTTTGCTTATTGCTTTTGCTTATTGCTTATTGCTGTTGGTTGCTTTTGGCTTTGGTTTCTGCCTGCTCTCTACCTTTGCATCGTGTCCCGTCCAAGCTCAACGGCTGCTCCACTTAGCTCCCCTCTTGCGTCACATCATGCAAAACATGTCGAGGCGATTTGGTCGGATGACGACCAAATCGTCAGCAAATGACAGCCAAATCGCTGTTCTGATGAAAGATTTCGACGACGCCGATCTACTTTTGGGAAAGGTAGACATGCACCCGACGCGCGTCCCGCATTTGACTGACCGATTAGATCGTGGAATCCACTCAAGCCTGGCGCGATGCCTGGATTTCGATCGCGACGTACCAAAGTCGCATGATTGATGAATTTGACGGCCTCTACGGTCCCATCATTGGTTCCTCCGAAACTCCTTCCAACCACCAAGCCGTGGAAACGGACTCGGTGCGCTTGGGGCGGACGAATCGCCTACGCAGGGAATATGATGAGCTGCGCACCGATCTGGTCGAGGAGCTAGGTGCAGTAGAGCTTCGGATGACCCAGCCAGCTGCACGAGCGAAGGAGTCGCTGGCCCCGATGAAGAAGACTATCAAGAAGCGGAACAATAAGAAGGTCGGTCGAAGAGTCCGTGGTGCGGATCGAATCCATGCTAATCCATCCCCTTAGACCGATTTTGAGATCTCCCAGGGCCGAGTGGACAGCCTGTTGAAAAAGCCCAAGCGTTCTGAGCGTGAGAATGCCAGCTTAGCGAAAGCTGAAGCCGAGCTGGCTGTTGCGAAAGAGGTATGTCACGCAGGCGTGGTTGGGAACCCCCTCATTCTAACGGCATTGCAGACATACCAAGCCGCCGACGCTGATTTACGAGACCGACTGCCCACATTGGTCGCATTGATCTTTTCCTTGACCCCCTATATCCTGGAAGCACAGGTCGAGATTCAAAATCGCATGCTCGCGCACTACTATACCGTCCTCCACACCTTCTGCGACGAAGCGGGATTCCCGTCTCCCCCACCGGACATGGAGCAAATTGTCCAAGACTTTGAATATGCCTTCAATCCCGTGCAGGCGGAGATCGAAAGCTTCGGCTGTCTGCACCAGGGCAAAGCATTGCGACGCGCCTCGGAACAGCAAGAGAATAAGAAACGGCCTTCCATTGGCGGGCGCACCGCCAGCAACGCCTCGTCCATTTCTCTCCCCAGCTCCCTCCGCCGAGGCTCTCAAACCCCCCAGACACCCATCCCCTGTGTACCTGAATACCCACCTTCGCCACCGCTGTCGGTGGCCAGTAAACAGGCGATTCCGGGCAACTCGGCCGTTTCCCCGCCTGCCTCCACCGGTGGGGACTACTTCACCCCGATGACGTCAACGCCCGTGATGTCGTTCTCTCCCGCAGGGCCGAAGATCGATCACTTTCAGTCCACCGTCTCTGCCAGGGGCACGCCGTTTGATCCCGTCGCCGCTGTCAAGAAGAAGCCCCCGCCCCCGCCGCCCGTGCGCGCGGCCTTTGTCACGGCGCTATATGACTTTGACGGCCAGGGGGCGGGGGATCTGGTCTTCCGCGAGGGAGACCGCATCCGCATCGTGCAGAAGACGGGCAGTACAGATGACTGGTGGGAGGGTGAGTTGCGGGGAGTGAAGGGAGCGTTCCCGGCCAACTATGTGGAGTAAGATCACATACAATCACGATTTATGCCATTAGAATTGAGTCTATTCATCAATACAGCCCTCATACTTTGCTACTACTATCATATCATTCCTACTATTCCTACTCCTAGTATTCCTAGTATTCCTAGTATTCCTAGTATTCCTAGGATAACAACAATAACACCTATAAGTACTCCGTACTCACCAATTCTTATCACTCGGACCCGCAGAGTAACTCCTTTTGGCAAGTCCAGCCGTACTGCGATAATGGTCTCTGCCCTCTCTGATGTCTGAATTCATTTCACCTTTCAATCCCATTCTCTAGCCATGCCCAAAATCACCCCCGAGCTAGCGGCCTCCATCGCCGAGTCCGTCGCCCAAGGATTCAAGGACCAACTCGCCTACACGCAACAACTAGTCCGCACAGGCGGCCAGCGAGGCCAAGAGCATGCCGTCCAAGAAATAGTCTTCTCCTGCTTCTCCGAGCGGGGATACAACCCCGTCCGACTAGAGATGGACCCCAAACTCCTCGCCAGCCACGAAGGAGCCGGCCGATTCAGCGCCGAGCACTCCAAAGCGCCCATTGTGATCGGCGTACACGAGCCCAAAGCCCAAAGCCAAGGCAAGAGCTTGATTTTGAATGCGCACATCGACGTCGTCCCCACCGGACCAATCGATTTGTGGACGCGCGATCCATACAGTGGCGACATTGAGGGTGATCGGCTGTATGGGCGTGGTGGAGCTGATATGCGAGCAGGCAGCGCGGCGAATCTCTATGCGCTTGATGCGCTCCGGCGACTGGGGCTGCAGCCTGCGTCGAAGGTCATTTTGGAATCTGTGGTGGAGGAGGAGTCGACGGGGAATGGGACGTTGATGACGCATTTGAAGGGGTATCGGGCCGATGCGGTCATTATCCCCGAGCCGATGGATGAGAAGCTGGTTCGGGCCAATACGGGGGTGTTGTGGTTCCAGGTTGAGGTGAAGGGGATTCCGGTGCATGTGAGGGATATGGGGACGGGGACGAATGCAATTGATGCATGTTGGGGGGTGGTGGGGGGATTGAGGGAGTTGGAGAAGGAGTGGAATGAGAAGAAGATTGGGCGATTGCATTTTGAGAATGAGAATCATCCTCTGAGTACGTTTGCCGAGTCTTAGAGATACCTTGATCTCTGTTGAAAACATCACTGATTCCAGCAGATTTGAACGTCGCCAAGATCAATGCCGGAGACTGGGCTTCTTCAGTCCCGGCGTGGTGTCGGATTGATTTCCGCATCGCCATCTTCCCCGGTGTGAGTGCAAAATCGGCGGCGGACGAGATCGAAGCCAAGGTGAATGAGGTTGCGGTGAATGATGCCTTCCTCAGCAAGAACATGCCCACGGTGACTTGGAATGGTTTCTTCTCTGAGGGATACGTGCTGGAACCAGACAGTGAGGCCGAGAAGACTCTCCAATGGGCTCACCAGCGAGCCACGGGGGACGAACTGCAGTCGTTCACCACAGCCGCATATCTCGACACGCGGGTGCATTCCCTTTACGACAAGATCCCCGCGTTGTGTTACGGGCCGATCAGCAGTAACATCCACGGCTTTGACGAGTGGGTGAGCATCAGCAGCTTGCAGCGGGTCACGACTGCGATTGCGCTGTACATCGCCGAGTGGTGTGGAGTGGAGTTCGTATAGATGCTCAATCGCTTGCGTTCATAAGTTCAATCAATGTACTCCGTACGAAGTGTACCACTGCAGTCGATAGGTCAAGTAAAGCCATACTATGGCTGAGAGAGTAGGATATTAGATTGCGGTTAGTGAGTTTACCCAACGGAGTTGACTTCATACCTTAAGGTTGGGTGTTGATTGGAATTCTCATCAACTGTCGCATTGTCCTCGAAGGAAAGGGAACTTCTTGGAAGTTGGGAGTACGTAGGGAGATCAATTGACAACCACCTCGGCAGGGATGCCATGTCATTCACATACTACCCCCGGCCAAAGCATTCGCAGTATGGATCTACAAGAATCGACTACAATTGGGGCAGAAAATAACATAGAATAATCATGATTGTCAAGGAGAGGCAGACCCTGGAGGCTAACAACCAAAGAAATCATCATATATACATGATATGGCCAGGGCCACAAGCGCAACTTTAGACGTACATCGTATTATGATTAATCAATGGTTTGAACATTTGAAAATAGAAGTAAAAAAATATATGTAGACGGGTATGTTCAGCACGAAAAGAAACGTAAAGGGGAGTCGCTGAAGAGAACCGAACGATGCCAACTGTCGTCAAATCGTTCTGTCACTCAGGATGCCAACGAGGTCGTCACCTAGAACTGCATGGCAGCGGCGATGAGAGCACCGAAGACCACAGCGAAACCGGACATGGTAGCACGGCCAGCAGCGTTGAAGACGGGGCTGGAGCTGGGGGAGTTGGCGCTGGCTCCGGAGGGAGAAGAGGGGGAGGAGGGGGAGGAGGGAACGGAGCCACCGTTGCCGGCGGGAGCGGTGGGGACGCTGACGGGGGTGGAGGAGCCGACAGCGGAGGTGGACTTCACGTGGCGCATGGAGGCGCTCTTGGAGGCGGAGCAGGCAGCGTTGCAAACAGTGACGGTCTGGTACCAGGTGGCGGTGCTGAAGGAGGAGGCACCGGAGGGCTGGCCGGCGGGCATGCTGGGCATGGGGGGAACACCGCCGTTGGTGGCAGAGCTGGTAACAGCGGGGGCGGTCCAGGCAGGGGTGGAGGCACCCTGGGAGGGAACAACGGGGGACTCGCCGGTGGGCTTGGCGGGGACGGAGACGGTCTGGGAGCCGGAGCCACCGTTGGGGCCACCGGGGATGACAGTGGACTGAACCATCTCGGAGGTCTCGGTGTCACAGGGGGTGGAGGTCTCGACGGGAGCGGGGCCAACGGGGGTGGAGGTCACGGCGGGAGCAGTCCAGGCGGGGGTGGAGGCACCCTCGGAAGGACCAGCAGGGGACTCGCCGGTGGGCTTGGCGGGGACGGAGACGGTCTGGGAGCCGGAGCCACCGTTGGGGCCACCGGGGATGACAGTGGACTGAACCATCTCGGAGGTCTCGGTGTCACAGGGAG